TTAAACCTTTTACATTTTATTTACATGACGTTATCCTTTATAACTGGAAATAAATTAGATTATCCTTCCACGTCACGCAGAATACAAAAGAAAAAAAAATCTATAAAACTGACAGCTCTGAACCCTGTGGAGTAATGAGTTACCTCGTTTAAAAATTCGTAATAAACTAAAGTCAAAGGTTTGAGATTGAATTTTGTTTTATCTACGCTTTTTAATGCAGGTTGTGCAGGTTATCTCTTTCTATCGTGTTTAAGATCCTCCTATCCTACTCATTTCAATTTTATGAAGACTATCAAATAAAAGTCGTATTAAATGTTCTTAGTTTTACATTAAATTCTTCAGTTATCTTTCTAAACTCTCAAAATATTTTATCTTATTATTTTTACATTTTTTTTTCTCAAATATAAACATTTCATTGAAGTATTTATCAATCCTCAACTATCAACAAGGTGTCTTCAAGACGGTGAACCATATCTAGCTTCCAATCTAACATCGTATTGTCGGTCTTAATTCTTTCGTTATTCGGCAAATGTAAAGAAAAATAGACGCGAACCTATCACTCAATAACACCATGTGTTTAGTAAAAGTTAGCAAAAATTGATTGAAATTCAAAAGATGGTGTCATTAACACTAGAACTGAACCATCATCTCGATTTTCTGTTGATCCAATTTTAATACCACCATTCAAAAACTTTTCAAACTGTTTTTTTACAAGATTTGGAAATTTCATTTAATTAAAAGACTCTTTAATATATATTAAATTATTAAATATACTAACACTAAACGAAAAATGTTTCAATTTCACGGAGGAAAATTTCATCAAATTCTTTAGTGATGTAATTTTCTGAAATGTTATTTAATAACTTTTTGAAATAAATTAACGATAATTATATGCCAAGTTTTCTTTGCAGCCACGATGATCACAGTAGTATCATATATTCAACTTGTTACTGTTAAGCCTTTTTAAGTTTAGGTTTCAAACAAGAAATTTCCTTTCTTCTTTAATTCTGTTACCTTAAATTTGATTTACAGAACATACAACTCATCTTGTTAGCTCATCTGACTGACTCATTTTCAAGTATGAATATACGCAAATTAGTAACCTACTAGGATCCTTTAGAATTTCAACAAAACTTGCGATGCGAAAATTGTTATTTCTGAAAACTGATTTGATTGCGATTTCTGTTTGCAAAGGAACAACAATTCCTAAAAGTTAAGGTATAGAAACAATTTATCGTGCTACTAATTTAAGGAAAAGTAGGTCGGAGGTGCGGTCGACACATAGGGCATACAACGTAGGTTGAAACTTAGGCTAACCAAATAAACAATATTACAATAAATAGTATGCGTTTGTTGACATCACCCTCGACCAAATTTGCTTTATATCCTAAAAGTTATGTTTGTTTCTGATTAATTTAATTTTTTTTTTTAAGCAATCGTTTCCACAAATCTGATTATTCTATTTTTCATACTCTTTTATTCCATAGAATAAACTGAAAAGTCTTTGAATGCTTTTATGAAATAGCCGACAACTGTACGTGATGGAAGAACGCGATCCGACGTTTAAAAAGTTTAATCTGGAGTGCCCAGAGGTGTGTGACATGGCCCAAGTTGCACCATCAAAAGTTGACCATAACATCTCCCTCACCAAACTACCAAATCTACCTTTATCAAACAGTTCCTTGCACTGGTCCTTCCTCTCGGATTGGTCATAATATCTGGTTCACCCTGGCCAACTTCCATCCAAGACACTCCCCCTCTCTTGTGTCATCTCTTAAGGTTCGTTTCTGTCTCCTCCCCCACTGTATTTGTTATCTATATTAATAACCTTCCTGATCCATCATTCCCGATATGCAATTTGAAAAAAATGGCATATCTATGATGCCATCTTACAAATGTACATGTCTATTTCCAGCCACTAAAGTTAAAGAAGACTAATCGTTTTGTTGAAAAAAAAATGTTCGTTACTAAATAATAAAGTTTATAGAAACATCAATTTACAATTGTTCGGGGAATTGGATGGCTAAAGATTAAACAGTCAGGATTTAAGGGTGGGGACAGTATTGGAGCGACGGATGCAGGAAGTAATGAATTTCCATATGGATGAGGGTCGAAAAATGAAAGATCTGTTGAATGCCGCGGTTCGGTGAGCCAATTAGTTGAAATAATTAATTTTGAGAGGGGGTTAAGTTTTTGAATTTTTGGTTCGATTACAATGGTTCATTATTGAAAATAATAAACCAAAAATATTTTAAAATCGCGATATCTTTACGAGTGGTGCTCTGATTTCGATGAAACTTTCTTCATTTTTTAGAAAATTTAAGTACCTTTTAAACATCTTATAACAATATCCACAAAACAGTGTATACTTTTTTATTTATTCGGAATCTAATTTTACCATCCCTCGTAACTTTTTTTTAAGCTTCTTTTCGTTGAAGTATATAATATAAATAAATTTAAAGGGCAACTAGAAGAAGACTTTAGCCAAGTTTCATTGAAATCGGCACATTTGTTTAGGTGCTACAGTCTATAGCAACGCAGGTTTTTCGGCCTCTATTTTGAAATTTAAAGTCTGATAGCAATGTCGATGAAGGAGGATCATCCTCGGGTGACCTCTAATTTTAAATCCAAATTTGAAAAAAATCGGTCCAGTAGTTTCGGAGAAAATGCGTGGACGGCGGACGCCGAACTGCGGAAAGACAAAAACAATTTTATTCGTTTTTCGAATTCTACATATCCTGAATCGTAAAACCTCAAATTTTGAGAGGGGGTTAAGTTTTTGAATTTTTGTTCGATTGATCACCCAAGGGCGGGGTGGCCGAATGGGCTAACGTGTGTGCACAGTGCCGTCGTTGCCCGAAAACCTGATACATGAGATTACTAGATAAAAATAGTCACGAGTTCGCATTACGGTGCCGGGGAAGTCTTTTAAATCCACGCCCTCATTCCCTGCCCCGGGAAAACTCCTTAAATACGAATAGCCTTAAAGATGAGGAAGGAGAGAATCCAAAAAAAACAAAGCTTCGGTAAGCCATAGAGGTCGTGATGGCCGAGTGTGTTGGGGCCAGTTTTAACATCCTCGTGCCTAGAAAAGCAAGCCTGGGAGTGATTGTCTTTTATTTTATGGCGGACCCACCGAATGAAACTCGAACCTCCCAGTCTGGTTAGAAAAGGTTTGGTTGTACCTCTAGAACAACCTCTCTTCCCCTTATGCCAGAAATGGTAGGTAGGGGATTATCCAATAAAAAAACAAAAAAGATTTGGTAAGCCATAGGTAGCGGATTAATAACGCCTGGGCAAAATCTTTGTTGCTCGGCAACCTAATGATAAACCGAAGATTACGAGTTCAAATCCCTATGTCCAGAGGACTTTTAACTCTGGCATTAATCCTCCGCCCTCCCCCATGGCCCCGACAAGAAAAACCGCACGGCGGAAAGATGAGAAAGGAGAGGGGGAAAAAAGAGATTTGGTTGATTGTTATAAACCGAGAACGGGTATTGTAAGAATGGACAGAAAACTTTAATTAAAGGAACTCGGAAATGCATGATGGATGGCAGAACTAGCGGATCCAGGATTTAATTTTGGGGGAGGGAGCTTCCGCCCGAAAGCTTTTGTTTTCGTATATAATACGATAATTTAGTAGAAAAAAAGGAAAATAATTACCTATATGACATGGTGTTTATGTGATTCTTGAAGTCCTATTAAATGTAATTACACGGACAATAATACTTAAAGTTTTTTCTATAACACATATTTTACCATTTTGGGGGGCTTTAGCCCGAAAGCCCCTCTCTCCCGTAGATCCGCATGTGGATGGCAACATTGGATGAGTTGGAAGAGGAAAGATGGTGGGAATTACCTACGATGATGGAAAGGAAATAACGCTTCAACTCTTCATAAATTTGGAAGACAGAGGTTTTGTAAGTATCCCAAAGGTGAATCCTACAATATAATTTGAGCAATAAGCCCCTGTTGAAGTATTTAGGATATTAAAAATTCAATTTTAGAAATACAGTCCACTCTCGATATTTCGAAATTCAGGGGACTACAAGAAAAATTCGAATTATTGATACTTTGAATTATCAAGAAGTTAAAATCATCAAAAGGAAAGAAAAAAATTCGAATTATTAAGACTTTTTATTATGTTTGGAAATATCTATGAGCTTATATAAATTTTATGGATACATAGCATCATTTGAAAAATATTACTAAGAAAATTTCGAATTATAAAACGTTCTCTCCTCCTCTTTTAATGAAAATGATTTTTAGTTACTGATTGTATCAAAATAAAGCATTTTTCGATTTACCGAAGTTAATAACTGAAAAATTACAATTATCGAGATTCGGCTGTTTATCTATAGAAACTACAAACAACTACTCACTCCTTTTTCAGAAATATCAAACTATAAAATATTAGCTTCAAAACAAAAACATAAAGTATATTTTTCAAATTGGAAGAAGTTGGAACTTTTGTAGACATATTATGAGGGAGGGGGGCGAAAGAGTTTAACATTCCTTAAGAAATATATAAAATACAACTTAAATAAAAATTGTGTAGAATTTAAAAATGCATATATTATATCTTTAAAAAATAGGAAAACTACAAATGAAATAATGTAGGTATTGAAGTTTTTTTTCTAAACAGTAGTGTCAACACTGGAACGTATTGTTTTCTGTGGGAATGAATGTTTACTTTATGGCTGTCAAACTTCTGTGTGGTCTTGGTTACTTTTGGTTATCATAACGAGATATTTATATAGGAAAATGCCATTCCTAGAAGGATATTTAAAATCAAATAGTTGTCAGTTTCAATTTAATAGACATTTGTTATTCCCTCCATTTTTTTAGGTTAGAACTATTCAAAATCCAGTAAATCCCACAAAAGAAATATGGATTTACTGAAATTCTTTTATAGGATCACTTTTATGTAGTTTGAGCGTGGTTTTAGACCATGGTGAGTTACTCTTATCACTCTTATACAAATTCATGAATTATCAACCATGACTACAAAAACTGACATTGAAGAATTCATGGATGGGCCACTGGTCACCTGGGTATGCATTCAAATAAAAGTTCACTGGTTTTGATTTTTTCTATCTAAATGGATTTTTCATTTTTATTGTTATATTTGGAACCTATACTATAACATCATTACTTCGATAAATGGTAAAAATCATACAACTTGGTTTAAATGTTTTAGTTTCGGTCTTGTCTCCATGATCCAGATAGTCTATCAGATTATGATGATCTAGTTGACGGGGTGCTCATTTTTGAAGTTTTACTTTTAATGTAAGTTGAAAAAGTATTGTAAATTAAACTCATTTATTTAGTAATTAGTTACCTTACACCATCTATTTCAGCGATCCTGAACCAGTACATCATGGGGTGAGCCCAAGTTTGGGTAATCCAGGGGTTAGAATGAAAAACATTGAATGTATAATTAAGAACATCAAAGCACTCTATGAGGTAATGTGTTTCAAGTTATATTTGCAAAAATGTTGATATTCTGATTATATACTAGTGTTTTCCTGTACATATTTTAAGATATTGAGTAAAATTCATAGAAAAGTGGTATAAAACTTCTTAATACTGGCTCTATCTGAAGGTTACAAATTAATTAGCTCTAAAATCTGTGATTCCTAATATTTTCAACCAAAAGTAATAGTTAGTTAATTTTCTATTATTTACGTTTTCATTACTTTATTTGTATGTTGTCTCATTCATTTATACTTTTTTTTTTTTAGTCTATTAACTAGCTATACTTAAGTAATACCGTAGAGCACTAATTATCTGAATTAATGTTGTCAGGGCTGTTTTGAATAATCATAAATTCGGATAATTGGAATTCACTAAAAAAAAAAGAAAAAGATTTGAAAGGTTTAAAACAATCAATCGTCTCAAGAACAATATCTCTTTTTATTTATATAAATTATGTTGTGAAAAAATTAATGTCAAAATATAAATTGTTCAACTCAGTTACATGCACATAATATGTATTTATGTGTAAAGAAAAATCAAATTGAATTGGCAGATCATGACTATAGAAGTGATAAATATTGGAGAAACAATTTTTTTTATAAATGATGTTCAAATCATAAGAAACAGACTGTCTTATTTTTGAAACAATAAAATATATCCAATAGCATTCTAGGATCGAGAGCAATTACTAAGTTTATGAACTTGGTCAATTGGAATCCGAAGCCGGTATAAAGGAGTATTTCTATTTATTTTTCATGAATGCTTTAAGGAAAAGATGGATAACTTTATTTAACTGTATTATAAATAATATATATTTTTTTAAATTGAAAAAACTTTCAGGAAGAACTTTGTCAGTTGGTGTTAGTTCTGCCTGACGTTACTATTATTGGTCGGGAGCCGGCTGGGAAACAAGGGCTCGAAGAAATGAAACTACTTCTTCTTTTACTCTTAGGTTGTGCTGTTCAATGCCCAAACAAGCAAGGCTTCATAGAAAAAATCAAAGCTCTTCCACTTTCAGCCCAGCATTCTTTAGTAAACTTTATCTTACAGGTTCACCTCTTTCTATTTATTATTGTTACATCATTTTAAAAGTATCCATTGAGATAAAAGAATAATGTTAATCGTTGATATTTATTAAAAGGTTACTGAAAGTCAAGAGCTTGTATTAACTCAAGAAGGAAGTGAAAATGTTTCTAATGAAATACTTATTAACCACATCAAAAGACTGGTAAAGCAGAGAGATTTATATATGCAGGTATTGTCATTAATCTTCTTTAAAAATAATATTTAATTATTTTCCTGAATCCTTTAATATTCTACTCTATTTTCTTTTATTTAACAGTTACAACCAACTCTAGATGATAAAAAAGGTTCAACCAGTGGAAATTCTCTTAGAGGTTCTGAATCCCAACATCTAGCAGTTGAGCTTGCCGACTGGAAAGCCAAATTGCGAAAACAACGCCAAGAACTGTTTGTTTAGCAGATAATTTTTTATTATATTTTAGTAGATAGTTGATCATATGATAATTTCAGGAGTCAATAAGAAAAAACTAATTATTATTTTTTACTGACTAAATTCTGGGCTTTACCCTTATTAAATAATTGTTTAATTCCTCATTAAATTTTTAATGAAAATAGTTTGTAGTTATTTATACAAACCATTTTCATCCTTTGCATTATAGTCTTTTAATAGTATTTTCACTTTTATTAAATATTTCTTAATAGAGTCTTATTTGAAAATAGATTAGTAAAAATAATATTGTGAACCAGTATAAATGTAGATACAAATTTAATATTAATGAAATAACTTTTCTTAGGTTTTCTAAACAGAAATGAAATAGGACCTTAGTTATGAAGCGAAGCTTTTTTTTTTTTTTTTTTTTTTTTTTTTAAATCAAATAGATATGTTAGTTAATCTTTTACAAATAGTAATCATTGTACAATGCTTTCACATATTTAAAGAATTAAAGTTATGAATTTTATATTCTGAAAAGCTGTTTGTATTTGGTCTATTATATTTTTATGTCCATGTTTACTCTGTTATTAATTTAATTCAATGTGCATTATTCCTTATTTTTGTTCTTAGGGAAGAGAAGTCAGAAACATTATCTGAAGCAAAAGAAGAACTTGAGTATAATAAATCTCTTGTATCCAAACTGAAGAATGAAGTAAGTAAAAATATTTTTATTGTTTTAAATGTTACTTGATGTTTTTTCAGAGTTAAAAGCCCCTCCCCTGGTATCGCTACGCGAACTCATAATTATTTTTTCATGTAATCTTTGGTTTACAATGTTGTCAGGACAAGGTATGTATTGCATACGCGTTTCCTCGCTTGGCCACTTTGCCCCATATTTATGCTAGTATTGCATTTGCATTATTTCTAATGTTGTAATTAATACATCATTCAAAACATACATCATTCAACTTCAAAATCAGAATTTTTTCATCTATGTTTCTTCCTCCCCCTACATGCATCAGAAATGGCCAGGTAGGGTGTAGAGTATAATAGAAATTACTACATGTAACCAACTTATTCTATCCAGTATAAGAAAATCTAAATTAATTCCATGAATCTATACATTTGAACTTGCTCAGACTGAAATCGAACCAGCATATCTTTTGATTTGTGATTGTCTGGGAGACACCTCAACATACTCGTCCACTATGACTTCAAAACTTTTGTATTCAACATTTTAAAATAAAATGTCTTGGTATATTTATAAAACCTCGTATAGTAAATAAGCTATAGCAAAAGTGGAATTATTTTTGGTTCCTTTCCACTTCCTTATGTTTACTGCTATTAATATTTACTGTTCCTAAAAAAGAAATGTTCTTATTGTTTTTACTTATAATCTCCATTTAATATTTTTACTTCATTCATTGAAAACACTATGTTATCAATGCTTTTTATTAACTTCCTCTATTCCATTTTATTTATTGCCTTTATATAGGCTTATGGCCCTTATATGCATTTATAATGCTTTCTTAATTTGCTTTTAGATAACTGATTTAAAGAGTGAAGTTAGGGTTTGTAAAGCATATCGAGATGAAGCTGATGCTTTGAGGGAAAGAGCTGAACGAGCTGATAGGCTAGAAGCTGAAGTGGCTCGATATAAAGAGAGACTTGCAGATCTGGATTATTACAGGTATCTTCATTCATATTCAACAAATACTTTTTTTTTTTTAATTAGTATTATTTTAAGCTTGAGATTATTTTATTCCATCTAGTTCTCTCCTATGGAAAATTTTTTTGATAACATTAATATGGTATAAATGTGAATAATGCAATTTTACTGCTCAAAATCTGTAATAATTTTATTGCTTAAAATGTCCCATCAACATTTTATTTCTTTTATATTACCTTGACAACATTTAAACCAATGTTAAAGCCATTTGCAAATCTTAATTGAATCCTCCCACTAAATATTCTTATTCAATATCATTCTCCTTAATCTGATGATTAAATTGTCCTAATATTTTGGAGTTTCCCCTTTGTCATCTACGTAGGGGAAACCCTAAAATATTAGGACAATTTAATTTTTCTCAGATTAAGGAGAATGATATTGAATATGGATATTTAGTTGGAGGACTCAATTAAGACTTGAAAATGGCACTACTGTTGGCCGAAACTTTGTCACGCTAATATAAAAGAAATAAAATGTTGGTGGAATATGGCCTTTATTTATTCTAGGAAATTATCAATCGCAGTATTATTAAATGGATAAAATTTTCTTCAAATGAAAATAAAATTAGTCTTTGCTAGAACCAGGTTAAGCAAGGGAGTTTTTAAGTAGGTAAACTATTCTGTTTGGCTCTGTTTTTCATTAAGCTTTAATTGCATGTTAATTAAGTTGAGGTTTGTAATAAAATAAACAAAGATTTTTTTCATAATTGTGGGCAAATGGTTGACTGTCGTGAATAATGAAGAGAAGAAATGGTTGGGGTGATCAGTCAAATAATTTATTTTTACCTTCTTATTTGACTGATCACCCCAACTATTTTTTCTCTTCATTAAAGATTTGTTTCAAGTTTTGTATAAAAAAAAAAATGTGTATTGAAATAATTTAGACTGTGTTATTTTCCCACCATTATTTAACAATTTCTATTTTAATGGTAACGTTTCGACCGCTACGCCATCTTCTGGCCAAATGATTTATTTCATCTCTCAGTGTTGCGTAATTAGATTGCAGTATGTAAAATGACAATTTAAAATCTAATTATAAAGAAAAATTATGTGTTGTAAAATCTTGTCTACTCAAAGTATTGGGTTGTCTGGAAAATAATGTAAAATTTTGAGTTTTCTTTAAAATACCCCTGTATATAACAAACTGTTTACATTTACTGGATTATTCATTTCTATGAATGCCAACACTTATCAATCCTCTTTCAAACGATTATGTTTATTTACCTCTGTAGCATTTCGCTGCTTAGAAATAATTTATTCTTTACTAAGATGTCAACACATGATTTTCGAATGATTTTGTTTTACAAGTTTAAACTCGGCCGAAATGGGACCCAGATGAACAGAAACATCAATCAATGCTGGGACTAGAGCAGCATTAATAATGAGTGCACTGTTCAACAGTGGTTCAAAAAATTTCGGGTGGGAGACTTCAGCCTTGAAGACAAAGAAAGTCGTGGAAGGACTTCTTCTCTTGATAACGATGTTCTATGGGCTTTGGTGGAAGAAAATCCCAGAACAACTGTTCGAGAACTTGCTGGAAAACTTAACCTTAGCAAATCAACCATCGATGACCACCTCAAGGCAATTGGAAAGGTAAAAAAGTTTGAAAGTTGTGTTCCACAAAAATTAAACAACCACCAAAAAAAACAGCATTATGAAGTTTGTGCTACACTTATTTTCCGAAACAAAAACGTCCCTTTTTGGTCCAGAATGTTACTTGTGATGAAAAGAGGGATACTTTACGATAACAGTAGTTGTTCTGGACAGTGGCTTGACAAAGGAGAAGCAGCAGAACATTTTTCAAAGTCCCCAACTCATCAAAAAAAGGTGATGGTTACTGTTTGGTGGGCTTGATTTGGTTTGATACAATGCAGCTTCTTAAAATCTGGAGAAACCATCAATGCCAAATCGTATTGTAACCAAATTAATGCAATGCATCAGAAATTGGCAAAAACGAAACCATCTTTGGTCAATCGGAAGGGGCACATTTTGTTGCATGATAACGCCCGTCCACATGTCTCACTTGTGACATCTCAAAAACTGTTGAAGCTTGGATATGTAACTCTGCCACATACGCCCTATTCTCCGCACCTCTCGCCTACGGATTATCATTTGTTTATAGACACCTGGACCACTACTTATGTGACAAAAAATTTAATGGACAAAGGCATTAGAAAATGCATTTTTGGAGTTTATCAATTCTAAAGGTGGGAAATTATATTCCAAGGGAATGGAAAAGTTGCCAAAACTTTGGCAGAAATGTATTGTTAGTAGTGAAGACTATTTTTATTAAATAAAACAGTTCTCAATCTTTCTTTTTCTTTTTAAACCAAAATCCTGCATTATTTTCCAGACAACCCAATACTAATGTTTATAGCAAAAATAATTACAGTAAATCATTATGAACCATTGATTTCCTTTCATCTAAAAAAACTGAGGAACTAAAAAATGTATGAATTTTTATCTCTAAATATTGTATAAACATGGATGAATAAATAAATTTTGTCAGCAACCTTTTTAAATAAAATTGATATGGATGAGCAAGTGCTGAAGGGATATTATATTTGTCTACAGTGTTGCTGAAATACATGTTCGATATTAATTTAATAAATTAATATTTTTTATAGGTCACGAGTTGAAGAACTAAGAGAAGATAATGTTGTTCTTGAAGAAACCAGGGAGATGTTGGAAGAACAACTTGGAAGGGCTAGGGCTCGGGGAGAAGCTTCCACTGAGCTTGAACAAGAGATTCTGAAACTGAAGCAGTCTATTAACGATTTATCCCTTGTGAGCACATACTTTTCAAAATAATCCGAGTTTTAAATTTTCTTTCTTCATTTATGAACACATATTTTTAAAAGTGATTATTAATTTTTTTAGGAAAGAGAAGCACTTCAAGAAAAACTTCAAACACTTTTAGAGGAGAATGCTAGGCTGGCACTGATAAGCAAATCATTCAACCAAGATAATTCAATGGTTGATATAGATCATCTTGAAACTTGTGGTAATAGCATTATTTTGTCACCCTGGTTGTAAAATTAGAATTTGCATAAAGTTAATTAATGTCTCAGTCCTGAATCTAAGAATTTTATTTTGTTTCTAAAAAATAAATTTTGTTTATTATAGTTGTTGTTGTTTTGGGTTTAGGGACAAAAAACTGCTGACGGTTATCATTGCCCTCAAATCATACTGATTGATTTATTTTTCAATCTTAAAACTACTATTATAAAATTAAATATGTTTTAAAAAAGAATAATAAAAAATTATATATAAATTACTATCAAGAAGAAAAAGAAAAAAGAGAGAAAACGTATTGAGTATATAGAAATAAAGTCAATATATTGCAAATTTGTGAGAAAAATAATTTAGTTCAGATTACTTGAATTAGCCCTATGTTCTTAATGAATTCGATGGTACTATCGAAAGGTTGTTCGTTATCTGTTAGTTCCTCACAGAGCTGACGAGGTACACCACCTCTTTCTATCTCTCGTGTAGCGAGGACACTCCTCAAAGATATGGCTTACTGTGAGAGCCACTTTACAGAGCTGACACTGAGGTGGATCTTCCCTTGCCATCAGGTAGTCATGGGTCTACCGGCAATGTCCAATTTTAAGGCGTTTGATGACTACTTCCTCTCTTCTACACTTTCTGGAGGACGGGGCCCAACAACTGACGGTCGGTTTGATTATTCTCAGTTTATTATTGTCCAACGTGGTCCAGGTCTGTTGCCATTCATTTAAAATTATTATGTTTATTGATTTGAATAAATCTGATGGTGAGATATAAGAGGGCGTTATTACTTCCAGTGAATGAGCTTCTATTGCTGCTCTGTCCACTTCCTCATTTCCAGAGATACCAGAATGACTGGGAACCCAGAGGAAAGCTATTTTTTTTCAAAAAATCTTCTATTTGTTTTATGAGGTAGTGGATTTCTTGTACAAGAGGATTTTCTGAAAATAAATTGTAAATGGCTTTGAGGGCACTCAGTGAATCAGAGCATACAATTATTGACTTTTCCGTCGATGACTTGGCAAGTTCTAGTGCTTTTAAAATTGCCATCAGTTCGGCTGTGAAAATACTGCAGATACTCACCAGTTTGAATTTTAGAGTTTTGCCAGCATTTAACACAGCACACGATTTTGACTCATTTGTTTTAGAACCGTCTGTATATATTATTTTTTCGGACTGATAATTACTAAGTTCAGCTAGGAAGGTTTGACAAATCTCTTGTGAGGAACATTGTTTTGTCTTGGATACTTTGAACTTATTACTGTGTACTTGTGGAGGTGATAATGTCCATGGTGGTAGCTTTCTTCGTCGGTTTATGTACGGATACTGAATTAGTTCAGAGATAACCCATCTCGTTCTATACCAAAGTAGATGGGAGGAATATTTCAATCTTCCGTATTTGTCGGCATTATTCCGATGGAATATAGAATTGTAAGCAGGGTTTTCTGGTTGGGTATATTTTCGTAATATATTTGGCACCCAGCTTTTGACGGCAATATAAAAGAGGTACTATACCAGCATCCACGCAAAGATTGTTTGCCGGGCTTGTTTTGAAAGCTCCAGTGGAGAGGTGTATGCCAGCATGCTGGACTGCGTCTAGTTTTTTAATTTTATTATGCCTTGCGGAAGCATAGATAAACCTACCATAATTAATTTTACTAAGGATTATTGCTTGGTATACATGGAGCATAGGCTTCCTGTCTGATCCCCATCTGGTGTTACCTAATTTCACCTTTCCTACTCATTACTAAGTAACTTGGAGTTACAATTGTTATCTGATAAATTAAAGTTGTCGAGGGTAGATTTTACTCTACCTCTTTTCCACTGTTTTGAATGTGGACTGGGTGGATCAGTACCATTCATTGTTAGGTTACGTAATTAATGTTGAAAAAAATTCAAGAATCAGTAAAAGAATTAGTAAACATTAAAGAAATTCATAATTGTATATAGTTATGAGATTAACTTCACTATTGTAGATAAATTAAGAATTTAGGAACCAAACATAAACATGAAGAATAAATAAAACATTTTTGGGCTTATCTGGCTGAAGTCCTTCAACAAAACAGCTTCGGCCTCTTCAAAGGTACTTTTGGCACTGAATGTACTTATTTTACAAACAATTAACTTAGAATTTACTTCTTAAAAAAGCAAAAAACTGAGAGAGAAAAACATAACCTTTGCATATACTATGATACCATATGATCATATGGTTTATTATAGTTAGTATGATAGTTTAGTTAATTTTGCATTATATTATATTAAGGCATTTTTCTAAAAAGCTATCAATTATCATTGACAATTATATATTATTAATTGCAAATATTTTCTAGTTAGTGAAGGTGACAACAGTTTGTCTGAACAACTGAGCAGCAATGCTCAAGCCCGTGCCTTAAGACTAGAATTGGAAAATAGGAGGCTTGCATCTACTGTTGAATCTCTTCAAGAAGCAGCATTAACTCAAACAAACCAAAGAATTTTACAATTAGAAAAGGAGAAGAAAAAACTTTCTCTTCAGGTATTTTTTTCACATCTAATAAATATTTAATTGGGTTATTAGTGTAGAGGGGTAGCTCACAGTCAATGAGTAAGACAGAGGTCTTCATAATTTCTGGATCCCGGTTTCAAGTATGCTTCTAGCTAGCTGGAAATTTATTTTCTATTTTATCAACCATAGGCTCTGTCATTGGATAATCCATAGGTGGATAGTTATTGGATTATGATAAAACTTGTTGGTTGGGCATAGATGGTAACCATATCAATTCCTTATAAACACTGCTCAGGAAACAGTCCTGAATCTATGACCATTCATGGTTGTACAGGATAGTCTCGATAATTCGAATCCCTACTATTGCGAAATTCTACTATTGGTAATCCAAACAAAAAAGAAAAAAAATTATAGTTGATTGATGAGAGACATAAAGGCATATAAGACCATAAAGGCATTTAATACATTCTTGAAGAGGGCTAATGGATAAAACCTCTACTACCAAAGCCTGCCACTTTTAAAGAATTTGTGGTATCAGGCGTTTTCTTTAGCAACAAAATCAAAGACTCAACATACATATGATCATTTTCAGAATTTGTTTATTTTTTATTTAACTGATAATTTTCATTACGCTGTGCAATTTTCCCATCATTAATATTTAACCTTTAATAGTCTGAACAAGCCATGCATTCGGACTATCAAGACTGTCCTGTAGTCATTCTATTTATTTATTGTTATTTACATAACGTTACCATTTTTCTGAGAAGCTATTTCAACAACAATTTTAGGCACTGAAGCCATTCCAATGTTAGTTTCAATATTCTGTTATGTTTTCTTGTTATTTTAGGTAGAAGAACTAGAAGAAGGTAAAAGAAAGTTAGTTTCCCACTTGTCTGATCTTGAAGCCACTGTTAAAAACGCTCAAAGAGACACAAAGAAAATGCAAGATATAAGGGATTCTCTACAAACTCAACTTCAGGTTTGGTTGCTTTGATTTCTATATTCTAGTTGGTTTTAATTAAAGTTTAATAATATGTATGACTCTTTCCGACAGTTATTTCAAATGATTAAACTTTGTGATTTTGAATAACTTTTTTCTGCAATTATATCCCTAACTGTTTTAAAGATATCTCAAATTAATACTTTGAATCAAACAAAGAAAAAAATAATTCCAGTACTGATTCACTAATCTCATATATATATATATATATATATATATATATATATATATATATATATATATATATATAATCACGCTCGGTGTTGTTTTTCTTGGTTACCTATTGTAAGTGCCTTAGCCTGCAGGCTAAGGCACTTACAATAGGTAAGCAAGAAAAACAACACCGAGCGTGATTAGCACTTGGATGGGCCATGCTGCCCGAGATTCCCTCCACTACCCCCCTCCCCCCGGGGTATGTGAGGCCCGTCAATCTACTGGAGGAAACTCACACCGACCGGGCGTAGGACTGATGATCCTACCCCCATGTACTTAAATCAGGAATCGGGATGTGGTCTAGAAGACCACATCTTGTGGTCAAAGATCTACAAGATCTGTAGCAGCAACCAAAAAAAAATATATAGATAGATAGATAGATAGATAGAAAGTAAACTTTATTCTGGGACAAGGTCCCTTATGAATAACAGATATGAACAAAAAAATTAAAACTACATCTGGCCAAAAATTACATTAATCAATATTAAAGAATATATACAGTATCTTCAGTGAAATTAAATTAAAACAAGTAAAAATAAAATAATTTTTTGAGAAAAAACGAAATAAAAAAACAACATTATTTAAATGAAAATAAAAATAAAATAAAATAAGCATGGGTTGATTTTTAAAATTAAGACAATAAATTTTATCAATCATTCACCTCAGTCAAAATCTGTTTCACAATATTTATTTTATTGTATAACATCATTTTGGGATGTGAGAAGGAATTGGTAAAGATGATATTTAAATGAGGACAAGGAAGAGGCATGACGGATTTCAGATGGCAAGGAATTCCAGAAGGCTGTGGATCAGGAAATAAAGGAATATTCAAACGTCTTAGTTCTATGGGAAGAGATATAAAGGTCGGAAACACGGGATCTTGTTTTCTGGGAGTGGACCACGGGGTTAAACTGTAGATGTAAGAAGGGTGTCTAGTGTTGATTGTTTGGAATAGGAAAGATCCGAGGAAATATTGTCTGCGGAAAGAAGGGAAGAGCCACTTTAACTCGTCGTAAAGGTGGGACACATGAGATCGCTTTGATGTACCGAAGACAAATCTTAAGCACGTATTCATGAGTCGCTTCAATCTATCCTCGAGTACCATCGGGATGCCTCCGTACACCACACAGCCGTAGTCAAAGTGGGGGAAAATGAGAGAGGATACAAGGAGCTTGCGGATGGGTTGTGGGAGTAGGTAGCGGGAGCGATGAAATAGCTTAAGGGTACCTATTGACTTACGGGAGATGAGGGCAATATGGGGTTTCCAGGAGAGGTTTTCGTCTATGGTGATTCCTAGGTTTTTAATGGATGAACTGAATGTGACAGGATGATCGTTGATGACTAAAGGAGGAAGGAAGGAGATGGATTTAAGAATAGGACTGGATGACATATATATATATATATATATATATATATATATATATATATATATATATGTATATTTTCTGCTGGCATTAAAGTCTCTTTTGCCCATTTACAAGCCTTCTCCACCTCTGCTTATCTTAGACTAGTTCTTTCCAGTTACGACTCTATGCATACGACTCTATTTCTCTTTGTTGCTTTGATCTATCCATCTGTTTTTTGGCCTTCTGTGTGGTCTTCTGCCTGCTATTGAAGAATTCATTGTTGTGTAGAGGCTTCCAATGGATTACTCTGAGCTAAATGTTCCACTCATCTTAACCTCCTTGCCTTCATTAGAGATATATATTGACCAGTTTTTGTAAGCAGCTCTTTATTGGTCTTTCTCCTCCAGGTGTTAGAATTCTGATTCCAGATTGCTCTGGTTACCGTATGGAAGATTTTTCTCTCAAATCTTTCAATGCTTTTTCTGGGGTATAATAATATAGTATCCAGGTCTCCCAACCATATATTAGAACTGCCTTTATCATAGTATTGTACGCCCTTAATTTGAGATTTTTAGGGATTTCAGTATCTATGAAAGAGAAAAGAAAGCTTAGTTTGTGCTGATTATATGCTGATCTATTTCACACCGTTAGTCATCCATTGAGCTTATTGTGGAATCGAGGTATTTGAATTTTCTACTCTCGGGAACAATTTCCCTTCTACACCGATCTTGCTATTAAGTGGAATTTTCGACTTATCACATATTTGGTGTTTTCATCATTTACTGGTTGGCTGATTTCCTCTACTTCTCTAATGAGAGTCTTAGCATGTTTCTCAATGTCCTCTTGATTGCTTCCAAGGACTATATCATCTGTATATCTAAGAATTTCAAGATTCATTCCTACAAGCACCACTCCTTTTTCATGTGATATTCTTATCGCCTTTTCCAGCACGAATTTGAACATCAGTGGGAGTTCATATCCTTGTTTTAAGCCAGTTAATAATAATAATTAAGATTTCATAATCATAAAGCATTATCTGTTATGAATTCATAACAAATATATGATATTTATTACTAAAATGGTCATGCTATAACAACCATTATAGTAATAAATTTTAAATAAGATTCACAACTTCAATTCTTAAAATAATATACTCTTTATGCTTTCATTCATAAAGGTGGAAATGGAAAATACTACTAGAAGCTATCACTCTGTGGAGGTGGAGGTTTGGCATTAATATGTTACAAGTTGGTTGACTAACATAACATTTCAATCAATAGCCTCACATGATAACCTTATTACTTAATTTTCCGATGATTTATTTTTTTAATTTGGATTTAAACCTCTATCCTATTGGTATTCCTTTGTTGTTTTTTTCAAGCTCTCATATCAGATGTGAAGACAAATAAATTACTGCATAAAAGTCAGTTACGAGGTTATCTGTGAGGCAATCACTTTTAATCTGCTTAAGCCTTGCAGAAATTCAAAATAATCAAATTTTGTTCTCCATCATTGTTTTTTTAATGGAAAATGTTGATTATTGATATCAATAGGCACGAGTGGAAGATGTTGATAGATTGGAGCGAGAAAAGAGTCGATCTGAACGTAGGCTAGCTGAAACTGAAGAATTATTAGCAAAAGTAAAAGAAGAATCTGAAGAAAATCTGACTGAAGCAAGATCAAAGGTTGCTGCTTTGGAACGGGATGTTACTAGACTCAGGCAATCAATAGCTGTAAGTTTTATATTTTATGTGTATAATATCTATTTTTCTGATGATTTTCAATATGCTCTCTTACATGGGACATGTAAACACTTTAGAATTTCAGATTCCTTTCTGTAATATGATAATAAGAAATAACTTTAAACCATTAATTAATTAATAATATAATGAAAAACAGCATTATTTGAAGTTATTTTTATATCTGTTTACCTCATTACTTTTGTTATGTTGCATCTTAACAGCTTTTTATAATCTACCTGATCCAACTTAAAATTTATTTCAAGCTATATAATTCTTGTGGTGTATAGGATGGTTGGATCAGATAAACTTCCTTCTTATTGAACTGGTTTACTAAAAATTTGTAAGTAAAGTAGAGGAAAAGAGAGACATTTTTACTTGAATATAACTTAGATAATAGATTGGTATATTTGCAGGTTAAAGGAGATGAACTCGACAAAATACAGTGTGATGTTGAAAATCTTAACAAAGAGAAGCTTCAGATGTCCAAACAAATAGAAGAAAATAATAATCAGATATCAAGGTAAATGTAAATAAATTATATTTTATTCTCTTTTTCTTATTTTCAAGTTTGTACTTTATGAAATATAGAGTAGGTTAATCAAGACTAGATTTTCCATTTAATAATGTGTCTTTTTAAAATTTATTCTTAAGGCTTCATGAAGTTGAAAGAGAATTTCGAGAACTAGAAAGCCGTTACGAAATTGATAGAGCAACATTAGCTGCCTTACAAAAAGAACTGATTTCAGAAAAACTCAGCACTCAAGGACTCAAAACAAGCCTTGAACAATTAGGTCTAGCACTTGATCAGCTATCAGATCCCGAAGCTGCTATTGATAGGTAAGCTATGTTTGAAAACAATTAATTATCCCTTCCTTTTTTTTATTATAATAAAAAGTGGTTGTAATTTAGCTGGGTAATATTACCAATAAAGTATTAAGAAGACATAATAAGTTTAATGTTCGCTATAGGTAATAAATGATATTAATAAAGCTGGAAATCAATTTTTTGGAAAATTCTTAGCCTATTTTTAACTCATTCTTACAGAAAAAAAAAAATTATATCTTCATTTTCCTGAAAACTGCCTTATTAATGGTATGTCCTTTGTACAAAATGCATGGTTTTATCGTTTCTTAGGAATTTCTTCAATGTAAAGTTTTCCTCAGCCAAACTCCTTTCCTAGCGGATCCCTCCATTTCTGCCGATCCATCGCTTCCTTCTTCAACAGTCCCCTACCAATCATTCTCTCCACCACTCTATCCTACCATCTAACTAGAAATCTTCTTCTACCCTCTGCCTCCCAATCCATGATTATATTTGGTATCCTATTGTCACTCATTCGTCTCACCTGGCCATACCATCTGAGTCTTCTTTCTTCCATCACTTCTATGATATTCTATTTCATTACCAATTTCTCCCTAATTGTGAAGTTTGTGACCCTTTCGGTCATTGTTTCTGACCCCTGCATAGGAAATTTTTTTCCTTGGGACATGTCGATGGGTCATGTATCCGATCTGTATAGCTTCAAATATTCTACCTAATCAGTTTTATTTATTAACATGTTGCTGCTGCAGAGTAAAGAGTTAATCATTCTGACTGTTTTTTTGCTATTTGTGATCCTGTTTTGGATTTCTTCTGTTATAAAAAAAATACATGTCTTTAACAAAATTAATTTATTTTTTATTAAATTTTATATTACAGATATTCCTAATTAAATATTAAAATATTGATATAAATATTACTAATATTTAATACTTAATATTTATATTAATTAAGTAAGTAAGTTATAATTTTATTACTTAATATAAATATTAAAGATTTCCAATTTGAATTTTGATGCTTATTTAATATTTTAATTTTCGAAAATTATAACAAAAGCATCGAAAAAAGTAGCAAAGCATATTTAACTGCCTATCACTTATATTCTCCCTATCCAAGTCTGACTAGCCAATAATCATTTATTCTATAATATCAAGTGTGGATTGACACAGTTGTCATAAAACTCTGTGGAGGCACTCCCAATCTCTGTAAAGTGGGTATCCTGGATTGAGAAGAGAAACTGTCAGATGTGGGTGATACTGACCAATCACCTCCTTACACAACCATCGGCCTAGAGACAGTAAATCTTACAAAGTATTAAACCCAAGATTATTCATATTACATAGTGGTGAAGTGTTTTTGTTTTGTTTTTAACTTCTTATAATGATCTATCATATTCCCTTAGGTAAGAGTGGCTAATTATTACACATATGATGGAGTTTTCTTCCTTCACTAACATTTCTTTGTTTGTTTATTTGGGTTGGTCTAAAGTTTTAATATACTACAACTAGGGCTGGAAGGTGACCAACTTATTCTTTCCAAGAAAATCGAGATTCATTCCATGAATCCACCACAAAATAAATTTCAAGCCACTCAGGTTAGATTCGAACTGCTTCTGACTCAAGGTTGCTAAGGGGAAACCTTAACACACTCAGGCCACCACAGTATTTATCTCATATTAAAAAATAACCCTTTGTATAAGTAATTTGTGATACACATTCTTCAAATTTCCTTTACAGAATATTGTCGAGTCCTGAAATCTTGAAGGCAGTAAGGGAAAGACTTGGTTCAAGAGAAGAAACAAGTCCAGAACAGAGCGCTCAGCTAGAAGTGGAAGTAGCGACGCTGCAATCTCAAATTGCATCACTTCAGTCCCAGCATACAGCTTTACAATTAGCCAATTCTCAATTGGCTGCTGAAAAAGAAGAGGTATTATACATTAATAATGCTATTATTGAAATTCAACTGAACCAAGTAGTGATCTTACTCAGTATAAAGATTTCTTATCTTCAAATAAAGATTGTTTTGCAACTTGTACTTTATTCTTTTGGAGTTTGAGTTGTAGGTCAATTAAGCTGCAAAATAAGACTACTTATGAATATATTTACATTCATAAAAAGAAATATGAATACAGATGATACGTATTCACGGCTGTGTTTACATTTGTAAAAGTGAATACAGCTGTATTCACATTTATTAAAATGAATACACTTAAATTTACAGAAGTGAATGGAAATATTTTCACAAAACCTTGTGAATGAATACTTAATACTTTATAATTTATTAAATAAATAATATTTTCAGTCACGTCCAATTTCACTCTCCTGGGATGTATGGTATTTTCCAAAATAAAACATAAAAGTATACATAAATTAAAATAAAGTTCTGGACAAATTATTAAATTGAATCAATCTCTTCAAAAATGTTGGAATAATGTTAATAAGTTGGTGTTTGCTCCTCCCTCCCTCATTATTTTGATGAACAAAAATAAAATCAAAATCAATAATTGTTAATTTACACGAATGAATAAATTATGTAAACTAATGTAAATTAAGATAATTGGAAAATTAGAATAGAAGGCTGAGCTAAGCCCTAGAAGTAAGTATTATACTATGTCCTATGTTCCTATTACAGACATTTTAGTTAATATTCAATGATAATTATATGCAACAACATATCCTAGGATTTTATGATTAATTCATGAAAGTGCCTTACGGAACTGTACAAGACACTGGTAAGACCAGTTCTCACTCATGCCTCCGAATGCTGGACATTACCCAGTACACAGAAAGCCCTTCTCCTTATCTGGAGGATAAGAACGAGTGCTGAGCTTAAAAGACTACTAGATCTCAGATATCATGAAGGTAATTAAAGTAGGCCAGCTTCGATGGGCAGGTCATTTGATTAGAATGAGCCAGGATTAGGAATTAGATTCCTAGGATGGTCCTAGATGAAAGAATTTATGGGACAAGAAGAGTGGGAAGACCTCGGCTCTGATGGATTGATGGAGGGGCGGTGGATGCCAGGTCCATCTTGGGAATCCGCAATTAGAGAGCAGCGGCAACCAATAGGGAAGACTAGTTGACCAAGCTGCTGAAGGCCTTGACTCTGTAGGAGTTGTAGTGCTACGGATGATGATGATGATGATTCATACTGTATTTATATTTTTGAATATAAATATGCCTTTCTCTGGCACCCTGAAGGTCAATTTTTTCAGGTTTTCACTTATATCATGAAAACTATGTGTCCTAGTGATAAAGATGATCCATATAAAATTAAAGCTTATAAAATTTACAAGATTTTATTCATTTTTTTCTTCTTTTTTTTTCTATCTCACATAGTTTTTAATATATCTGTTCTCAATATTCACTAATTTAAAAAAAATGTTAATCTCATGTTTTTTTTCTAATCCTCCTTTATTTGAATTTTAAAACAAATTACAATTTATAAGTATACAATATACAAATATATTTCTTCTTGCTCAGTACTACATGTTTATGTTTCACTAGCCAATTCTTTTATCTCATTTTTTAGCTCTAAATTTTGTTTAAGAATATGTATTATTTTAATATCCTATCTTAAATCCTTCAAAAGTTAAATGAATTATAATTTAGTGTGTAAATTCTGAGATTTTACAGGAAAAATTGACTTTCATATTTTTCAGTTCTCTACTGCTTTAAAGCTTTATATAAGCCAATGTATACATATTTATTTATATTAATAGTATGTATTACATGTACAAATTGCTTGCGAATAATGTTTCATCCCTAGCTAATATCCTGAAATTAATTTTTTGCTCTAACTAAACTTCATTATATCATATATTTTTCATTTGGGCTTTATAGTTACAAAAAGAAATTGAAAGTGTGCGTTCCGAACAGCATCAAATGTTAGTTGATCAGCTAACTCTTCAAAGCCTTCATGAAGGTTTAACAACTGAGTATGAAACATTGGCCCGTGAACGAGATGCTCTTAAGGTTGCTGTTAAAGAAGGAAGAACTGAAACTAGATCTATTAGGGAAAAGGCAGAAAGCCTGAAAGGAGAACATTCAAAACTGAAGGTAAATAACAATATAGTTATGTTTAATCCTTTAGTAACATTACTTTTATTAATTTTGATAATATTTGAAAATGACTTTATGAAACATTTAACCAATTATAATAAATAAACAAGAAATGAATGAGATGAATATTTCAGTTTATATTTAATGTGGTGATATTGGTTAAAATTTTATTGATCGATCTTTATTCCTTCTTGGATCTTTAATTGTTGTAAATTATCATCATTTTTATAACTTCTTAATAATGAACTCATTGATATATTTTGTTAAATATGTATGGATTAATTCAAATGAAAAATTCTGTTAATGTTATTTTATTAACTTTTTCATATATAAATGAGGTAATTAATTTAAAATATTTTAGTTTTGTAATATTTTTGGTTGAGAATATTTTTCCTATTTAACAAATAATTATTAAATAAATTACAGTTTTATATACTAGCTCTCTCTCTCTCCTTTTTAATTATTTTATTTTTATTTTAATCCACTATTTACACAATACTTATGAACTCATATTTATTTAATGGACCTCTAGCATTACTATTATTTACTTTTTTTTTTTTATTATATTGATATTACTTTAGTTATGCTCTTTGTATTATATTTAGCAATGTAAAGCATTATTAAATAGTGGAGGATCCACAAAATTCATGATTTTCTTTATCCATTATCTATTTTATTTACTTCTATCCTCTTTTTTATTAGGAAGATTTCAGAAACCTATTTACAGCTAGTGAAAAGTTAAAGACTGAATATAGGACAGCCCAAGAAGAATATAAAAATATGAAGGCAGAAGTAGCCCGTGGTGATGAATTAAGGGAAGAACTTCACGTGATGTCTGAAAGGATAAGGACTCTTGAAATACAGATTTCAAAATTGCATAGTCAATGTGAGGTAAAAATACTTTTATTTGATTTGTTCGCCTTCCTTTTAAAAATTTATACCCAACAAATATATTTTTAAACTAAATGTCATGATGTAGATGTTGAAACAAGTCAAAGCAAATCTTGAAGAAGATAGAAGATCTTTAATGGAACACGTCACCCTTCTTCTTGGCCAATATCATGAACTATTAACTCATTCCCTTGAAGACAAAGAACATTACCACATGGAAGAAAAAATATTCACGTCAGTATTTAGCTTTTTATCATCTTAGTCTAAAGACATAAAACAGTTCAATAGCATAAATTAGTAATGATATGATTTCCTCATTCCTCCTTTTGTTGGATCATCTATTTTTATAATATTTCTATCTGCTAATTTATTATCTTCACTACTTAATCTTCTTTAAAACATTAATGTCAGCTTATGATGGTAAATTGTATTACTTTTCTGTTTTTATTATTGTTTACCTACAACTTTAGCATATTCAGGGCATCCTGGAAAATTTTGTTTCATTTTTCATTGTTTTATAGTCTGCATCCCGCTATATCTTTTTTCTTTTTGTTAATACTCACCTTTCCAATATTCAAAATAAAGAATAAGTATTTGACAACCCTAGAGATATAGACTGTTAAGATTGAGATTCACAAATTAATTTATGGTTTTTTGTTTGTTTGTTATGGAGTTTTGACGTAAAACCTGTAGGTTATAAACGCCTTTAATTAAGTCTATTTATGTATGTAATTTATGGTTGGAAAGGAGTCAAAATTGACAAAACACTAATGAAGTTAGGGATTGTCAATTTAAGTTCCAATAACACTATTAAGTATAGGACAAAGACTAGTTGAAGTTCATAACATCATAAGTTTGTGTCTAATCGGATAGAGGAATAAAAACCATTCAAAGTTATATGACTGTTTTATTTGGTGTTTCTTAATTGTGATTTTTGTTTTCCAGTGACAAATTAAATAACCTCTGCCGTCAAAAAGAGAAATTAGAGGAAAAAATAATGGAACAATATAGGAAAATGGACAGTTGTCCTTCAAAGAAGTAAGTATTTTTATGCTATACATTTGAAATCAATATTATTTTTTGCTCCATAGCCATTTAAACTAGTTTTATTTTAAAACTGATAGTATAGTAGACATTTATATTCAGATTAATGAGTAATGGATAATTTTTTGTAATTTTGATTCTATTAATTATATGATTGATTCAAAAAGAGTTAATTTTATTTTTAGAAAAAGTTTTGGGGCTAGTTTAGTGAGAAGAGTTAGAAAAGCTGGTTCTGATCTAATTAGTAAGGTAATCATTTTTTCTAACTTTTATATGTACCTAATTTTTTTAAAAATGTTTATGTTACAAAAATTACGTTGAATATTTATCCAATAGAGCCGGCGATCTTGGCATGAAGATGGTATCAGGAGAGGTAGCACAGTTGGAGCTGGCACTGATTCAGATACCAGTCTTGAAGAAGGAAGGAATCGGCAAGGTAATCTTTAATATTTTTTAAATCATTTGTAAAATAAAATTGTATATTTTCTACCAATCCTAATTTTTACAAAAATAATACTATTTATACTTTTAGTAATTTACAAAATTATTTTTATTATATTTTAACTCTATTGAATTGCTTATTAACAAAGTTTGAATAAACACATCTTAACTGTTCGTGATTTGAATAATTGAAATATTTTAATCAGTAATAATGGTTTGAGAGTTTTCAGTTAAACAACTAACTAAATGACTAATATTATTACCATCTAAACTTAATTTTATTTCCCAATCAATTTACCTTTTAATGATATATTGTAAAGATTAAATTTTTTTTAACCCATATTTTATTAGTAAATTCACATAAATACCCTTCTTGGTCAGTCCATAGGAAATATTTTTTTACCTATTGTGTTAACTACCATTTATTATGTACTTGATAAAATCATTGTTTTGGATCGGTGGTTAATGGTTAATATTAAACATTGCAAAAGTAAATTTTCAAACCAGTTAACTATTTCAGTTTAGGTTAGTTTATCACAATGTTTGTTTTCAGAGGTAGATTTGGTTTTGGGAAATCCAGGGAGTAGGAGAACTGTATATCTATCTGCAGATGAAAACTCGGCATCTGCTAACGTACGTAACATTTATTAATCACTAATACCTTAATATTAAGGAATGAATTTTCTTATCTGCTTTTTCTAACACTGTCTGCTTTACTTCTTTGTGTTTATGTTTTAATTTTATTGTTATTATTTCTGTTTCTTTTATTAAATCAGTTATAAGTTAGTCAGCCAAAAAGTGGGGAAGGGAACCATGCAAGCCCATTAAATTATCTGCTTGGCTGTTTCCAAAAACATTATCACAACAGATGTCAAGTTATCATTAATTTTATTTTTCTATTCCTGCATTTATAAAATATGTTATAATCCAAATTATAAAATGGTTAGTTAAAGCATTGTGTGTAATGTTTGTAAAAAAACAATTTCTGCAATTGTACAATACGTTTAGTCTAAATAATGGAAACCTTTTTAGTGACTGCATTCAGGTTAAGTAGTGGTAATAAAAGAGGCCAGATTGATGATAAGCAGTTATGAGGGTCCTTTTGTTTTTCCAAATAAATTTAGGATTCTATTCAGTCTATCAGAAGCAATCGGTCATGTGTTTATAATTTGTATAAAATAGCCAAATTTAGCATGTTTGAAACTACAGAGAACAGCTAGTAAATGTATTAATAAATTTTAAAAAACCTGTACCACTAAAACTCCATGGGTTCAGTATTATTTAGGGAAAGTACTGTTTCTTGGTCTACAGATGTGCAAGGAGATGGTTTGACCGAGATCATGCTCAACCGTCAGGTTTTCCCCCTTAATTGATTATTTAGTTAAGAGTTCCCACTTTATAGAGGCTGGGTATGCTGATCCATGCTGGGTATAAGATGATCAATGGCCGATGTAACAGAATAAATAATATCTCTGCCATAAGCCGGGATTCGAACCTGAGACCTGAGTAGTGGAAGCTCAGCGTCCTATTACACTTCACAATAAATAATAAAAATATAAAATGAATAAACTGACACATTTAAACAAAACAATAGTAAGATTTGTCTTTTATTGCAGTAGTTCTCCAGAAGGCAGCCATAACAACTAAGAGTCCCGCCAAATACGCCACAAGGGCTTCATAAAATTTTTAAATTATTAAATTAAATTAAAAACTAAAGTATTAAATAAAACATTTATAAAAAATTAATATATGATAATTTATTATTACAGTTTTAATTAGTTTGTATTTATATTTCATTTTCTTCTATGGTTCATTATTCCATTCATCAATAATAATAATTTGGTTTTTTTTAACATTTTTAAGTTGTTAAAAACATACATTAGGCCTTAATAGTGGAGAATCGTGTTTAAATTCACATTGTAAAGTAGAGATGTTTCAAAGAACAACTTACATGTTCTTGCTTCATGTGATGAAGTTACATTTAATTTATTTGTGCTATTCCCTCAGTTCTTATTTAATTTTTAAAATAATTCTAATTATATTTTATTTCTTTGATCAATATTATTAGCTCTTAGTGTTCAATATCCAGTCTTTTGTGTCAGTTTTGAGAAATTGATTTTTGTTATAATAGTTAGTAGTTCTATATTTATCAATCCTTCTGTCTGGTTAAATATATGTATATATTCTTCAAAATTTCTTTAAATCTATAAAATATTGTTTTAGTTTATCATTCATTATGAGTTTTATTATTTCTAGGACCAAGATGAAAACAAAAGTCATATTTCTGAAGTACCAAGATCTTCAACACCTCAAGAACAGTATGTACTTATTCATGTTTTTAAATTTGATTATGTATTTACTGTTTTTTTTTCTTGATATCATTCTGCTATTTATAAGAAAGTTATTGATTTTTATATTAGTTTTGTGTATATTTCACTCTTTGATGTTGTTGAGGAAATCCCCAAGGGGTTCCCAACCTTTTTCAGCAGCGGCCACATTTATAGGTTATGTCTTGAGTGGTGGGCACCGTGTTTTTATTCATTGTGAATTGCAGGTAGGTTACTGTTTATATATTTAAAAAGAAAACGTAAATGGTATCAATAAAATAATATATAGGAATAGTAACAGACATCTTTATTATTTCTAAAACTAATGAAATATATTATTACAGAAAAAGCTAAAACACTTAGTGCAATGAATGTAATTAATTTTATACAGTTTACTTATATTAAATTAACACATTTTGAAATTAAAATAGAAAATTAGTTAGAGGCGATATTGGTTATGGTTATAAGATAAGTTAAATGCAGTGTTACCAACAGTTTCATTTATTTTTTTTTTTTACTGTCCAAAGAAAGAGATTCTTATTTATGATCTATTCTTAAATTAGTTGTTATTATATGCATAACAACAATGGGGGCTGGGGTAGCCATGCGGGCTAAGGCCCTTGCTATAGGTAATCAAAGTTAAGCAACATCAAGCGTAGTTAGAAGTTAGATGGGTAACCAAGATAAGCAACTCTGCATGAGAATCCTCTCCCCCACCCTCCCAGGTATTTGAGGCCCGTCAGCCTACTGGAGGCAACTCCCACCAACAGGGCGTAGGACTGATGATCATACCCTGTGTACTTAAATCTGGAATCGGGATGTGGTCTACTAGGATGTCTATAGCCTCCTTGAGGGTTTGGTCCATGGACGGTCTATTTTGGGAAGAAATGCAGGTCCTCGCGTGCCTGCTGACTCTGAGCAGCCATAATCCATGAGTCTAGATCGATCCGTCACTGTCCTTGAATCCGAATTAGTCGGTGGGAAGGACACTGTCAGATTGGTTCCAAAGAAGTCAGCTATGTAGCTACGGGTTGCCTGCCGCTGCACCATGGAGACCATGGTTCGTAGCAACGTGAGATTGGATGACCCCCTTCAGGCGATCTGTGCTCCCGCAAGCAATATACGTCTGTAGGGAGACCACATCTCACGGCCAAAGATCTTCATGGGCTGTAGTGCAAACCGAAAAAATATATGTGTGTGTGTGTATATATATACACAATAGAAAATTTAATTATAATTTTTGAATTTTATATCTATAAACTCTTGTTAGATTTTTAAATATTTTATTTAAGAAAGGCATTGTAAAACATTGAAATTGAAAACTCGTCTGTCTGCAGCATCCCATGTAAAACAATTACAAGGATTTAAAAAGATACAAAATAAATTACAACTTTCAAAGTGATCATTCATAGTTACAATTAATTATTAGATATTTAATAAAATAAATATTCAAAATTTAATTGAAAACTTTTTGATGTGCAGCAGGCAACAGTAAAACTGTAGCCAAGGCGATGGCCGATACAGGTTATGTTAAACATAGGCAGGCACAAGTTTAAATTTTAAAGGAGAATTTTACGTATTATATCCATTTTTTATTGCAAGAATGGTTTTAATACAGCGATTAGTTAAGGCAAGATAGATGGTAAAGTTGGAATAGAGATCAGAGTATAAATATTTTTGTATTCAAACTCATGTTATGTGTAGTCATAAGATTATGTTCTGAAGTATTTATATTATTTTTCCTGTATTTCGTGCTGTAGTTGTCATCCTGGGAAACTGTATACATATAAATTCTTTGAACTTAAATTTGAATTTCATTAATTTAGTTGTCTTCATTATTGCGGTCATAATTATTTATTTAATGTTTTCATTTAATTTTTTTTTTTTTAACAGATTTCTCCATGCAAAATAAAAGGTAAGAAAATAAGTACCTTTAACAACACAAACATCAGTGTTTTCAAATTTTTAATCATTTTAAAGTCCATTAGCTAAGAAATTAGAATTTTGACCTTTGTTCCTAGTGAAAATTTTAGAAACTGGTTATGCAGCAGGAAATCACTTATACAAAGACTTTTCTTGTTTAGCAATGCTTTATATGACATAGTGAAAATTCATAATACAGAATTATTATTTTGGATCTTGGTTCAATGAGTAAAATTTAAAAAGTTTCTGAGTAGTTTGAGTACTGTTAGTGTAATATATTTGCCTACAAAAGTCTTTCATATCTGTTTAGAGAAATTAGATCATGTTGTTTGCATTATAGGTTATTTTTAATGAATATCTAAATAAAGATAGCACTTATGAAAGGTTATTTACTTCTGTTATAGACATTATGTAGTAATTTAATTTTTTTTAAATTGTAGTATACTATTTTGGAGCGAACTTAAATTTTCTTCCTGGTAATTGGCCTTAGTAGACTGTCTTTCTAACATTCAATGATAAAAATCGGCTAAACCAATTCAAATTTTTTTTAGAAATGGAGATGTAATTGGCTGTTAAAATTATGAGAATGACAAATAATCAGGATATAGAGTCTTTTATGTTTTGTTTTTTCAGTCCTTAAAATACTTTATATCAATGAAACATTGATTGATTTTTGTTATCAAGTTCTTTATGTCAATCACCACAGTAACAGGTACAAAGTTCGTTAAATTGAAAATACAATAGTGGATCTTATGCCTACTGAAATCTTTGGATCAAGAACTTGATGAGTAACTGGAAAATAGTCTTCCCTTTTCTTGTGAGGAATGCTTCTGCCTTCTTGTAAATCATTGCACAATGCATCATCAGATTCTGAGTGTCTTTATCAAGTAGTAACTTTTATAAAAATTTAAAAGCTCCTGGCCAAGTCTATTCGATGTTTATAATATTTAAATGTTCTGGAATTAACATTTTCAGAGAAAAAAACTGTGAAACCTTTTTTTGAAGGGATTATATGTTTTTAAATTATTTCATTGCATGAAAACAAGGTATATTTTTTTTTTTGTGCATTGTTAGGTATTTAATATCTGAAATGAGGGAGTTAAGTTTTTGATTGTCTTTAGGATTGGAGTGCCAGCTAAGGGACCTTAGGCCTTCTAGAAAGAATTAAAATTATTTGGGATCAGGTTATCATCAGTTAGAAATTTTTCTTATTAATACAATAAGTGTAGTGGGCCGTAACATGTAGAAGTTCCCAGTACTTTTCAATTAATTAACAATCTGTTAACACTAAGTCATCAAATCTAAAGTTATAGAAAGAGTTTCCATACACTACAATTGAATCTGTGTTCTCTGGCAATAACTAGTCAAGTTGAAAAATGGGCCCCTCGAATTCTATAAATTGAGATCATTTTCCCCAAGCCTCCTAAACAATGTGAAGAAGTTAGTAAATTTACAGTTCTCATGTAGACCTCTAAAACTTTTAGTACTATGAGTTACCAATTTCTTCACCGTGCTTAAAACACTTGAAAAATTATCTCAATTTACAGGACTCATGAGGACCCAGTTTTTGACTTAACTAGTTATGGCCAGAGACCATAGAAATATATTATTAATTTTAATTATGTTTATTGTAATCAAATTTACAAATATGAACGTATTCTTCTATGAATTTTACCGTTTAAAATGCTATGAAAATGACTGCCCAGTTTTTGTTTATACTTCAGGAACCTGTATATAAACAGGTTCATATTAGAATCTTTTGTGTCTGTTACAATTTTTGCAAATAATTAATATTTATCATATTTGTCAAGGAATATTATAATGTATGTATTTTCTTTTTAAACTCTTACAGACCACCACCTGTGATAGTTTATAACAGGCTGAGTGTAGGAGCTCCAGCCAGCCCTTCAACCACTCCATCTCGTCGACATTCTACTAGAGAAAAAACTGACATGTGGTATGAATATGGTTGTGTTTAACCTCTCAATTCAAAGTCTTCATCCACTATAAATATTTTTATCATACGCTTCAGTCATGAACTTTAGAAATATTTTATGAGAGGAAGCTTGGTGTATTTATTGTTATATTTTCTATACTTTTATACTTAAAAGTCAATTTCATCTAATTAAATTTTATCATTTAATTTTTCTTTAAATAACAATTTAGTTTTGTTTGCAAACTAATAATTAGTCCATTTGTTGTATCTTAATTTTTATAAAACTGTGATGTATGACTTTGTTCGCTACAATTAACACGTAGTGATAAATTTTTACTAATAATTTTGTATGTTTAATTTATTTTATATTTTATTAAAGTTTCCATCTGAATTAACTGAAACTTATTATGTATTATTGTGGATTTTTTTTTTTATTTGAGTATAGTCAGTAATATTTTTGACTGAAAACTACAAGTGCAATTGCAGATTTAATTAGATCGGCACAGAAACTTTTTTTTAATTTTAAATCAAATGTATTTCTTAACCAAATCATAAAATAAAAAAATTATATTATAACTGTTAAATGGAAATTTGGAGTACTTGCTTGAAAAGTAATGGAACAGTATATGTGAGACTGAGAAACAAAAACCTTTAGTTCCTGAATTCAGTCTCCTATTTTAAATTTATTGGTTTCTATATAAACAAGTCTCCAGTTAATTTTAAAAGATAAAATGACCGTCCATAATCTGAACTTATTTTTCTACAATTAATGATTTTATAAAACTGAACCAACAAGATATGGACATAATATCTTATGTATATTTGTAATAGCAGAAAGGATTTATGCATGTTATATACCATAGGTGGGGAAACTCGATGCCTCGTTTGGCATCTGTGTACTAACGTTCTTGTGTGATATTTATTAATTTAGTGCTAGAATTAATTAATATTTAATTATTTAGGTTACAAAAATTTGAAAATAATATAATTGAGTAGGATATGTGTATGTATATTGGTATATGCATTTCGTAATAAATAAAAATAGCAACAGTAAAATATAAAAAATTCTAGCGGTCTTCATTAGAACTGCCTAACCTACTGCGGCCTCTAATAATAAAACGTTTCCCACCTATGTTATATATCATCAAAGCTTGTAAAGATAAATTACTTATCATGTACTATTTATAGTATATCATTTAGTCCCCACCATAAAAATAATTTTTAAAAAGATTTAAGTTTAGATTTCATCTTATTTTTTTTTTATTTTTCACCCAATTTAGGTCTCAGTAACATTTTGATGTCATAATCAATATAGTATTAAAATAATGATTTTTATGTATTGTAGAACGAAGCATGTTACGTACATTCCTACAATATTGGAAAACATGTATTGATACTTATCGTAATACCATTCCATATTGATATTACATTCTGATTACAAATTTTTTTTTTTTAATACAATATAGAAACATCTTTTTTATATGGTTGAATTATTGTATTTGTTTCAATAGAAATATTGATTTTATCAAATCTAACAAATATTATTAAACAAAGTAAGTAACAATAAAGGTGTATCAAGTGTGTGTTAATCAACAAATGTTCTAGGTTTAAATTTTTTCAAAAATTTAATTAAAAATAAAAATTATTAATAATTAATAGGTTACAAATTAATAGTCAGTAATAATTAAAATGCACTCGACACAGCTTATAATTTTGTTTCACAGGCACTAAATTGAGTCTTTTAAAGTTTTAAACCATTGAAAAATAACTTAAAAAGATCTTCATTCCCTAGTCAGTCACGGTTTTCTTATCATCTTGCAATTAATAATGAATGATGACTTAATTAACTCTACTGACAGTGCATGCTTTATGGACTTCGAGCTTCTACATTACAATTCTCTACTAAACTAAGCGATGAACTTTTCACCATCTGATTACTCCTAGGAGGCTAAGGTCATCTTTAATTTCCAACCAATTCAGTCTAGGCATCCTTTTTCTTCTGGAGATCCTTTTGTTATTTATGTTGAAGTCTTTCTTTATTCCAAGAATGTAAATGATCTAACCATGTTATTTTATCCTCTTTAAAACAAAAAATATATCTAATCCTTAGTAAAGCTCTCAAAGTTTATTACTGTTTTTTTTTGTTTTTTTACAAATTGATTTTCTTGTTTGGTTTGTTCCCATTTATGTGTTAACATTTTCCCTTCCATCAGTCTCTGTTGCTGCTTTACCATTACACATTGCCATTCGCCATCACTGAAAGGCTGCCTTATTAATCCTTATTTTGAAATTTCTATCTATATCCCATCATTTAAATACATTCTCTGTTGGTTTTTTTCCTCCCTTCCTCCCCTTTTAGGCTATATCGGGTTTTCCCAGGCCAAGGTGTAAAGGCGGGGGCCCAGGAATTAATGCCCGATTTAAAATTCCGCCTTGACACCAGGATGTGAACTCTTGGTATTATTTAATCACATTACTTCTATCGAGGTTGCCAGGCAATGCGCAGTGCTGTGCACAAACATTACCCCGCTCCCTAAATATATTCTTGTGGGATTCGCAGTGACATCAGTTGTTACTATTCTGGATTCTTGCTTTTATCTCTTTTGTTCTTTTCAGTTGTACGCACCTCTCCCACTTCACAGATGTTTGCTATTATTTTGAGTAAATCAACATGTACTTCAGTTTGGTTACTTTCATTATTTTTTATTCTACCTTCTTTTGATGAACAACTAGTTCATTCATTGAATAAATAAAAGTTTAACTTTATTGCTGTAAGTATTCTTCAGTTTTGTTTCTCTCATTACTTTTTATTCTGCCTTCTTTTAATAAACAACAAATTTATTCATTGAAAAAATAAAAGTTTAATTTTATTGTTATAAGTATTGAATTTTTAATTTTAATATAAATATTGGCAGTAAAAAGTAAATCAATTTTATATTACTAGTATCAGAAATGTTTGAACATATTTGGTTTTACTTAGAATTTATTTTTTAAGTTTATCTTCATTTAAGATTTAATAATATGTTTGTTTACAATTTTTAAGTAATTGATAATTTATTTTATTCCAATGATAACATTCTATCATGATGCTTGGAAATTAATTCCCATTATCCTATTGAACGCATAGTAGGATTTTTCATTGCCCACTTTTTTTTTCATAGCTTGTTATTTTGAAAATTAACTGATTATAACCTTATTAAAGAAGAATTGTAATTTTCCAAATGTTCCTTATACTAATTGTATATCTAAGTATTTTTTAATTATCTAAAAAATTTGGCATTATGGTGTGTTTTAATATCATTATCAGTAATGTGGGCACACAAACCATCTCAACATTTTAGTTGCTTGGAACAGTTCTGCCTGTCTAATATGTTTCTAAGCCCTTCAAGATAACTCGGGACCCTGGGTAATATATTACCAACAACCAAAAACACTAATAATTAACTCCAATATAAGTTTGTTGTGTGATTTGATTTATGCTAAATGCCACATTTTTGTTTGTTTATGTGAATAGCCATGCTCATAAACAATATGTCTTATGGAACTAAAATTAAGAATTTAAAGTAGGTATATGTCTGGGATTTTGTAGCTACTTTTTAGTCAAAATCGACTAACTGGAAGTGGCACTTCATATTATTTATCGAATCTACACATTGTTACAATTTTCTTAAAACAGTTTAATAATTTTGATTAAACTTATATCAATATGAAATCAAGTGGTCTTAATATCAGACGGATATTTTCCTCATCGAAATAGTCTAATAGGGCTTAAATGCCAAAATTTCTGAATCTTGTTTAATGCCAAAAGTGTGTTTAATTTTCTTTATTTAAAATAATTAACCATTTCGCATTGTAACTAGTTATATAATTGGTTTAATTTTAACTATAAAAGAGTTTAATATTGAGATAGATACTGGGAAATCGGGAACAGCTAAGAGTGCCCAAACATTCTCTCCCATTTGAACTACAGCTCAGCACAGAGCTTTCCTGTTGTTATTCATTATTAGTTTAACTCTTAAATTTCCCTTACATAATTTTCAAAAAAGATTTTCTTGTAAAATGTTGAAAACATAGTAGTATATATGTGTATATACTAATATTGATTTTTTTTTCAATGTGAATATTATATACAATATGAAATAATTAAATATTATATACAAATATAGAAAGAAATGGGAAGTGATGATAAACATCATATGGTTATTAATTCTTTTAAATGAATATTTTATACTATCTATTATTTTTTATTGTCACTTTCCTATATTTGAAAATGTTTTTTTCTACTCTATGAATGGAGATAAGTGAAATTTGAGATGTGTGCACTGCACCAGATTTCTATTTATTATGGTTTTCAGATCGAAAGTTGAGGTATTTTTTATTGGGTTCTTTAAATACTTTTTTTTTTATTACTTTCATTGCATTTTATTTCTGTGTTTCGGTATGTCAACTGTTCTATGCACTTTGTTGAATAATTCAGTGATCAACAAAATTTTTTTCATAGTTTGTATTGCTATTAGAATTGAAGCATTAAATTGGAGAGTTTCATTATGGTAAAATTGTATTAGGCTGCCAGGAGCTGAATGGTCTGATAGTCAACAGCTTAGATGTTGAATAAAAATAAAATAATAATGAAGTTCTAAATTACCTTGTAATTTAGTTGGTAACATGTTAGTCAACGTTGGTCTTCCTGATATGATGAATATCTTCCTTATCTTTTTACCAGTGGTAATGCAAACCTAATGTTTTTTATTGTTTTTTTCTGTAATTTAGAAGTATTTGATTTCAAACTAAACATATTATACTCTCAAAATTAAATTACTAAGCTTCATTTGTGTATCTTCCAATATTCTAACACTATCCGACAAAGCCAGTGAGTGTGCAAGGTAATTAAAAAAATAAATTAATAGTTCTCACTTACAATGATTTGTAAATATTTTGTGTATTATACTACATGTTATATTTTCTTTATCAAAACAAATTTATATATTATATATGTAGCTTATTTTCACTATTTAACATCTACTTCCACTTGCCTAACCTAATAGCTGCCTATAAGTTAAAGCCTCATAATTGAGATTATACTGCAATTTAGTTCCCCATATCATCTTTCAGAAACAAAAGTGATGAATATAATTATTTATTCAAAATAAATGTCTGCTAACATAATTGGTCTTAATTCTCTCTTTAACTCATAATTAAATAAATTGGACTTTTCAGCTATTAACCTATTCAGTGCCTTTGGATGGGTTAAATACTTCATTATTTTCTTCAATCTTTATAGTTCATTAATTCAGTTAATTTTCTTTAGCTCGTAAAATAGTCAAAAGAATATGTTTTATGGTTAGTATAGACAACTTAAAAAATGTATTATGAAATAGATAACTTTTCAGGGCACATTCCAATCCCTTAAAGAATGTAAGCTGTCCAAATCTATTTTTTATTCATTTTTCTGAATGATGGATCTTGTTATGTTTTGAGTAATTGTTATTTTTTAAACTATTGAAGTTCCTTTAGAGTATTTTAGGTATATTTGTATGTAAAAAGTTAATGAATGAAATACTTGTTCTGTTATTTTTAAAGTTTAAATTAGATGATAAGTTTTAATTAACATTTTTGTTTTTCATCGTATACATTAATTGGAAGATATTTTAATAAAACTTATTTTTAATCTGAGTATTCATCCATAAAATGATCTTTAATATTAATGAACCAATTTTAAGTTTTCCATACCATTTACATTCTTTTTAATTCCTTATGCATTTTTTCACTTACTTCTATTGAATATTTACTATCTCATTCTCTTAGCAAATATTTCCTTCATGCAAACACACCTAAAATTTATATTAATATTAATCCTTCAAGGACGAGCACACCTGTGATGACCCTTTCCGGTTCTTTTCAAATTTGATTTCATTGTAGGGATTATGTTAAATAATTGGTGTAAAATTGAAATCAACGATTGATTTGAATTCTTTTGGTTTCCTTCCAAGGAGGATTGTAGCTCAGATCTGGTTCAATTGATTGTATTGCTGAGTGAGCAAAAATATTGAAAACAAAAGAAAAAATTGTGCGAGCAAGAAATCTTCGCTTAAAGTATAAGGTGGAGTGAATTAGTGTGTTTGATGGTATTTCATGAAGAATTAACTGGAATGGACATTGCTATGTACCGTTTATGATATTGAATAATTTTGTAAGTATTTTAAAATTTTAATTATGATGTTACAACTTAATCAATACCACCAATTAAAATGATGGTTATACAAATAACTATAACATGATATTACTATAAAGTTATAATTATTATCATAAAAAGTAGGTGCAACTACTTTAGTCAAATAGTCATACTGTTTCTCGCCTCTATTTGATTAATTTAATAGAATTATAAAAAAAATGTTTCTGTTGTTGAAGTGTTAATATATTTTATAAGCACCAAAAGATATTTTTAAACTTTTGATAATTGATAAGGTCAAAGGTGGTTTGATGCGCAATATATAGTACTTATAAGATACCACATATCCTCTCCACCACAACTCTTCTCTCACCTGTGCGTGGTGGACCCTACCAAGCCGAGCAACCCAGCCTGAGGTGGCGGTAACTAATCGCTGCTGATGGCTGGGTCAGTGAACAAATGAGAGATGGGGGCCCAGAAAACACTGGGTGTTGTTGTTCCAAACTTACGGAACCTCTTTTACTGGGCTAATCATCTGTAAAAGTAACACCTGATGGCCTCGGATTCAATTAGTCTAAATGGTTACGACATGGTGCTCATAAGGACTTACAAATACAAGGATATTTACTGGCAAGGAAGTGGAAATAACTGAGGAGATGATGACATACCATCGTATGTAGACCCATACATTTTTTTTTTCATGATTTTTGGTCTTGAACTTCTTATCATTAAGTTTACAACACCTGCTGTGAAACAATAGTTTACATTTATGCAACATAAAATATTTTTGTCATCTTGAGCAATGGTGCTGCTGCAAATTGACATTGAGCCATGTAAAATAGCAAATATATTGTACTTACAATAACAAGATGGGTTGTTATGATGTATAAGCCAGTGGCGGATCTAGGAATTTTCTCAGGGGGGACACACCTCTGTACCAGGTGCTTCCGCCACTACCCATCTCCCCCCACTCCTTAGCTGAGTTTAACCCCTCAAAAGTCCTCTTTAAATGGTTTTAACAAAATCGAACTCTTATTATTTAAAGTAAATTTTGTCTAGTTTACTCTAAAGCAAATGTTAATTGCTTAAATTAAATAGTTTTTCTGAAAATTGAACCATTGTTTATATAAACTTTTTTGTATTTATTGAGTTCTACTATCACTCCTTTAAATGTTTCCCTCTGCTTACGAGACACCCTCATAAACCCTGTGTACGGGTTTAGATATATAAAAAGCTGAATTGCTAACAGGGGTCACCAAAAGAAAACTTTTTGCAGCCAAAAAATCCAAATTTATCTGAATTTTTTTCATATATTACTACTAAAGAATGCATCAAAGCGAAAAAACATATTCTTTCAGAAATTAAAGAATGCCAAATTGTGCGTCGAACTAGTACCTAAACTTAATAATTTGACTAAGTGATATGGTTGATAAAATGAACGCTTAATGAATCACGGTCAATGTACGCTAATTTTTACTGACATTGTCAAAATCTGAGAAAGGTTACTATAAATGGTCCTGCAGCTTGGAAATGAGTTCTGTAAGAAAAAAAAAACTCAGAATAATTTCCGATTCCGATAAAATCGGAGACCAAATAATTAGTACCTTACTTCATGCAAACGTGCCCAACTGCAGCTATTTTAAGAAAAGAACATTTTCTAATGAGAAATATACAAATTCTTATCGTGAATAAAAGATAATTAAAATAAATGAAATTTTTTTTTTTAAATAAATTTTCCTCCATCGTGTATTTCACCTGAGAGATTCAGTTCGGAGTCGATGAGAACAAACTGGAGCACGAACCTGTGTTTCTCACGGCGACCCAAAAACTACATCACTCTTTTCTTTAAATAGCTGCTTATTCCAACTTTTTCGGAATTTTTGTGCACCATCCAGGGGGAGTGTCGCCTCTTTGCAGAATTCGCTAAAGCTGGTCACGATAATAATTTTTTATATATTACGAAAATTCATCGATTCCTATATTTCTCTTTTCATTTAACAACTGTTTAAAATATTATTTTTCGAAAGGAGAATCCTTCGGAGGATATTTGGTCCAGTTAAGGAGAATAATGGTGAATGGAGAATGGAGAATTAGACGCAACCAAGAACTAGCTAACTCATATAAGGAGGCGGATGTTGTGAAATATAGCCGCATAACATGGCTGAGATGGGAGGACCAAGTTTTACGGATGGACAAAACCGTAATCCCAAAGAAGCTGCTGAGCATAGAGCCGAGTGGAAAAAGAAAAGTGGACAGACCGAAACTGAGATGGAAAATGAAGTTAGTGCTGATGCCATAATCCATGCTATCAGGAACTGGTGGAGGACAGAGACACATGGATTTTTCTTATATTTCTTTTTTCTTTAAATAGGTGCTTTTTGGAATTTTTTTCCAGCTTCCAGGGAGGAGGGGTGCGCCCCCTCCCCCCGGCTGGACCCGCTAGTGGTGTAAGGCCAACAACAGGGTTTAATCCTACAGAGCTGGTTGTTTACCACAATTCTGTAGCTCGTAATAGTATATATAATTTAATATGTTCATTTCCCGTTGAATTGTGAGGAAATACGAACTGTCTATGATCTCTATCGTTGAAGATTTAAAAAAAAAAATCAGAGCTTGAACGATATTAAATACGTAATAATACAGAGGTATATTACGTCTGTCTCTGGCCCAGACTGTATCACCGTGATATATTACTATAAAAATAGTAAAAAATATTCTTAAAACCCATATAGTATTGAATAAAACATAGAAATACATGCAATTTAATTATGTTTTTATTTTATTTATTTATTATGTATATACTGTTTGGGTTTTTTCTCTTCACTTAAGGAGTTTCTCAAGAGAACAATAAATGACTCACCGGCATTGATGACACTAGCATTTTATGATTTAGTACAAAAAACCAATAAAACTTAAAAATGGTTACATAAGATCACAATTAATAAAGTCCTTTTCAGACCAAGGTGTCCTTATAGGATACCACTTTTTATTTTTCTTCTAGCATAAATTTTGTTTTTGGCAAAATAGGACTTGCTTTTACAAGTCTTAAAGCCAAAAAAGAACAAACAAAAACATTTTGTTTTAGTATAATCAGACAGATTAAATCAGCTGACTATATTAAATGTCAAAGGTTGTAGCTTTGACTATTCCGTAATGTTTAAAAAATAAATAAACAGTTGTGATATCCTAAGAACAACTTGTACTGAAACGGATAAAAGCTCCTCCATAAAAACCATGCTGCTTTATGAACCATGAGTTTTAAAACAGGCAATCCACAATAATCTGTGGTGTATTTATACTACGTTTGCACTAATGCAATGATCCAAAAAACAAAATTTTCAACTTAAACAAAAAACAGAAGATCAAAGAAACATAAGGATTAAATTGAATTACTTGCCTACTGGTGCCATTCAAAGGTGGAAATTTGTTGGCTTTGAAAGTAGATTCATTATTGTTGTGAGACCTGAAACAAAAATAGCTAAGATCACCTATACTTTGTAACAAAAAATCCTTTTCTATTCAAGTAAATAGTAATATTTAATGCATGCAAAAGATGTTAAATGTTTGGAATCAAAAGATATATTTCAGACATGAAATGAGGAAAGATCTTAAAACCTAGCGAAAGGTTAGGAAGGCTTGCTAATTAGATAAAAAATACTTTTATTATTTAATCTCAATATAGCTCGTATATAACTTATTACAACACTGCTAAGTACTTAATTGTAGATAGCATTAAAATAATCTAGTGGATTTCAACATTCATAATATAATTTTAAGATTGTGCAAGTGACAACAAATTGGCCTAAAATCTGAATATAATTATAAGTATAGGTACCAAATGTATTTATAACATATGTAATAACAAATTAAGTTTTCGAAATTAAGGAATGATTGATAGATAGAAAATAAACTTCATTCTGGGAGAAGGTCCCTTCAGATTAACAATTATGAACAAAAATCGAAAACCATATCTAGCTAAAAACTAGATTAATAACAATTAAACAAAATATAAAACATGTTCAGCGCCAAAATAAGAACAACAAAGAGTAAAAACATTTTCTGGTGTGTCCACTCACACGACTTTCCTACCTATTTCAGAAAAAAAATTATATCTTTACATATGCTCATGAATCATGAACAAACAAAAAAAAATTGAACTAGATTTATTTTCCTGTAAATTGATCAAAGAAAAGATTTGGGTACTATTTAATAAACTAAAGCAATGTAAACCGGCTTAAGGTAGATCAGTCTATAGAAACACATGTTGTTCATTTATTGCGCATGGAGCACCGAATTTCTCATCAGGCATCAGTTGTCAAAACCCTACAAAATAAAAACAGAAGTAATCAAATCGGTTCAATATTTCCCGAGAAAATCTTGGCACAGACAGACAGACCAATGGCTAAAAATGTGTTTTTCGGACTAACGGGGCTCTGAAACGGATAGATCCGTCGAAAGCCGCGTATCGGAAATTTGACCCGATTGCAATACTTTCCTTAGCTAGTATAGGTAGGAAAGTAATAAGTTAAAACATACGTAAAAAATAGAATAAGCTGTATCATCGATAATACTGGTTCGATTTCGATGACTTTTTTTGGTAATTTAATTATCTTTCAAAAGTTTTATTATAAATTTTACCGTATAATATATACTTAGGGAGTTAGGCCCTATAACATTTTTCTTTTCTTTATAACTTTTTTTCTTGAATTTTCTCGAGAATTTAGTCCATATACGAAAATTGAAAGTACAATTATAAGAACATTAGAGGAAAGTTTCATTAAAATTGTTAGAGCCGTTTTCGCGCTATAGTCAATAGAAAAACATTGCGCGCAACCTATTGCACCGAATTTCTGTCACAGGCATCAGTAGTCAAAACCCTAGAAAAAAAAAGAAGAAAAAAAGATCGGTTAGGTAGGAAAGTAAAAACAATTGAAATGAAAAGAAAAACAGAAATCAGGAAAAGTAAAAACATAACATTATAAACATAATGAGTTTATTCTTAAAACTAAAACTAAAACTTAAACAACCAATCACTTTAAACGAAATTCGAGTTTATTTCATGATTTTACATTTATTGAGTGTCATTTTGGGATATGAAAAGGAATTGGTAAAGAAGGTATTTGAATGAGGACAAGGAAGAGACATGGTGGTTATGTTAATGTGAATGTTAATGAATTTTACTAAATACTGAGATGTATTAATTAACAATTGTTAATTGCATTGCTTGTGTGTACGTGTTGTATCTATGTGTGTACATGAGAGAGAGAGAGAGAGAGACAATTAATACTTTTTCACTGAAATTTTTACTCACAAATATTCAGACGATTGATGTGCAGTTGAAGGAATATTTTGTTCCCTTTCACCATCTTCACTACAACAAAGAGAAGAAAGGTCTTAGTAGTAATAACAATTGGTATGGAAAATTAAACAAATTTATTCCTGGCCATTATCCCATGCGCTCTACAATTCGGCTAACAATCATTCTTTTAAAAAAAATTAAATGTTCTAAATGAGGACCCATTCTTCAGCATATATGAGCTACAACTTCTAATGATCTTATATAATTTGAAACTAAATTAGTATTAGACCTTGAGATATTGCTTTAAAATGATTTTGAGATGGAAAAATAGTTTCCTATTGTTATCCCACCCTTGCTTCAGTAATGTCCTTGTTGATTATGAAATTTAATTTGATTTCTGGCTTATGTAGCATTATCTTGGGTATCTTGCCCTTTTTTTTATTAGCCTATTTTTGTACTGAAAAATAAAAATTTATTTTGTGTAATTCATTTGTATAATCTTCGTTTAATATATATATATATACTTAAACACCACACGGATGTGGAGAGCGTATAGTCAGCTTCATTGTTACTTGAATCAGTCGAACCTTTGATTCTCATTTTTTATAGATCTTTGTATAGTCACTGATTACATTATCAGTTTATCACTACCGAAAGAATGCGGTAAGCCCTACACATTTTAATCTGGGAAGAAGAGAAGGAAGTTAAGACAAGCTGCAGCTGTTCAAGGACCGGCTTCAGGTAGAAAAATGGAGATAAGAAAATAAAAGTGGGGTTTGTGGTCTTGTGCACACAAACAAGTCTACACCTTATAAATAATAATGTTAACAAAATTTTAGTTAAATAGACGTATACTGCCAGCAGTGGCATACGCATACTGCTGCTATAACCCGTATGCCCGCCCATAAGGCAAGGCAGGGAGAAGAGAGAACTACACTATCAAAGAATTTCTTGAATTCGATGAAAGATTGTGGATTTTATTGTTCAATTCATCGGATTTTTCCAATTATGCTTAGCAAGAGTGAATTTATCCATCCTAAATCCGGCTTCATGTGCCCTCTTTTGTTCAGCGAATGGATCATTAAATAAATTAATATTGACAGAATAATATATGAGCTATAGAAAAGAGATATTTCTGGATAGTTCTCACATTACAAGATGTCTCTTTTTTTTATGGTTGGGATGTGTTCTCATACTTCTGGAGTTTGGCAGATAGACCATCTGCTCCTGGGACTTTATTATTTTTTAAGCGCTCTTTGATTTCATTCATGTCCCGTGATTGAATTTCCTAAGGGGGCAGAGTAGTCGAGCGGGCTAACGCGTATGCAAAACACGCTTTGCCCGGAAACCTAATTATCCGAAGTAAATGTGGTAAAATAATTACGAGTTGGCGTCCTGTTGCCGTGAGAAATGGGGGTTTATCTGGTATTAATCTGACTTTAAATTCGGGATGTTTTAGCTTTTGAACACTTTCTCTATCCTCCCACTAGCCTGGTTTCTAACCATGGACACAGGCGGATCTCACGGGGGAGGGGAGGGCTTTCGGGCTGAAGCCCCCAAAAATGGTAAAATATAAACATGTTTTACAGAAAAAATTATTAAAAACTGCCTCTTAAAGTATTCTTGTTCGTATAATTACATTTAATAGGACTTCAAGAACCATTTCATACAGGTAATTAATTTCTTTCTTCTTTTTTTCCAATTAATTATTGTTATATGTATATGAAAAAAAAATCTTTCGGGCTGAAGCCCCTCCTCAAAATTAAATCTGGATCCGCTACGGACCATGGATATTTGAACTCCAATTCTTGCAACTGTAAAGTAATCAATATTTGCTCCCCGAAATACTACTTGCAGTAACACTCCTACTCCCCACTAGTACTCGCGATGTCAAAAAATTTGTTACTCTCTGACCAGTAGTGTTAGATTTGTAATGAATACTATGCATTCTATTAATGGGCCGAAATTCATCCTCTCTTTCGATTTGTTCATTCGAATCTTTCATGACAATTTTCACATAATCTCTGGGGCATTCATCCAGACATCTTTCAAGATCATCATATTTTTCCTCAGATGATTTCCAGTCTATATCGTGACAACACATTCCATGTAACAAGTTTAATATCTATAAAGCGGGCATTACTTGCTTCCTCCACCGAGATCTTTCTGCAAGTGAATTATTATCCCTGAGTCAGGCGGAAGGAATGCCCCCTGGCCGGCTCTGTTGTCTGAATCGAGCCAGCATTGGAGGTATTAGGACAAATCTGCCAAATTCTTCAATTCCACTAGTTTCTAGATGAATCTCTGCACGACGTCAGGCATCAGTTGGCCAGCAGTGTTCCAAATACAGTACCGCTATTCAGATAATCATTGAAAACCACTTAACACTAAAGCCGTTCATGGGAAAGTGTTGTCCCCTTTGTCATTCTCGAGTCTAGTGACGCCGATCAGAATCCAGTCCTGGTGGGTCGAAATTTATTTCATGGCGAATCCACGGAATCAATCTCAATCTTCCCACAATGGTTAGAATAGATTTGGTTATAACTTTAAAATAACACCTCTCCCTTATATGTCAAAAACGACTAAATAGAGGATAAAACAAAATATATTAGGGGATACTATTCTCCAGAGGGCTCCTAAAGTTTATTATAACTCCATTTGTCCAGGGTGGTTGGGTTAATGGGATTTTTATTTGTCTGCTGCCTTTTCCCAGATAGGTGCATGTCTGGATGGTATTTCTATATTTTTTTTGTGTGTGTATTCCTATCATCTTCAGCAACTGTGTCCTTTCACTTTTTCTTCAGACCGACTTCATTTGAAGTTTCTTGCTACAATGCTTAGATTGCTCGCCAAAGTTATATATTATAAATTGTATGTAATTAATGCATTATATAACGATGTAAATCTATATAGTTGTGTTCAGTGTTATGGACAATGACCAATTAGATAGTTGACCCTAGTGAAGGAGTTATCATTTCATGCATATTGGACTTAAAAATTTAAAGCTTTATCTAATGGTAAATTCATCAATAAGACAAGTTTTTATCATAATTATCAAAGAATACTTCAATTCTTAATTATTGAATTGGTTTTAATTGCTAATTTGTACTACAAGAAACACAAATGTTTTATCTAGGATATTTAGGGCTACTTTATTAAAAAGATAAAATATAAAGGAAGTCTTAAGCACACTTTTTTTTTCATACCCACACAGATAATGGTGAAAATATGGTATTTATTTAATTTAAGTGGTTTTTAAATTTTTGTTTACAACATTCTGCATTTGCCCAAGCAGGTCATTTTTCTTTAAGAGAGGTTTTCTTGAAAAAAAAAAAGAAAAAAACAGCACATCATAGGTTAATATAACATTAAAGGAGAGAGAAGAGGATAAAAAAAAAAAGGCCTTTATGTTGTAATTGTTATTGTATCTTTATCTGTTATAAAATCATCAATTACTAACACAAATTAAGCTCAGCAAAATTTTCGTCATATTTAATTGAAAAAACAAACTATATACAGACATAATTTGTATCAAGTAATAAATTTATGGTTCAGTAAAAAGAACGTAGTAAATGGCTGAACCAAACTAAAAATCTTAACTTTTGCTGGCACAAATAGAGAAAATGTCTCATTTTCAATTTTAGAAATTAAAAGATAAACACTATTAAGTCCAAGCTCAGAATAAAATAAGAATATCACAAGTTGACTCCCAATCCCTAGAACGTTCTCTTAGAGATGATAGTAGAATATCAGTATCACACTGGAGTTCCTTCAATTATCACAGTACTACCTGGGTTTGCACCAAGGGGTAATCTGCTTATATGACTCTGAAACATTAACAGGTTCTTAAAAATTAGCTATATTATAAAACTATTATAATATAACTTTAAAGACTTACTTTTGGAATTCGTTGGCCAACAGACATAAAACCTATGGCCATTGAAGGTGTTGTATGCCCCCAGGTAAATTCGCCTCTTCCAGTACTCTCTGATTCAATAGCAATAATCCCACAAAGTCTTTCTGAGAACTTTCCCAAGAAAGGAGAATCTAGAAATTAAAATACCTATTAGCAAAAAGAAATTGGCTTAAAAAAATCAGTATTACAAAATACTAAGTATATTCAGTCTCAAATAAGTTTTAGTTTTTCCAAGTGTAATCAGTGCTGTAACTACCGTGGAGCGAATTCTCTGGGCGATGGCTATGAAGGAACAAGAAGCAGATCCAGGATTTAATTTTGGGAGGTTTCTTTTTTTTATATATAATAATAATTACTTTGAAAGAAAGAGAAAGAAACTAATTACCTATATGAAATGGTGTTTAAGTGACTCTTGAAATATGTAATTACACGAACAGTAATAGTTTTAGAGATAATATTTTTCATAAGACTTGGTTATATTTTGCCATTTTGGAAGAGATGTGCTTCAGCCATTATTTTACATTTACGGAGAAAATAAGAAATTATTCCTTCAACTTATGATACATTGAATTATTTAATTTCCTAATTATTTTGTTGTGTTCACATTCTTTGCAAACTATTCGCAATATATACTAGTAATACTTATTTTTTCTCTAGCTAAAGTTGGTTAATGGTTAATATTATGTAGCAAGTAGTTATTATCAACTAATATTAAAGAATATATGAAGCATTAAATTATTGAGTTATTATTTTGAAATTTTGAAACAATTTGATCAAAGGAGTAGCTGAAACGTGATCAGGAATGAAAACTTTAAAAAAAATTCATGAGTGATTAAAGTACCAAGAAAAGATCTGATGGTATTATTAATAGCAACTGTGGCATGAGCAGAATGTATTAGGGAATTAGCTGCTTCTCTGGCAAGACATGTCTTGATTAAGTCTTCTCCACATCCAGTAACAGAAGTAGCTACAGAACGTCCTGTCCCATAGTTTTGTGCCCAACAACCACAACCATAAGTTCCGGCCTATAAAAAAAATAATTAGAAGTTGGTAACATTAATTATAATTATTAAAATATTCTTTGATGAAAAATAAAATAAGAATCTGACTTTTGCCTTCACTTACTTAGAACTAATATGTTCTTTTCAGATAAGTAAATAGCTGGGAGTAATTTGATAGCCTGTCAACCTTAAATACATCTAGATAAAATTGTTTGGAATTTCAAATGAACTACTTTTAATTAATGCATAAAAGTCACACGTTTCTTTTATTAAACCAATGGCTAACTAGAATAATAGAAAACCTCTTGAACTTCATAAGATATAAACATCAAAGTACCAAAATACTAAAAGAATGAAACAATGGACTGTATCTTCTTTAAAGCCAGTTAAAACCTAGTAATATATTTTCATATATTTGTCGATAGTGGCCTTTGCTCTTAAAACAGATCAAGAGATTTACCATCCTTTTGCAGGAAAACAAACGGTAGTAAAATGGGATTGTGTTAAAATAATTCAAGATTTAAATAGAGAACTATCTCAAACAAGACAGATTATAATCAATCAAAACCCTTGAATTGGGTCTACATGTGATGCAGTCCAATGTATGGTTGTATGCCTAGGTAGATACCAAATATATACAAATAAGTAATATGATGAGAATATTGACCAAACCTTTTTCATTTGCTTTTTTCTAGTATTTAACAGATTTTTACAAAAATAATGAAAATTGAACACATATCGTCGACAGCATGTTAAAATAACGAATGTGAGCCTGCCCAAGGTTGCACGTTCGTTACTTTAACTGATGATATATTTAATATGCCTACACTACTTTTACATCAAAAGTTTCAGTCAACTCTAGAATAGTTAATTTTGTTCTCATCATTAGCAGAGACTGAACTTAATATTAAAAAAATAAACCTTCATGAAAATTTCTGCTCTAAAAGTACACATTGGTTCTCAATAGTTAACAAGATATTTTCTCATCATATTTTATCTGTTTAATTACAATTGTATATAATCCCCATTTGATAAATCCAAAACAGTCCAGTAATGGCTTTTAAAAAACTTAAATTTCATTAAGTTAAGGATTAAGTAAAGAAATAATGACATTCACTTATGGTAACCTGGTAAATCCTATGGTTTATCATCCATAGAACTGTTTCTTAAGCTGTTTTATATTACTTAATAATTTAACTCAGCATACCTCTAATTATTTCTTTATTGATAGGCTAAAATAATTTTTTTTTTTTTTTTCGTTAGCATTACAGACCTAGTAGACCTTTTACTGCCTTAACAAGCCTACTCCATCTCTGCCTATTGTAAGCTATTTTTTTTCCAGTTATTTGCATGCAGCTCTATTGTATCTTTGATGATTTGATCTATCCATCTGGTTTTTGGCCTTCCACAAGATCTTGTGCCTAATATTAGGGCATTCATTGTTGTGTAGAGAATTGCTCTGAGCTACATTATCCACCTATTTTAACCTCCTTGCCTTCATACCATGAGATTGACCAGTTTCTATAAGCAGCTCTTTATTAGCCTTACTCCTCCATGTGTTAGTACTCTGATCTCAGATCGGTGGGGTTATCTTGTGGAGGTCTTTTCTTTCAAATCTTTCAATACTTTTTTCTGAGGCATTGGTAAATATCCAGGTCTCACAGCCATATATTAAAGCTGGCTACATCATAGTATTGTATATCATTAATTCGATTGGGATTTCAATACCTTTGAAAGGGAGAAGAAAGCTCTGTTTATGCTTGTTATATGCTGGTCTATATCCTACTTTTAGTCATTCATTGAAGTTATTGCAGAGTCTAGATATTTGAATTTATCTCTCTCAGGAATGACTTCCCTACTATGGAGATGTCTGTTATTGGAGTGAAATTTTTGGCTTGCATTAATATATTTTGTTTTTCTTTACTTGTAGTTAGATTTGCTCTATTTCTCTTCTCGGGAAATTTTTAAATGTCCTCTGGTTACTTCCAAGGACAGCTATATCATCTGCATATCCAAGCAAAGGCCGTAATTCAGTAACTTTTTTCATGTGAATTCACCGAGAAAATCCTGTGAAATCACTGAATAAATACAGATTTATTTTTATTCAAAATGTGTTAAAGGTTTTCACTTAATAGGAAATTGATGGATAAAGCTAGGAACGAATTCTGAACAATGTTATTGATATCAGATTTATTAAAACTATTAACCTGTCCTACTCGTCCAGGATGCTTCAAAACAATACCCCCGCTGGAACAAGAAGCAGCAACTCTACCTTCGGAATCCACCACAATAGCACCAACTGTATCAAGTAATTTGCTGGTGACACCTACCTGAAAATATTGGTGTAAATGCAAAAAAAAAAAACACAAAAAAATAATGAGTGAGTCACATATATGAAATGAAATATAATATATTTGTTTTTCTGTCATCATACTTCTGTAATGATCTGCCAAAACATTATATCTAATTTTTCTGATTATTTGCTATTGAAGTAAGTATCTATAAGTTCTTTTGTGTGGCAACCAATATCATTGAAGAACAGCACTAGCAAATCAAGGACCTAACCTAGAGGTGAGGGGGAGGGAGCTTCATAGAACCTGTACTACAACCCATGAAGGGTCTTGGTTTCAGTACTATTTAGGGAAAGCACTGATTCTTGGTCAATGGTTGTATGAGGAGGTGATTTGACTGAGATCAAGCTCAACCACCAGGTTTTCTCTCTTAATCGATTATTTAATACAGGGTACTGGTACCCATTTTATAGAGGCAAGGTGTGCCTCAGGAGCAGTGCAGACCTTAGACATTTGGCACGGTCAGGCAATGATATCATCTCTCTCTCCCTAAAAAAAACTGAATTTATTTCTTCAGTTATTTTATATGATGTAATCTTTGAAGTTTATTTCAATTAACATTTCTTTAATACAGTTGTTTTATGACAAGTTAACATCAATTACTTTAATACATTTTGTAATTTTATTTTATTTCTAATAAGTGGCAAGAGCCCCTGAAGATCAACCGGCGCCCTGGCTGCTCCACATTAAGGCCGGCACTGCACAGGAAGATCTCCCGACGGCCAATGGCCAATGGAATAGAATAAATATTTTTCTGCCGTGAGCCGGGATTCAAACCTGGGGCTTTGAGCATTGGAATCCCACTGAGCTACCCCACTCTCGAATGCATAAATTCGCATGTATATATATCCATGGATAAATAATGACCAGAATTGTAGGAAATTTAAGTTTTGTGTTTTTTTAAGTAAGTCATAGTTGTTGATCAATAGGAAGCGGTTACTAATACATAATTTAATATAATTAATTAAAAATTGATTCACTATAAACTAGTCAATGTTAAAACCATTTAAAGACTTTTGAGCGGATACACAAATAGTTCCATAAAATTAGAGATTGACCACATTAAAAAAAAAATTGTGCACATCACACGACTTTCACTTACCATCCCCTTCTTAGGAGAAATAAGTATTTTCAGACATAGGGAAATTGAAAGTAAAAAGTATAGACGCTATACTTATTTACCATTTACTTATTTAAGTACCCTCGCTATAATAACTGGTAAAAAGTCCCAAAGAATCCCACGTCGGGTTTTGATGGGGAGAGAGGGGGAATGGCAAAAAAATTATAGTTTATTATTTTTTAAGAATATCTCAAAAACTATGAGGTTTTTCTGAAAGATTGTTCAGTATAATATTAGAGAACTTTAAAATCTCTATAAAAATGATCCTTTACATTTTTTTTTTATAAAATGACTGGCTACGGAGATATTTATGAGATTATATTTATTGTATTTTCACATTAAGCAAAAATTGCTTCAGAACACAAAATTAATGTTTTTCATAGTAGACCACGGGCGGATCTACGGGTTTTCAGGCTGAAGCCCCCCCCCCCAAAATGGAAAAATATAACCATGTTTTATGGGGAAAAAAATTTAAAAAATAATTCTTAAAGTATTATTGTTTGTGTAATTACATTTAAAAGTACTTAAGGAATAACTTAAACACCATTTCATATAGGTAGTTATTTTCTTTCTGTTTTTCCAAAGTAATTATCGTTATTTTTATGAAAAAAAAGTTTTGGGCTGAAGCCCCCCCCCCCAAAATTAAATCCTGGATCCGCTGGTGTAGTAGACGATACCTTTTAGAAGTTTAATTATTTTTTTAATATTTTCGATCCTTCAAATTATTATTCAAATATTTTTTCTATTTGTGATTCTAAAAAGTCATTGACAACAGAATTATATCCGACATCAATTAATAGAGAATTTTTTGATAATGGTATTAAGTTTAGATTGGTATTTATTTCATATAATTGATAATATTTGACATTAAAACTTATAAATTTTTACCATAAACCATGGTCTGATTACATACAGGGAACCAGAAAGCTTTAATTTTGTAATTTTTAAGCCAATAACGTTTTATGTTGAATAAAAAGAAATAACTAAAAAAATGTTCAATTTAGGTTATTTAGGTTACATCATAGAAAAATTAGATTAAATATAAATTAAATACAAGTAAATTTTGTCTATTTTAAAACCATTTAAAGGGAACTTTTAAGCAGTTAAACTACGGTAAGTTCGGTTTTTCATAAAATGGCGATTTTTTTATAACCCCCCAACTGGACTGAAGATACCACACTTTCAGAAAAACTTCCTTGTTTGATGACCTTTAAATCCATATTAATTAAGTTGTGGTTTGTTACACAGTATGTTGAGATTCATCCCTAATGGAGTTACAAGATGTAAAAATATTGGGGTAGATCCCTAATTTTACTGTACTAATATTTTTACTCAATTAAAGAGAATGTTAAGTCAACTTAATTAATATGGATTTAAAGATCATCAAATTAGGAAGTTTTTCTGAAAGTGTTGTATCTTCACTCCAGTTGGGAGGTAATAAAAAAAATCGGGAACAGTCCTTGATTTTACGAAAACCGAACTTTTTGCCGTAGTTTAACAGCTTAAAAGTCTCCTTTAAATGGTTTTAAAATAAACAAGATTTACTTGTATTTAATGTATATTTAATCTAATTTCCTATTATGTAATTAAACATTTTTTTAGCTATTGCTTTTTATTCAACATAAAACGTTGTTGGCTTAAAAATTACAAAAAGTTTTCTGGTTCTCTGTATCACACCATGGTTAATGATAAATTTTTATAAGTTTTAATATCTTCTATCACATATTATCAATTACATGAAATTAATGCCAATCTAAATTTGAACATCAATTTTATGGTGTCAAGCAAAGTTTTCTTAAAGTGGAAATACAATAAATATAATCTCATAAATATCTCCGTAACCATTAATTTTATTCAAAATATGTATAGGTTCATTTTTATAGAGATTTTAAAGTTCTTTAATATTATACTGAACAATCTTTACGGAAAATATCATAGTTTTTGAGATATACTTAAAAAAATAAACAAATATCATTCTGTCATTCCTCCCCTCCCCCCATCAAAACCCGACGCAGGATTCTTTGAGACTTTTTACTAGTTATTATGGAGAATGAGCAATGAACAATTTCTGACAAGTTTCATCTCTATCTTTTAATGTAGGGGCCAATCCCTAATTTTACTGGACTATTAGTGTATCCGCTCAAAAGTCCTCTTAGTTGGTTTAAATAATGACAAACTCCACTTTCGTTTAAAGTAAATTTTGTCTAATTTACAGTGAATCAATTTCTAATTAACTTTATGAAATTAAGTTTTAGTTATCGCTTCCTATTGATCAAAAACCGTGAGTTACTTAAAAAAAAACACGAACTTAAATTTTCTACAATTCCAGTTTCAATTCAGTTATTTATTAACTCTATTAACAATTTTTGTATGCACTTTATGTAAATGTTAGTTAAATATTTTTTTTATTTAAATTTCAGTCTTCTGGTTGTGAAAAGTGATCCCCCATCTCCCATCAAACCCCTTCCCCTTCTCTCACTCCTTCAAAATATTAAAATGAATAAACATTTACTTCACTGAATCATATAAGACAGGTTGTTGAAGGTATAAAGACAAGTGCGTGTGGTCAAACAGGAAAAAGAGCTTAAAATTTTCAAGTTCGAAACATTTCCAAAACTTTGAAACCCTTTATCTCAAAAATTATTGATCTCTCGGAACCTGTTTTGGTTTTAAATTGTAGCTCACTTATTCTAGTTAAAAACAGTATAGAAAGATCTTCGTCGAAAACAGACTTCTTCATGTTCAAAATGAAGAAAACCCGAATAAATAGGAATTTGTTTTAGGAGTTTTAAAAAATGATTCGGGTGAGGAGGAGGGGACGCTGAGGTCGAAAATTTGGATTTTGCATCTCAGTCACATCCCATACAAGCAAAAATAAGGAACCTACCTCCATTCCATGCAACTTAGGGAGCCAACTTTTCATGACAAGATTACTGGACTAAGACATCAAGGACTACATGGCTCAATTTTCTGCAGAAAATTGGGAAATTTCAGATTTTTTTTTTAATTTTTTTGTTGAATAGGAAACAATAACTAAAAAAAAATTTAAGTAATTACCGATTGCTTCACAATGAACTAGACACAATTTACTTCAAATGAATGTGGACTCGTTAAATAAAATTATTAAGGTGCGTTTAGACATTTCACAAATTATGAGAAACACAATTATTTAACTTAAATAACGGGGCGACATTATTGATAAACCAAACTATTTATTTTATTTCTCTTGATACAGACAGCAGATAGAAAATATAAAAAATACTATCATAATGAAATAACCATTTGTATATTTGTTTGACCCATAGTTTGAGAAATGTCTAAACGCTCTTTTAGATTACTAAATTTTTTATTTCATCTCGTCGGAATCAAACCCAGATGTCTGGATCTGGAGAATACGGGTCCGAAATGACGTGATTAACGTAATAGGACAACAAGGCACGATACCAAAAGAATTACATATTACATTGGAGAACAATCTGATAAAACTTTTCTGATTGCATAGATGAACGGAAGTCGAAGAAAAATTAAATAAAATTTAGTTGTAGGAATTGTGAAAGAACACAGATTCCGGGGTATCTTATTTAAACTAACATAAAATACCAGATGGTGTCCCAGAGGGACTACAATTACTTTAATCAGTGTAAAATTGGGAAACAAATATGATGATTATCAAAATATTTGTACACATATATCATACAATGTGGGCAGTATACTCAGTTGAAACTCCAATCATCCACAGATTGAACAATCAATAAATTGGAATAACCTGCGACCTCATAACCTTTGCAGGTAAACAGTAGTTGGTGACAACATAGCCCTACAGTACATATTCCTACTCTGTAATGTCAGTTTTATTAAGTTCACTTAAGTTTATTTAGTAGTAGTCTGCAAATGTTTTTATTAATAAATAGATTTTGACTAAATTCAGAAAATGAATTATCAGTAAAATTGATTATTAAGAAATAGAACTGAAATAAAAACTTGTAACATTCCAACTTAAAATTTATTTCTGCAAACGCTTCAATTTACAAATATTAAAATAATATGAAAGAATAGATAAGGGAATAAGATTCATACTGACTCATCACAAATTAGAAACATGGCTATGGGAAAATCATTCCGAGTATTTGAAAGAGACAACAATACCAGTCCTTACAGCATTTTGTTGGAACAAAGAAATAAAGATGTATCATTACTATTAGAATCAGAGGTTATTGTACAACTATCCTTACAAGAAAGGGAAACAATTAAGAGACAGTATTCAAAAGTTCTCGATGCCTATGGTTCTTTGGGAATATTACAAACAAATATTGGTAATGAAATCCTCCAATATTTAATAATGATTACTGGTTGTATTTCTCTAGGAAAAATATCTGATACTGAAGTTTTTCGTATTACACAGACATCCTTTTTATCTTTAAGAAAGCAACCACAGGATGAAGAACACATTTCAGAAGTCAAGAAGCTGCTAAATTCAGGAACATTTTATTTTTCCTGGTCAGCTAGTGGGGAAACTGTTGATATTACATTATGTTCTCAAAGAAGAATGAAGACTAAGGTTACTGATAACAGATTTTTTTGGAACAGAACATTGCATCTCCCTTTCATAAGGTTTGGAATAGACTCCAGCGGTTGGTTACAAAAAGTTATGTGTGGTAGTGTTGAAATAAGAACAGTTTATGTCGGTGCAAGGCAAGGAAAAGCTGTGATAATATCTCGTTTAAGTTCGGAAAGAACTGGCACTAGGTTTCATGTGCGTGGTGTTAATGATGAAGGACATGTTGCTAATTTTGTAGAAACTGAACAAGCTATATACATGGAAGATTCAGTAGCCTCGTACATTCAGATTAGAGGTTCAGTTCCTCTTTTCTGGGAACAAACAGGTGTTCAGGTAGGCCAACACAAAGTTAAAATGTCACGTGGAGCTGCTGCATCTGAAGCAGCTTTTAACAGGCACATTTACCTTTTAAAAGAGAGATATGGTCATCAGACAATTGTTAACTTGCTTGGAACAAGCCAGGTAGGTAGTAAAGAATCTGAAGGTATGCTTTCTAATCTTTTTGTACAACAGCTTAAAATGTCCGGTCATAATGATATAGAACATATTATTTTTGATTACCATCAAGAAATTAAGGCTAATCCACAGAACATAAATAAATTAAAAGATAAACTAGAATCATACTTTAAATCATATGGTATATTTTATATGAAGGCGAACGAAGTATGGTGTGAACAAAATGGCACTATTAGAACAAATTGTTTAGATTGCTTGGATCGTACAAATTGTGTGCAAACATTAATAGGACTGCAAGTTCTAGGTAAGCAATTAGAAATGTTAGACTTAAATGAAAAACAACAATCAGTGACACGTTTTGAAGAGGTATTCAAACAAATGTGGGTAGATAATGGAAATGAAGTAAGTAAAATATATGCTGGGACTGGAGCCATTCAAGGGGGTTCAAAATTTATGGATGGAGCTAGATCTGCAGCAAGAACGATACAGAACAATCTTTTGGACACTAGTAAACAAGAGGCCATTGATGTGCTCCTTCTTGGTAAAGGATTAAATAGTAATTTGGCAGAAAGAGGAAGAACTCTATTAAGTGCAAATATGCAGCATTTACCAAATAATATCATGTCAGAACTTTGTGATCGTTTTTTTGATTTTGCTGAGAAAATGCCTATTAGAGTAGGAATCGGTACATATAATGTAAATGGGGGTAAGCATTTTAGAAGTGTAGTGTATAAAGATGTTTCATTAGCAGATTGGTTACTTGATGCACATGTAAATAGCTGTGATTCAGACATTCCTGTTGACCTGTATGCAATTGGATTTGAAGAAATTGTTGACCTCAATGCAAGTAACATAATGGCTGTGAGTTCTGAAAACGCTAAAGCATGGGCAGAAGAACTTCAAAAAGTTATTTCTCGAGATAGACGCTATGTGTTAGTTACTTATATACAACTTGTTGGAGTTTGTCTTTTTGTTTTTGTAAGATATGAATTGTCTCCTTACCTAAGAGACATCGCTATAGATTCAGTAAAAACAGGCTTTGGTGGAGCTACTGGTAACAAAGGTGGAGTGGCAATAAGATGCACCTTATATAATACTTCAATAACTTTTATATGTGCACATTTTGCAGCTGGACAGTCACAAGTTAATGAAAGAAACTCAGATTACAATGAAATCAGCAAAAAAGTAACTTTTCCTCTAGGATCTAACTTGAAATCACAAGATTATATAATATGGTGCGGAGATTTTAACTACCGTGTAGATATGGACAAAGAGGAACTAAAAGAACTCTTAAAAGAAAATAAATTGGAATATATTTTACAATATGATCAATTGAGGGTACAAAAAGATGCAGGAAATACTTTTCATAATTACAATGAAGGAGAAATAACTTTTCCCCCAACTTATAAATATGATTTGTTTTCTGATGACTACGATACGAGTGAAAAATGTCGAGCTCCAGCCTGGACAGATAGGGTATTATGGAAAAGAAGGTGTCATACTGAAGATCTACCTGATGATTGGAATCCTGGAAAACTTGTCTTTTATGGGAGAGCTGAACTGAAACAAAGTGACCACAGGCCTATTATAGCTGTAATAGACCTAGATGTACATAAAGTTGATGAAGTAAAACGGATGGATATTTTTAAAGAAGTTATAAAAAGCTCTGGACCACCTGATTGTACTGTTGTAGTCCACTCAATTAATAAGAGTTTATATGCTGATGAAGGTTTTAAAACATGTCTTTTAGAAAATTTATCACAGTACGGAGAAGTGGTAATAGTTCGGCAAGTGGAAGATTTAATTTATGTAGTATTCAAAGATGGTTATGCAGCAATGCTGGCTGGACAAAGTGGACAAACATTAGTTGAGGGGATTCTCTATAAAGTAAGTTATAGAACATCGGATTGGATTGGTAGAATAATGGAGGAAATGAAGCTATGTGAAAATAACACTATATCACTGTGTCAGTACGATGGAAATCCAGACGAAGATAAAACATTATCAACTAGTCCACAAGAAAAGCAACCACCTTCAAGACCACCAGCGCCAAATGTTAAACCCAAAACAGCTGTCATTAGTGTCCCTATCTCACCCAAAAGACAATCTAAACCATTAAGAGAACTGTCGAGTGATTCAAGCGGAGATGAATATAGAGGTTCAGCACCCCCATCAGCTCCACCTCCACCATTGCCAGGAACAGGTCCTCCACCTCCAATTCCTCCAAGAACTAATGTACCTCCTCCAGTTCCAACAAGGCCTAAGTAAAACAATAGCATTTAAAATAGATCACATTTACATTGCTTGGTTAAGTTATTAGTTATATTGTACATGTAAATTGTATGATCAAATATAATAATTAATACTTATGAATAAAAATGTGCATCAAACGGAAATTGAATACGAAGTTAAGCATTATTATTGTTAAACATAATCTAATATATTTCTAATGTTCTCTTGTGTATCAGGTTACACTTTCTAGGATTTGACAGAATTAAAGATAAGAAAAAGTCGGACCAAACTGTTTTGTACGTATTGTTGGATCATACTGTCACTACTACATATACTGTTGAATCGGTTCTCTTGTTGGTACTAAATATCAGTAACAACTGATAGTTGTTTAGTCGTGATTTGATTAGACTGAATTTTCATAGCATTGTTAGTTACTATCGAATATTTTTCTTTGCCTTCAGGAAAAAAAAACAGACATGATTAAGTGAATATGTCTGAGATTATATTAAATAAAATAGTTACTTTTTTAAGATTTAAAAACTAAATCTCTTTTCAATTTGAAAATTAATTTTTAATGTTGAGAAAATATTTTTAATAAAAAAAGAAAACAAAAAACAATTACATATTTAGTGCTCATTCCATAAAGAAGGCCTTTTTTTCCTCTGTACTTTGACTACTGATTAACTGCTGTTTGCAATTAATTCACTATACATCCTTTGATATTATAACATCTCATACATAAATTAAAAAGTTGGAACTGAGAAGTGGTGGAGACAGTCTACTTGATTTTATAAATTATATTGTTAAGTTGTATTCAATATTGTTATTACAGATTTTATTATTTATAAAATATTTTACTTTATTGTTAAAAATAAAATATGAGTAGTTATACAATTTTGTATGTTACAAATGGTTAAATTATACATAAATATTGTATCCTTCATGTTTAAAAAAAAAATCTGTTTTTTATTTTTGAAATAATGGAAAACAATTCTAATTATTTCATAAAATAATATCCGATTACTCATTAAAGATAGTAGCATGCATGTTTAGAATAATTGTTGCTCGGCAAATATGTGCTTTCATAGAATGATGATATGTCTATTGAGTTAATGTTTGCTTGTAGTTATTAAAGAAATTTTAGTTGAAAATGTCTGTTAAATTATAAAAATGTAAAATGAACATTTAATTGTTAAAGTTATAAGCACCAAAATTATTAGAAGGTTAAATGTTATTGGTTACCATATTATTACAGGTACATTATTTATATTGTTATTTTGTCATAATTTATTTAATGTTAAATTATTAATAAGTTTTAATTGTGATATTTCTCAATTGCATTTATTTAAACTACTTGATGCACAGTGTAATACCAAATACACTATTATCCTTATAAAATATATGTAATTTTTTTTGAGCCAAAGAAAATAAAATTACTTTACATCAATGTTAGATTTATATTGAAAATGAAATCAGTTGTTTTAATTTTGATCCTTAAAAATATTTTGTAGTAACTGATAAAAATGATCATTGGTTTATAAATATCTAACATCAATTTAACAAACTCAAAATAATCCATAAATGTATAAGATCTTTAACCGTGGTATCTTTAGTTAAGCGTTAATACAGTCATGGATTAAATCTAACCTAACCTATTAACAACACCTCACTAAGCAATTAACCATATTTTTTCCTTATTTAATTTTAAATTAGGCAAATTAGTATACTAAATAAATCAAAAACTTTTTTTATATATATATATCACTTTATCTAGATATTCTTGAATTCCCTAAGAGAAAAAAGTTATTCTTGAAAAAGCATGAGCATTCTCAATTTCACCACCATTCCTCTAAATTTCTAGGAGTATGTCCAATGAGACTGAAGAAATATATATTTATTCATATTTACTGACTTTCTAGATATGAGTATATCTGTCTTTCTACTGAACATATACATCATATTGTGGTTAGTTACCAGAATAGGCACAGCACAATATTTTTACCCATAAAATTGTAACACTGTAATTATTCTTAGGGGACTGTAGTCCCAGAATAAAATAATTTTTTCATTCATTCATTCACAATATAATGATTCTTTCAGGAAACGAAATCTCTTTATTTATATTAGCAAACAGATAAACTGTACCAGTTTCAATAGTTTCAAATTGACTCCTATCCAAGATGTTATGAAGAAACTGAAATTTATAAACTTTTCTGGTATGAAAGGTTTCAATTACTTACCCGCAACTCGTATAAAATATTTATCAATAAGGTTCATTTTGGAAAAAAAAAACTAAATGAATATAAAATGTAGGGCCATCCATATATCTACTTTCTTATATTTTCTAGGGCTTTTAATTAACTTCAGAAAATGAGATTCTCAATTTGACTTATTTTTTTATGAATGGTTATTCATAACTTTGTCAGCGTTGAACTGATTTATCTATTTCTTTTTTTAATCAAAAAGGATCCCCAAATGTAGTACCATAAAAATTACATCAGAGCCTGATGAATACTTTATAGCATATCTGAGTAAGATATAGAGAAACTTCTCAAAGAACAACTATTCAGTTTAGAGACCATATTTAATGGTTTGGTTTACTTCTACATCTTTTTTAAAACATGACAGGTATTTATTTGCCCTGTAGAGGGATACTGAATTCAAGATGCTTCTCATTAATTAATCCAATTATATTTAAAACAAAATATGTAGTCTTTTTTTACTTTCACTTACCTAAATATGTAATATATAGTAAGGGTAAGTATTGCGATCGTGAAAATTTTCGAATCTGAGTTTTCAACGGAAACAAAGGTCTTGAGGTACCCTGAGTCCAAATAACCAAGTCCCGAAAAATGGTCTGTGTGTATATGAACACTCTAGCTCGAAAACGAAAAATCTTACGAAACTGATATTACGTATTTAAGATAGGTATATGCCTTAGATGTCCTAGCAACTTTTTCCTTAAAATCAGCTAACCGGAAGTGTCACTTTATATCAATGGTGAAACACATTGTTCTCAAAAATGGCTCTAACGATTTTGATTAAACTCGGTATATCATTGTATAATTAAGTGGTCTTTAATAACATTTTGGTCTTATCTCCATTGCTGTCACTTTACAGGGCTTAAATGCCCAATGTTCATATACTTCTTCCTCTAAAGTACATTTAATATGGTTCGTTTCAAATAATTAACTATCTCTCATTATTAAAAGTTACGAAAAAATATAACTTTTGAAAGAATTTGTTGATTGAATAAAGGAGAAAAAAAAATAAAAATGGTTATCCAGGTCAAAAATGAATCTCAGGAAATAACAGTCAGAAGGTATACATATAATATATCGTTGGAAAGCGGAGAATTTTAGAACAATATCTAATATAGAAAGTTGTAGAAGGTAACAGAGAGCGGCAAAAATGTTATAAATAATAATTTTTGAAAACTAATAATATTTAACGTAAATCACATGTTTCCAATGAAATTCACTGAGTAAATGTAAACTTTAAAAAATATTTTTAAGTTTGTAAAAATTATTTAAAATCCACCTAATCAAGGCAATGGTATTGTTAAAAAAATTATTTTATTGTATTGTGTAAAAGAAGAAGTAAAATATAAAATCTTTTCATGGATGTATAAAGCATATGTTTATAACCTTAAATACATTTACTGTAGTTTAGTAATTACAGATCTGATATATTTAAATAATTAGATATCAACGTTTATTCCAAAAAATTGTCATGTAACTTTTTAGAAATTTAAATTAGTGAATAATTAGATGAATTTTCCATTTGCGATATTCTAACAGTATCCTCTTGCAATTAGTGTGACAACTTTTGACCTGTCTATGACAGACAATGCAAATCTCTTAATTCCGTTTTAGTAAACTTTGCAGTGGAAAATAACAGTTTAATAACTAATAGTCGTACAATCCATAATCAACGAATCGTAAAATCCATAATCAACTGGTGATATAATAAATAGGACTTTTGCTATTTTAATAGTATTTATGATTTGTTAGCTGTAATCTTTTAGCTTTGCTCAGTTAAAAATGCAATAAAAAATTTTATAATAGTACATGGCCAGAAAATAATTTCTATTCAATGTATAGTGGTAAGTGAAAGTTGTGTGTTGCGCGCACTAGATTTTTTATCTCCTTCTGATAAAACATACTATTAGGACTTAAGCATGAATTTAAAGAATTAAAATTGGTAATCCGACAGTAACTATTATCATAAATGTACCTTAATTTACCAGATTAATATGTTAATGATTCACCCCTATGTGAGTATAATTATTGTTATTATTTAAATAATCACAATGTAAACTTTTTATAGACTTGAGAATGGTCATAGCCGAAGCGTCATCAAATCACTAAATAAAGAAGAAAATTTTGAGGTCTAACAGATTATTAATTGATTATAACATAATCAACAAACCAGAAATAGGAATTATGCAATTATATTTACTTAGGTTTTTCAAACAATTTTGATGAATAACAACAATTTCTTAATTTAAAAAAATTATCAATTATTATTATTATTATTAATGTTTTACAAATTTTAAATTACAACTTGTTCTGGAGGCCTTTCGGTTTACAAAATTACAACACACCGGTTCATTAAAATCACAGTACACTATTCACTTCATAATATATGTAACAAAATTATTTGCAAACAATATAAGCTTTACACTGAAAAATCAAAGAAGTCCAAACAAATCACATAATCAGATATAACCTTTTTTACAACTTTTTTTTTTTTTTTCCTTCCTACCTCACCTTTTAGGCTATACGGGATTGTCCCGGGCCGAGGGATGAGGGCGGAGAATTTAAAAATCCACTCCGGCACCGGGACGCGAACTCGTACTTTTTAAATCAAATCTCTGTTATCCGGTTGCCAGGTAACTAGCGGTGCTGTGCACACGCTTTAGCCCATTCGGCCACCCCGCCCCCATACCTTTTTTATAACTAACTTCACAAGAAACTAACTCTCATTTATTAAACCTCTTCTGCTAAATAATTGTGGATCAATCACGATCATTCCAGTAGCTTCCCCATTTCTCTCAATTCTGTTTCTGTGTTATCTATATTTTTTACACTAGCCATTTTTGTAACTTTTCTTAACAGTTACATTATTAAATTTAGCAAATAATTACTGTTAGTTAAAACAAAATTTACAAATAATTAAATTTCAGAAATCATTAAATTACATGCTCAAGTACATAGGCTCATAACATACCAAGCAATATATATACTGGTACTAGGTGGGGGGAACTAGTCTGGCAAGTGGGCCTATAGCGGTCCTTTTTGCCAACCCCTAACGCCTACCTTTAAGATTGCCACTGCGTACTTGCCAGAGTGGGAATGTCACGATCCATTTTCCGGGGCCGCCGAGAAATGAAAAGTAACCAACCCAGGTGGGAATAGAACCCACAACGTTCAGAACCGGGCACTCTGGGACCCACACCTCAACACGCTCGACCATCCCGTCCTCTAAGCAATGTATATAACAATATAATATTTTTGAGTCCTACCAGTCTTCTTCCAAGGAAGCAATATAATAGTATACAAATAATACTGGTGAGATTAAGCTGGATAGAGGACATACCCTAGTATATTCAGGAGTCTTCCCAGGCCACAGAGCGGTAGAAGGCGTTGGCATAATAATGAAAGAAGACCTATTCAAAAAGTTGGGAACCAGTAAGTCCTCGAATAATCATGACAAATATAAATTTACAGATTGGAGAATGGGCTCTAATCTAAGTCTATGTCCCCACAAACGATTCTGATATCCTGGAGAAGGAACATTTCTATAGCGAGCTGTGGTTAAAGCAAGGAACAGCAACAGAAACATTTTAATAATGGGAGATCTCAATGCGAGAACAAGTAGTCCATTGCGCAGGGGGCGGAGGGCGCAGGTCATGGAAAAGAAAACTGCATGAAAGGACTATTGGCAAGACAAATCACCAGATAAATGGCGAATATATGTAATGGCTCGAAATAGAACAAAGGAAACTGTAAAGAAGAGCAAAACAAAAATTGTGAATGGAATTCAGAGAAAAACTAAACCAAGATCATGTGGAGAATATTAAACTATTCTGAAAGGAAAATTAAAACCTTAAGAGGACGCAAAAGTAAACCAATAAGAAATGTAAAGAATGAGAATGGGAAGGTGAGCACGGAGAATAAAGCCATTCTGGAAGTCTGGCATAAATATTACACCACGCAATTTGGTGCAGATGATATGTACCCAGTGAACCCAGAAGGACAATGGAATGAGGCTGAGTTTGACGAAGCGATAGAAGAAGATGAAATAGAAAGAGCTATCTCAAGAATAAAGAACGGGAAGCAACAGGACGAGATAATATAATGGCAGAATTTGTGAAATATGGTGGCTCCGAGATGGTGAAAGCTCTACAAGTACTCTGTCAAAAAGCCTGGTACGAGAAGAGGATTCCAACTGGTTGGGAATACAATGTCATTTGTCGCCAATACAATGTCACAACAAGGAATATAATGTCGCCATTCACAAGAAAGGGTCCCCGGCCGAATACACTAACTATCATCCTATATGCCTTTCACCAGTGATCTACAAGCTTTAGACGACTGTCCTGGAGGGAAGATTAAGGCCCTTAGTTGAACTCCTTATTGGGGACGAGCAAGCTGGGTTTAGACGTGAATGGCAAACTCAGGATCATACATTCTCCCCAAGAAATGTTCTACAGAAATTTTGGGACCAGGATAAAAACATGTACTTAGCTTTCCTTGCCCTGAAAGCAGCATTAGACACGGTTCCCAGGCATCAATTATTTGTGCTCTTATAGCCAAAAACGTCCAAAGGAATTTAGTAGAATCTGTAAAGTCCATTTATCAACACCCAAAGGGAGTTGTTAGGCTGAACAGATTGAAGTTCGGTTGCTTTGACGAGGCAAGGGGCGTCAAACAAGGAGATAGTTTGAGCCCACTAATATTTCTAATTTATATGGATAAGGTGGCGGCCATCTGTAAAAGAACAGAAAGGACATTCCTGGGGAGAAGATGCCTGCGTTTGGTGGTGATGCAGCTTCTGCTATATGCCGATGATGTTGTCCTTGTTGCTGAAAAGTTGTAGCAGGCAGTGACTGAATGTTATAAGGACCTCTACCGGAAACTACAAGTTGGAAGGCAAAATGAAGATACACATTTATACTACAATGGAGAGCAATTAGAAGTGGTCTCAGATTCTATCTACTTAAAAACTGTAATAGAAAGATCGGGGAAAGTGGACTTAGAAATATCCAACAGAATAAGCAAAGCAAATGCAGTCTACTACCAGATTTGCAACACCGTTGTAGGAAAGCGAGAGGTAGACTAGTACATCAAGCTCCATATATTTAAATCTGTGTACCTACCAATAGTTCTATATGAAGCTGAATGCTGGATATTGACATACAGGCAAGATAGTAGAGTCACTGCTGCTGAAATGAAGTTTCTGAACAGTCGGTAAGACTAGGAGGGACCAAGTTCTGCAAATCTGCCAATTGAAATGGTTTGACCTGTGATTAAGATGGAGGCACATAGGGACCCATTGAGGACAATGGACTACGCTCTAGATGGCAAAAGACCTCGAGGACGCCCAAGAATGTCATATCTGGAGTACATCAATAGACTCGGCAAAGATCTCTGTCGAGTCAGGAACCTGGCAAAGAACAGATTAGAGTGGAGTTCGTGGCTGCTCAACCTCTTACACTGAGAGGCATGAAAGGGAGAAGAAGAAGAAGAAGTTAACAGTTAGATTATTAAATTTAATGTGATAAAAAATGTAATTATTTAAATTTAGTAAATAATTACTGTTAATTAAAACAAAAGTTATAAATAATTAAATTTCAGAGATAATAGCTGAAATCATTACATTATATATTGACTTAAATAGATTCATAAACATACCAAACAATATAAGTTAATTTTTGAGTCCTACCAGTGTTCTCACAAAGGAACAATATAATAGTCTACAAATAATAATAAAAGAAATTTCTTAGAATGAAGACATTCTCTAGGCTTATACAAGATAGGTAATTTTCCCAAACTCAAAATAAATTTTTAAAAAAGCTGTATCATAACAACCCAAGAAGGGTCTTTATAAGATTTTTTTTTTTTTTTTACAGAACAGTTTATATGTCAAGGATTGTGTAAGATGATGATTTGCCCAGTAACATTCTCAAACCGCCAGGTTTCATTCCCACCCCTTAACCCCAGGATCGATCCACGGCTGATGTAACAGAGCCTGCCACAGCCGGTCTCAAACCCAGGTCCAGGAGATAAGATACACAGTGCCTTACTCACTGAGCTACCCTGCTTCCTAAAATAAATCAATAGATAACTAAATAGTACACTAATCTGTATACTACGTATCTCAAGAACACGACTCAAAGAATACATGAATTTAAGAATAAAGAAAAGAAATTTGAAGATGTAAAGTATTACCTTTGATTCTCCTTCATTTCGCCCGGAAGATAACTCTGCTCTCTTCTTATACTTCTTAAACACTTTAACAGACTTTTCTGAAAAAAAAAAAAATTGTATTATTTGATCTACCAATTGTTATAGATTAATAATCATATATAATACAATTTAGAAATTATTAAATCTGTAAAAATCTAAATTCTGTGTTACATAAAAGAATAAAAGGCTTTGTTAATTGTCAAGTATCTACTTAAAATTAAGAGTGCAGAGGCAAGATACTAGCCAATTAGAAATACCTTCTAAATAAGAATGTTTATTTGGTTCATTAAAATTATTATAATGTAGGTTTAAACTACATTCAGAATTAAAACTCTGAAGCGCTAATTGCAAGCAATAGCAACTCTAAGCAAAAAATTATATAGCAAAGATGGGATTGATATGTCAATGAACTAAGTAGTTAGAGAGATTCTAAATTAAGAAAATAAACAACAAGAAGCCATCACTCAGAAATGTACAGATTTTCAGCAGAGTAAAACGATGTGCGTAGAAAAAATCTAAAGGAGTGGAGAAATCATTTAATTTGCTCCATCACAAGAGAAATGCAGAATGAGATTAAGGGGAATTAATCAAGAACGGAAAACATTGTAATTTAAAAAACAAAATTAATGCTTATAAGAATAAAATAAAAATAGTTCATAAGTTAAGTTAATTATTTATTAACAGACAACAGAATCTAAATACAACAATCTTATTTAAGAAACACGTATTAAGAACATTTAATAATTATTTTTACAAACTGCACTGTACATTTGTCATTAACCACTACAATCTATGAAGGGTCTTGGGTTCAGTACTTCATAAGCAAGTACTGTTTCTTGATCGACAGTTGTGCAAGGAGATGATTTGACCAAGATTACGCTCAACTGCAAGGTTTTCCTCTTAATCAATCATTTGATTAAAGGTACCCATTTTATAGATGCTGGGTGTGCCCCATCTAGTCAATCCACAGCTGATGAAACAGAATAAATAATTTATCTATCATCACCCAGGATTCGAACCTGGGACTTTAAGCATTAATAGTCAATGCCCTACCACTGAGCTACCCCACTCCCATGTTTTTCATTAAATCTATAAAAAATAAATAATAATTTAAAAAATAAAACAAAAGAAACACATTAAAAAATAACTTTCAAGAATTATTTCTATTTTAACTATACTCAGCACATTTGTCATTTAATCTGATTTTTTTTAAATACACACGGTTAAAGCAATTTACCAGTAATTAAGGAGTGTGGTTCAACAATTTCCAATCCTTTTTCAAGGGCCCATTTTTCAGCTCCAGTACTAACCAGAAAACTAAAATAAAATAAATACAAATGTGAAAAACAAATATCATTAAAAAAGAGGAAAGAAGGAAACCAAACAATTTTTTTAATTCTTTACTTTCCCTAAATTTTTATATATTAAATAGATTTATATAATAAATTAAAATTAAAGTAATGAATGTCAAAATCACATTTTTCAATTTTATTTGTTTACCATAGTAGTCCAAGGCCCACCTTGGGGCAAGACGTTGAATCTGAACAGCGACCAAAACAGTGGAATCAGTATTGACATTTTTACAGATTTGCAGCTTTGTTAGATATGTATATGTTGTAGTAATGAATATTGATAATCAAAAGTTTACATTAGGCAGATCCTCACATTCATTACTTAAACATGATGGTGACGATATCCATTACTCTATTTTAATAATCTATTATTAGTTGTATTCAATATTAACCAATTCAATGTACTTTCACAAATTTTAAATTTATTTATAGTATTACATTAAATAAGTATTATAATATTTTTACAGGGAACACTCATAGTCCGCGGGGTAGTGTTAATACAGACTCCTTATAAAAGCCAAATACATTTAGTATTTTGCATTTAAAATACTCACGCCTAATGTACCTGTTACACTTTATTACTGATTCTTATAATAAATTTATAATTTTTTATATATTTATTTTAGTAAGGAAAGAAGATATGAAAATATGGCACGGTCAATGTATTTTAAAACCATCAATTGAGGAAAAATATTTTATTCAATCAACATTTTTTTTAAAGAACGCTTTATTAAAAAAGTTATAATTGACCAATTAAGAAATAAATATTAGTAGATATTAATTAAACCTAAACTTTTTGGCAAATAGCTTTTGTATAATAGCCATTCCTCAAACAATTGATTGTTCAACAATTTCATTCTAAGATCACCCGATACATTAGAGAACTACCAGTTTTATTGCCAAAAATAATTGTATTGAAAATATAGCACCATCGATCTTAAAAAATTTTCAAGCTCAATTTACATGGGCGAGTTGTAGCACAAAAATGTAGCCTTACTACATAACTTTAAGGCGCCTTCTCAATTGGATTATGTATTCAAAATACAAAATAAAATACATTTTTTGTATTTTAGAGATAAAATACAATTACATTGCAATGTATTTGTATTTTCAAAAGAAAAAAACAGTTACAAACGATGTATTTTATATTTTACTTCTTAAAATACAAAAATTGTACTTTTTTTTTGTATTTCAAAATGCTTTATTTGAAATAATGCCCAACTCTGCTTTTTATCATGTCTTAAATGAGAATTTAAATCTAATGGAATATATAATCCCTATAAACAAATATACATTAGTCAGCTTATTTTGTATTTTTATTTCTTACAATTCTCATACCAATTAAGTACTTAGCTTATGGGACAATAAAATAGAAAACAGCTGCAAGATTCTTATATTGACAATATACAGGAAACATTTTGCAAATCCTGATTAATTCAGTAGCCTTTATAAGGTATTGTAGGTTTACTGTCAATATACATTAAATCTATTCTTCAAACACATTATCAGTTGTAAGACTTCCTTCCATCATATGATTATTATCTAATGTAGGGCTTTTATAAAATTTTGAAAAAAACTAGATTTAATCAAGAATTTGTTACTACAAAATAGGAGTATTCCCCAATCAAAAGTCATACAAATTCAGTCCCATCATTGGTAAATATGCAAAATTAGATTGTTAAATCAGATTACAGACAAACCTGAACCATACATTAATAAATTTTCAGAAAAGTCCTTAAAGAGATTAAAAACAATGATGCAAGGAGCACTAATGTTACATTGCCTAATTTACATCTGCAGAAAATTGGCCCATTGTTAATATGAACTTTTTTGTAGCTCTTGAGGTCTACTACCACTTCTTTAACACTTTGACTGCAGATGAGATATATGCCTTCACGCCTGGGCAGTTGCCACTTAAAACGGGTAGGAGCAAGTCCCACCTTCACCATTTGACATATGGCTTGATCGATGCATTTATTAGCGGCCCGCCCCGTAGCTAACTCAGTGCTGTTGTTCCAGATTCTGACCAATTGGAAGCTATCAGTTGCAGATTTATTCTGAATCCAAGGTATGTCCTTTCTCTGTCATATATATGATCTTTATGTATACGTGATATATAAGCCTCTAAGTAACAATGAATGCCTCAATAGAAGGCAAAAGACCATGTGGAAGGCCAAAAAACAGAAGGATAGACAGAATCAACAAAGATACAACAGAGCTGAGTGCAGATAAATGGAAAGAAATAACTCAAGATAGGCAGAGATAGAGCAGGCTTGTTAAGGTGGCAAAAGATTTACATGGTCTGTAATGGCAACAGAAAAAAATAAATAAAATAAAATAAAAATGATCTTAATTATGTTTCTATTTAAATGTTTTATACATAAAATAAATGCTAATAAGTTAATTTTATAATATTTTTCTTTTTAATTTTGGTTTTGACTGAATGCAGCTTTTGGTACACGTGAATCTTTGTCTACTAAACAAATAAATGTAAGTTTCCTATATTTTATATATGTGAGATTTGTTCAGCTCTGACATATATTAAGTATAAAACAAATAACATTCTTGTGATACTTGCCAATTAATGTAAATGACCTAACTCCCGAAAATAATAATTATATCACAATATATATACATATAAAGGGGCTGGGGTAGCACTTGGATCCACGCTGCCCGAGATTCTCTCCCCCCACCCACGTATATGATCATCGTCAGCCTACTGGAGGCAACTTACACCGACTGGGCGTAGGACTGATTACAGTACCCCCTAACTCCTGTTTACTTAAATCGGGAATCGGGATGTGGTCAAGGAGACCACATCTCGCGGTCAAAGATCTTCATGGTCTGTAGCGCCAACCGAAAAAAAAAAAAAATATATACATATATATGTGTGAGTGTATATATATACATGTAAATACATACTTATGTAAATACATACATGGAAAATATATACATATATATATATATATATATTTATATATATATATATATATATATATATATATATATTTCAGATAATATAAAAGTGTTTGAAACTCAAAATAAATGTAAGTGCAATAATAAAATTTATAGCTGCATATTTTCAATATGAAACTTTTTTAGGTTAGAAATTTTTTTTGTAAATATGAAGAAATATATAATCGGAATCCCGCCGTCGGTGTCCTTTTTTTAGAAATAATATAATTCAATTTTTATGAACACACAGTTATTTTTGTGAATATTTTCAGTTATTTTGCTTTTCAGGAATGAGCAAATACGCAAGAAATCGAAGTGTTGCGGGATTACTGCTCCAATTTTGCATTGCTATTTGCCATATAACGTTTTTTTTTTAAGTTGAATGAAAACGTTAAAATGCATTTTTGAAAGATAAGATCTTGCAGGGTGACTAAAAGTTTTACGTCTTTGTGGATTTCGGGATGCAACTTATGGTAGAAACTCTCTATTTATAAGACACCCTATATATGTATAAGCTCCATTAAGGGCATGAGATGTAACATAAAAGTCAAGTATACATAAGTCGGTGCACATTGTATAACTGCACAAAGTTGAGGGTATACACTACTTATATGACAACTAAGTTATTTGTAACTAACTCAAGAGATCAGTCACCTCCGTATGCTTTCAAATAAACCTAAGTACTTCCAGCATTCCATGAATAACAAGTGTGACTAATGTAATTGTCAACAACACTAGATTCGTGCAGAACATTGGTGAACATAAATTGGGAGAGATGATTGTTTCACTATTGTGGAAATAGGGCAAAATAAACTTTTTGTAGAGTTTCTAGCTATAAAAATAGATAACAGACATCTTTTTTTACATTTCTTATATCATAAATAATATACAAAAACAATATTAAATTAATAATCTAATTTTTAATATGACACTAAAATATGAATTATCAAATAAAAAATATTCACCAAGGAGGAACTCTATTCAATGAGAGTTGGTTGTACTGATCTAAGCAAAGGCGATGAGCTGCAAGTATGGGATTTTTTATTCTAGAAACTGATCCCACTGCCCCAAATCCAAGTTTATCACCATCCATAAGAGATGCATCACACTCAACCCCACCATCCCAGGTAAGACTTGAGCCTAAGCCTGCATTTGTATACTGAGAGTCTTCTAGGACTACAGTTGCAATGGCAACTGCATCAACTGCTGACTTTCCACTTCGTATAGCTTCTATACCCTACAAAAAAAACAATAATACTAAATATTCACTCAAACTGATGTGATTAACTTCATTTCAAAGCACATCACACTTACTTTTTTACAAGCAAGTCTACATATTCTTTCATAACGAGTTTGAAGTTTTTCAGAATGACATCCTGCTCCTATAAAGTGATTGACAAGTAAATATATGACCAAACAGTCCGTATGTATAACTGAAATAACTTTTTACCTATATGAACCCCAATAAAACCTGTCATTTGACTTTTTAATTCAAATGAAACTTTCCCACCAAGAAGTAGGATTCAGGGAGGTAATATCATATGAAGGTTATAGTCATATTAAACGCTAGGCAATGTATATTACTATAATATTTTAATACTTTTCAACTAAAAAATCGAACACACTATTTTGAATACCAGTAATATTTTATGACTTAATTTAGCTCTAATTTTAATGTAATAGTGCAGTCATTTTATTTCGCTCTACTGTTTGAATCAAGTTAAAGTACGTTACTCAGTTCAAAAGTTTTCAAAACTTCATAAGATACTTTTCTGTTTATTTTGATCAAAAATGTTTACTAAAGAGGATTTATCATCAATGAAATATAAGGAATTAGTTGTTATAGCAAAACAGTATGGTGTTTATAAATCCCGGAGTAAAAAGGTATTGCATAAATCTTTGGTTATAATTAATTTTAAAAATTGATCATGTCATTTTTGCTACAAACCTTTATTTCTCAGGTTAATTTGTTGAATAAGCTGCTGTCCATACCTTTTGACCAGGTATTTAACTAACTAATGACCTATTTTTTACGTTTCAATATGAATTATTATAACTAAAAAATATATTTTGTTTAGGTGGTGGTTAATCAACCTGTTTCAATAAATGGTATGTAATGATTTATTATTACATTGTTTATGTAAATATTAATTTTTAGTTTAGCTGTGTCATTTGTTTACAGTTGAAAACTTCACTCCTTTAGTAGAATAATATAGTATATAATTCTTTAATTTATTTTGAAGTTGATGTAAAGATAGTGGCTTTTTCAAGCTATTTATTTCTGATTTTGTTTTCAGATAAAAGTGATACAAACATAGTTGATACAACCCAGAAAACTGATTGTTTTGAGAGCAGTAGGTTTCATTGTATTTGAATTTATATGTCCTTTGCTGATTTGTACAATTATAGATATAATTAAATGCATGTTTTGTCTTTAGAGATGAGTCCTGCACCTCTTAGAAGAGAGACTTTTGATGTTGTTCCATGTAAGTTTACTTGTTTGATAAATATTTTTTAAGATTTCATTTGGTTACTACACTTAAATTTCTACTCCAAAATAGTGGCTGCTGTCAAGATCACATTGAGCACACTGTAAATAAATTTCCAAGGAATGGTGAAGGTAGCTGATTATTAACCATCGTGTTCAAATACAATATTGATAAAATCATTCTGACATTGTTAATTTAATAATTCAGGATATTACAATATGCCCTAAATGTAAACTTAAGGTACTAGTTCACATCAGTTCTGCATAGATTACCCATGGTTCACAATCACTTCAGTCACACATGTTCATGGAGTGCCAAATGCGTTCGGGTTTATCCGAAAGAGAACAAACCTGCCATTTAAGTACTTCTATAACCTTAATCATGTTCAGCTATTCAGCAGGAGCTGATTTATATTTAAAATTCAGGCTACATCATGTAACCTTAATGAAACTTATTTATATATTTCCCAGCTGTGGAAAAGATATAGTAATAGATAAGAACCTTTAATTATTATACCTCTGGATGCTGTTTCTTGATGTTATTTTTTGTAATTGATGATTTCCATTATTCATTATGTTGGAGTTATGAGATATTCTTCGTCACATTTTTCCTCTATCTATGGGTCGTGTTGGGAGTGGATATTATTGGAATAAATATTTATCTACATAACAATTAATAGATACATTTTATCTATTAATATTATCCAATTTTCTCAGGCAATCTTTAATCTGACATTATTTTCATAAAAAACGTTCTTGGCAACTTAATAGTGGACTCTTATATCTAAGAAATCCAAAAAGCTACAGAAGTTCGATGAACAATTTCAGATCCAACATTATATACATAAAAAGCTCCGTAGACTAGAAAATATTGGATTCGTATATCTAAGAATTTAAAAAAAGTTACATAAACTTGATGCTCAATTTCAAATCAGACAGTATTTCCAAAAAAAGTGCCCTCCATTAGAAAATAGTGGACCCTCATATTATTAGAAATCCAAAAAGTTGCATAAACTAGATAAGACGATTGCACAATTCTAAAAAAAAGGCTTGCTAAAATAAATTATAAATTCAATTATTCCAATTTCTATTGAAAAGCTCGAATAACAAATAAAAAGATAATAGATAACTCAGATTATTTATTATCCAAATGATAAAAAATCTGTTATACACAGTTATAAAAGATAATATACAACAGTATATACGTATTTACAGCCACTACATGTAAGCACATGTCAATAAAAATTTTATTTCTAAAAGCATTTTTTTTAAGAAGCCTCGAAGGACGACTCTATTATTTTATATACATTTTTTTCTTATTCTTTCAGTGTAATAACCGTTATAATAAAAATTAATAATTAACAAATTAGTATATACATAATTCGTTAATAAATTGTTACTAATGAAGTTCCATGAAGGGAATAAGTTTTTTTTCCTTCAAAAATGCATGAAAAGGGATTGTGTGCTTGGGACAATAGCTGACCTTATAATAGACAACAACATTCAGCTGTTTTCAGGATTCCATGAACAAGTGTAATTGAAATGATTGTGAACCAGACGTAATCTGTGCTGAACTTATGTTTAGTACCAAACTTAATTTAGAATGCAGTATTTCAATGTAATTATTAATTCTTTAAGATGATTCTGATTTTTTTATAATAGTTGTTTTTTATAGTTTTTCTGCATAACAATTTGAAGAATTAAGTAGTGGTTATCGTGTCAGAAATTTAAAATTTATATCAGGTTTGTATGCAAATATAAGTGTTCATATTCATTTATTTGGAACATCTAGAAACAACAGAAAGTTTCAATGATCAGCTGACAAATTTTGAATATTTGGTTCCAGCATGCGATACTTATATCAGAAATTGCCAACATTGTGGTACTTATACCTATATATGGCAAGAGTTGAGGGAGGATGGTGATAAATCAAAGGTTCATTCTGTTATATTTGAATATTAATATGAAACTAAAATTTAAATATTAAGCTTGGAGTGCTACCAATTATAGTTTATACCATACTTATATATATATATATATATATATATATACCAACCATAGATTATACCAATGATAGTTTCTCTTCATGTTGTACATGCCGTGTTACTTATTTCATATTTACTTCTTGTATTTATCATTTAATACTATAAAAGTTGTAAATTTCAATAATAATAAAAAAATAATAATATGAAGTGAACATTGTAGGAAATTGAAATGACCTGACAAAGTAAATGTGTATATGAGAATGAATGAATGTTCCTCTTAAAATAACATTTTATTCAGTAAGCCTAGTGATTGGTCGTTTCTGTCTTTTTGACACACTAATTTTGGGACTTCATTAACAGTTTGCTCATTGTAATCTTGAAACCAGCTACTATTTTGAAGTAACGATTCGGAACTAGTACCTTTATTTGTTTAAAATAATGTCAAAAATACCAATTTTTTTGTTTATATTTTATGTTGCCAATGATCTCTGGATGTTGTTTTGTAAATTATTATTTTCAATTTTTTCAGTTGCTGAAGGCAGAGATAATATAACAGTTGAAGACAATTTCAGTAATATTGATGGAGGTTAGTAGAGCTATCTAAATATGAGATTACACTTAAGTTATAATTAATTTTAAATTGTAAAAAAATAGTATAATTAATGATTAATTATGTATTCTGGATTTCTAAAGCACTTTTATTGATATTTAATTCTAGTTCAGTTGTTCATTACCATAAAGTGATGATTATGCACTTAATTGATTTTTTAGTAAATTTGTATTTTTGTTTAATAGAAATATTGGACATTAACGTTCCTTCAATTAGAAGAGAAACATTTGACGTTGACAAAGGTAATTCATTCATAATTATTAGTCATAAGTAATTTTTTTTTCTTTGTTTATATTTCATCTCACAGGCATATTAGATTTATAGACTCTACAATTCAGAAACCTAAGGAGTATATGCTCTAAGACTTAAGAAACACTTATAGCTTTCTCATTTTCTGTGAAATCTTTGTGTTTGTCATTAATTTAAATCGAGGACGATACTTGCGCAAACAATTAAGTGTTTTGCATTATTGAACAAAACCAATTTGGAAATAGAAATTAGTAGTCCATTAGCCTCCGTGAGCTAGCTACAGCCTCCAAATGTTTTTGCACAATATTTATCTAGGCATAGAATCAATTAATATCTATTTAGGTTACAAAAATTTGAAAATTGTAACAGTAAAATATAAAAAATTGCTGTGTTCTCCATTAGCATTGTTTAACTCTACTACGGTCTTCAATGACAAAAAGGTTTCCCACCTATGCTGTAACCTATTATGTGAAAATTTCGTAGCGTTTCTATAATTATATAAAACAAATATTAAAGGTGTAGGTAAATAACTTTGAGGAAGAAAGCTTTTTTATGCGCATGCATTTAACAGTAATTTTTTGTTTTTGAAATATCAATCAATTTATGTATTAAAGCAAATAATAGAAATAATGTAAAAAAAATCATTGTTTTTAAAAAAATATTTAGTAAGAAAGCTGAAGTTATGTAGATTAGGATTTTCCCTCAATGAGGATAGCCTCTCTATTTAGCCTGAAAAGTTCTTCTTTAGGTAATTTACCTGTTTTAAAGTCCATAGCATGAAAATTAAAATATTTGTATTTAATTTAAACACTTGGTATTTAGTACCCTTCTAGTGATATTTTGTAAATAAATAATGGATTGATGAATGATGCTATCTTCTTTCAATCTTTGTAATAAATCATGCCTGAATGGTTTAGGTGCTCAATACTAAGAGAATTCATTTGTTTTAAATATTTGTATTTATCTATTGCACTTGTCATAAGCTTTTTATACTTACAATCAGCTTAACTTAGATGAACAAGGAGCATATTTCTCTTTATTTTTATGTTATTCATATATCCTTTAGATATTGTTTCAACTCTTGAGTATCATCAAATGGTAATGTTGTTATTGTGTTAAATCTACATTTTATTAAAAAATTAATTTTAGTTAATATATAATATACCTTAGTTTCAGATTCTAGAATGTCTGCAGTCAAAGATGACCTTCAAATCACTAATGACAGTAAGTAACTAATTTTTAATAATTTAGTAAAATTTATTAGATTCCTCCCTTTTTGAGAATCTCAACCACTTTTTCAAAATTATCCTTTCAATCTATTTCTATAGTCGATTGATGTTGAGTTTACTAACCAACCAATAATATTATTTTATTATTTGGTTATTTATTATTTTAAATTATGTGATCCTCTCTTTCACCAGGTATTCAAAGTTTGTAAGGAGTATTGTTTGAATTCTCGTTTATTATATTTCTTGAAAACAGCATTTGTTTTAATCTATAATTTGGTTTCTTTGCTGGAAAGTATATTCCACAATGTTCATCATACTTCATGTTTCGTACTACATCATCATGTTTTTCTTTTTAAAATTTATTGGTGCATTAGAATTGATTGTAATAGAGCTTAGTTATGGCAAAATTTGTATGAATAGCATTTAGTTTTATATAGAATACTCTCCTAGTCTATTTATTTACTCATTGTTTTCATTTTGAAAGCTTGAACATTGAATGAACTTTGATCCCATTAAGCTTTCTAGTTGTTTTATGATGGACTTTCAATATGTGGTTGTTCTCATGGTGCTTTTGGCTTTTAAATTACAGTGGTATGTATGTGTTTGGATAAAAATGCTTTAACCAATAATTCAAATATTTCACTTATGAAATATCCAAATGAAAAAATATATAACACATTTGAAAAGTTTGTGAAATGTAATGTTTACATGAAGAGTAATATCATACCTTGAATACAATGGAGCCAATAGTCAATTTTGCATTCAATATGTGAACTGTGTTGCCGCTCATGAGTAGCAAATCCTCAGACCCATGCTCATTGAAAAGTCATACAACTGATTAAACACTCAATGTTATTGTTGTTTTAGTAAAATAAGAGCAAATCTTTGTTTATTGGGCCAAGAAATAAAATAACTGAGTTTAATATGAGGTACAACATAGGTTTTAAAAACAAAGTATAAATGTGCATATATTCTTAGAAGCTATTGGACAACATTCTACAACCAATAAAAAATACACTTTTTAAAGGATTCAAGATTCCTATCTTTATTCAAAATTAAAGGAAAAAAAATTATGACTTGATCGAAGTTTTAAAAGTAATTGGTAACTGGAATAATTACAAAGAAATTACAGAATAAGTTAGTTGAGGATGTGGTCTAAAAATACTCTATTATATAATAGTATATTTTATTGCATTGTTCAACATTTCAACTTATGTTGTAGTTCTTCTTCACGTCATTCAGTCAGGCACTGTTGAAGACAGTATGGAGACTGACTAATAAGAAATTAAATTAAAAAAAATTACAACATTTTTATTTCCTTATCTAGAATTATTTTAAAAAACTAAAATACAATCACAGAATATAATAATCATAGTCTAATTAAAGTAGATATAATTGCAATTTAACATATGTGAGCGAAAATTGTGTAAGACTGATCGAACTTCACACCTCCTGCAAACAGTACACTGTGATATCATGTAGTCATTTTTAGGACAAAAAAGGAATTTATTTTTTTATGGAGGGGTTTTGTAGCCCAAATATTGCAGAAACAACCTTTTCTATTTCTATTTACTTTTCCTTATCACAATGGAATAGAGGAAATTTATTTTTTTGTGGATTATATCAAAATTAAAGTCAACCCTCAAAGATAAATATTATGGGTATCTGGTTCCTCCAGATGCTGTATTGGGTTTCTCGCTCTTTTTCATACACTGCAGCTACGATGGGCTAGTTTTTTTTATTATTTTTATTTATTTTTTCTATAGACTATTTAAGATTTCAAGTATCAAGAGGAAACAATAAATTAAGTAGTTTTTGTAAAAGAAGGGTATGTATGTAATCGTAGTGAATAATATTATGTTAATAATGATTCATTATTAAGAACAGAAAAAAGTCAGTTTCGTATGATTACTCAAGGCCTATATAATTAGTAATAGATTCTGAAGAAAATTGTCTATTTTATTATTCGTTTTCTTTTAAAAACTAATGTTCAAAATTATTGTATCCCTGTGTACAGTATTCTTTTGTTGAGTTTTATGCTAAAGGGAAACCAAATCATCTTATTTCCTTCTTTTATAATCATGGTTAGAATGTAGGGACTAGAGCCCAACTGCATCCCTTATGCCCTCAAACTGGTTAAGCTGGATTTAGGTAAATAGATAATATCAAAAAAACCTTTCTCCATTTATTTAAAGTAGTGAAAGCTACAGGTTTAAACCCTCTCCACTGCAATGTTCTCACATTCTGAGCCTCTTCTTTGAGATTTTCAATGTTATTACTTTCCATAAAATGAAAGTACTAATTTTTATTCTTTTGAGTTCCAAGGAATCCCGTATAGATATACCATCCTTAATGATGATGCTTTGTATGATTTTTGTCTAAGCTGAGATTTCGACTTTTCATCCCTGTATAAGATAAGATGCACCTGCTCATTTTGTAGCTTGCATAATCAAATAATGAGTGGTCCTCTCTTTTCTCATCAAACCTTGTCTGTTAATTTGTCCTTCAGTATATGACTTGGACATTCTTCAGGAATTGGACTTTGGCTAAGATACTTGCTGCCTTTGGAGCTCCGTAATCTTCAGAGATGCCTTCACGCCTGAAAATTATAAATATTTTGTCACTTTCTCCTTAGGCAAAGTAACCTTGCATGGCAGGTCTGGACTCCTTAGGCTTTTGGGAAACTCCATTACTACACAATATTGTCCTAGCTTGGGAACTTGCTCTTTAGGTCAGGTCCCATGTCTAAGTTTAATGCAATGTTTAAAAATTGAATAAATGTGTATATGAAATTTGATTCAGAGCTAAAATTAAATCATACTTTTTTTTTTTTTTCATACATTTTATTTAATCTTTTCTTTTTCAGAAGAAAACCTGTCTTCTGAAAAATCTTTCTTAAGACAGAACACTTTCAATATAGATAAACCAAGTAAGTTCACTTTTCTAATATATATGGCAATATTTCATATTTTAAATTTACAAGCATTTGTAAGTCTGTATGTATTGATTGTTGATTATTTGTTTATTGATAAATATTACAATCTGTCTCAATAAAGGACATTTATAATAGAGTTCTGAGAGCACATTCACACCATATTTACAAAATCAAAAAAAATAAGCTAATTTCAAATAATATAAAGCTATAAAAGAACAAAATAAAATATCATAGTGAAGGAAGAAAATATAAATAATAGTAATAATAGAGTGAAAATAAATGAATAAAATAGAATTAAAATTATCTTAAAGAAAAAAAAAAATAATGAAAATAAACATCTTAGATGCAGGCATACCTATTTATACTATTTGCATGTATTTATTAAGTATGAGATTTTATTTCACACAAACCAATTTACATTACATGAATTATTAAAACCAAATAAAACTTTTACAACATTCTGCATCTTATATGCACTACACATTTTTGTTTTGACAAATGCAACTCTCCTTTGAGATAGGTGAGGACTTTTTTTTCTAATGCTTTTATTATTCAGTTTGATCTATTATCTTTTAAGATTCCTTATTTATTAGTACTGGTTCTTCCTGTAAGGGCTTAGTTCAACAAAATGAAGTTAATGTTTCCTATCGTTGGTGCTTTCAAGTCTGCATTCATGGTGTATTAACCTGGCATCACTTTGTCAAATTGACAAAGTAGTTTATGACATTAATTTCATACGAAGAAGGATAATTGAATCTTGTGAAACAATAACACATATCCAGTGCCGTTCTGCCACTGCTGCTGTTGAAGAAAGATGCCGAGCCTGTCTTAATGCTCAAGGAAATACTTTGAACAACATTTAATATGAATTTAATGTTTACGTTTTAATTAATAAAGTAGTTGGAACAAATAAATAAGTTTTATTTATTTCATATAACGTAAATAATTCATAACAATGAAAATCTTTTAGGTGTGTATATCTCCTAAAAAAAGTGTTTGCGGACATACCTTCATAGGAATTTTTTTTTCTTGTGGTCCTTAATTCATATTTTCAGTTCGGCCACTTAACCCTGAAACACCCTGTATAAGAGCGATAGATCAGAAGAGCAAAAAAAAAAAAACCAAGGAATCCTTAAGGATGAACTACTTCATCAATTTGACAAAGCGATACCTTTGTCAGATTAACCAGGATAGCAGAACACTAAGTAAGCAAAAAAGCTGCTGTATCTGTAAAACAAATAAATTAATTATTTTAAATGGTAGATTTTGCTGCTACAAGAAAGAAAAATTGTTGTGGAAAGGTATCATTTCTTCATTTAGGCGATGTTGCCTCAACTAAATAATAAAAACAATCAGATTTACATGTTAGCTTTTCACCACTGATCACTTGTGAAATAGTTGGAGATAGCATTGCTTAGGGGAAGAAGTACTAGAAAAAGGGAATACCGGAAAACTAATTGGATCAAACACAAATTTCATCATTTTGACAAACACTACCTTCCTAATGTTAAACTACAATATACCAATTACCAACAGTTTGATATATTTTTCACATAAAAATTAGATGTTAATGAAATATTGACCAATACTATTGTTTTCTATATAGTGTGTCATAAGATATGCTTAAGATTCTTTTGACCGCGATGCTGCATTGATCTGAAAAATATTTAGGCCCTTTTGTTTATCATGTATCCTTTTTCTGCTTTATTTCTATTATTCTATTTTAATACTTTAAATAGGACACCTGTGCAAGAACTTTCGCATTAGATATCGATCCTTCTTCTCCCTCATTCATTGAAGTATAAATGATGTTAGGAAAACACTTTGATCTCTATAAAAAATACATAATTATCAAGAAAGTTAGTTTATTTAAGACATAATTGGTGAAGCTCCATACTTCATAATGATTATGATGAAGTGACAGTTTAATAATGAATAATAAGTTTAATTATTTATTAGCCTGCTCTACAGCGTAATAGCTCTTCAGTTTAGCAATAAGACTCTGCTGTTCAGTATTCTGCCCACTGAACCTATAAGGTTAGTGCACAACAGCAGTTGGGTAGTTGTTCTCACTTACTAAGAGTGGAGAATAGAAGTCAGATCTAGAATAACTTAATCACAAATATAAGCTACCTACAATCAAATGTACAAAATTGTATGGATTGTTAGTGAAGCATGAAAATTTATATTTTGTATACATTATTAGTATTAGATTGGTTATTACATATTTCAGCAGTAATTAATTGGTTATATTTTTTTTCAGAAGAAAAATTATCTGATAAAACGGTAATACCGACAACACCTACTGTTTTGAGACAAGGCACCTTTAGTATAGATACACCAAGTAAGTTTAGTATTTTAATAGGGTTTTTTATGGATTAAATTTTGGGTAAAGTTTTGAATGGATATTGAAGTTTGGTGCATCTTTCTAATAATATAAAATAAGGCTTCATTATTTGTCAGAATATGTATTAAAAGCATTTGTTTGGTTCCTAAAACTACCAACAGATAAAAAAATATATGGAACTTCAAGATTAACTGATGACTTCTTGGGGGGGATGTGTAGTTTGTGGAATTTGACTCATAACATTCATTACTTAAAACGTTTTCATTTGAGTTTTTAAATTCCTTTCCATTATATATGTATGTTTAATTTTTAGTTGAAACCATTATCACAAATGTGAGTTTAGTCAGGTGAGATCCGTTCTTTTCCTTCTGCCTTGGGTAGTCCCCTGCTTACTGTGAAGTTTTTTTAAATTTTCATCAACATAAATATTTGCTTTGTTTCTGTTAATAAGGTCTCTCTATATGTTGTTCCTTTTTTTTTTTTTTTTTTTTTTTTTTTGTCTGTTTTTCTCATTTCCTATGACTATTATTTCATGCTTATATCTGAGAGTATGATGTTCTATTCTGAAACCCATCCCTTTGTTTTCTTAAGAATCTTTCCGAACTCACGTTTTTGGAGACAATAAGTGATTTAACTGTGGTGATCAGGATGTTAGGCTATCTATTTGACCCTTAGTTCTTAATCTGTCTTCTATTATCTTTATCTTAGTTTTTTATTGGAGACTACCATCATCTGGGCCCTCTGTCTATGGCCTGTAGGTATCATTGTATGGATAAGCTTATTTTACTTAAAATTAAAGTGCTAACCACATATATTGCCATGCCATTCAATTTGTGTAATCAAATTATTAAATTAATGTAGGAAAGATAAAATATAATATAGAAGAGAACAATTTTTTTTTCTTTCGTAATACTGATTTTTTTATGAGTTAATCTTAAAATGAGCTTATGTTTAAATTATCTTAAGCCAGATATAAATACTGTTATAATCTACTAATTCATCAATTATTACTTTAATTAAATTTCAGTCTTATAGTTAAATAGCGGATCTCTCTAGTTGGTCTCAATGTATTTGTCTTTGTCTATTGTTAACAATGCCTTTTATTGTATAAGATCCATTTCTATTGTCCACAATTCCTTTGGTCGTATAAGATCCATTTATATTGACCACACGGCCTTTTATAGTATAAGATTATTTTCTCATCACGTACCACTTCCCACTCTTAAATCCATCCACATTCAAAAACCAATCTATTCCAAAAATCATTCAAGTCAGATACCTACTAACTATTGACATTTTACATGTATTTCATGTCATTTATCATCATATGATAATGTTGTTCTTTGCTATGAAAAAGTAAATAAATTTCCTTTTATCAATGCCACTCAGTACATCAATTTGTTTTTTTAATTATTACTATTAGTTTTTTTTATATACAATTAACTCTTGCAAGTATTTTCCATAATAGATGATCATGCTCTTCTTATGATGTATTTACATATTATCCAGAATTTGCATAATTAGGCATTTTATATTGATAGATGCAGTTTTCATTTTTCTTAGTAGAAACATAATACTTATTTATAAGAAGAATTTAATTTGTTTTAGTTTTTCTTTTCTTGAAGTGTATATTTATGCTGTTCTACCATTATTTATAGTTTTAAGTGCTTTGTACATAGTTTTCAATGTTTCGCACATAGTTTTATTTGTTTTGTATATAGCTTGTTTACTTAATGTTTTATTTACTTCTTTACTTTCACTTACCTATATATGGAATATTTAGACTTTGTCCCAGAATAAATTTGTTTTCTAGCTATCTATCTACCATCATGTGATCAAGAAATGGACCATTTTTATTGCTTGTTTAGTGAATAAAAGAAGTTTCAAAATGGTAGAAACATAAAGCTTATTTATGAGAAGAATTTAATTTGTTTTAGTTTTTCTTTTTTCTTTTCTTGAAGTGTATATTTATGCTGTTCTACCATTATTTATAGTTTTAAGTTCTTTATACATAGTTTTCAATGTTTCGCACATAGTTTTATTTGTTTTGTATATAGCTTGTTTACTTAATGTTTTATTTACTTCTTTACTTTCACTTACCTATATATGGAATATATAGACTTTGTCCCAGAATAAATTTGTTTTCTAGCTATCTATCTACCACCATGTGATCAAGAAATGGATCATTTTTATTGCTTGTTTTGTAAATAAAAGAAATTTCAAAATGGTAATTTTTTTATTACTTGTCTAACTCCTGTAGCAACAACTTACAAGCTTTTTTTATCGATGGCCTACAGGTGATATGCTGTGGTGGATTTGTTCTCTCCATGCTTTGCTGTTGTTTCTTCTATAGTTTTGGTTGTGTCCAGTTTCCCTGTTGACTTGAGTTAGTCGTTGTTACCTTACTTGTCTTCCATTGGGAAATCACTACATTAACGCTTCTAAAACCAATGCTATAGTGTGAAGTACTGGAAGGGTCAAGGGAGTTTGAATATGTGAACATAACTTTAATGAAAATTGCTCTTTGACTTTTTATTTTCAAAGACTTTTAACATAATAACAAAATGATTTTATTGTTTGAATTTTGTGTGAAAGCTAGGATAAAGTTTATTAAGGATTTACTTTTTTTACACCATTGGTTTTAAAACAGCCAGGTCAGAAACCTGCATTATTTTTACATTAACCTGATACTAATATTATTAGAGCTGTATCTGACTAGCTTCTGAAATATGACAGGAAAATTATAGTTTTAATTTTAATATTAATATGTTATTGTTTAATAAAATATAACATTTTTAAATGATAGTTATTTCAAATTGTATGTCTTCTCATCATTACTTCTTATGTTTTAAAGCCTCTGATAACATAATTTTCACTTTGATTGCTTTAAACAAAGCTTTTCACTCTAAAAAATCTTGAATGAAAATTCATTTCATTTTGTTTAAAAAAAACTATCATTCAATTAAATTAATAAGATACACATATTCTTTCATTACCATGATAATGATTTTTTACTTGAATGCAACTGTTGTTTTAAATTTTAAAAATCATGTGTTTTAGACAAAAATAACATATTTGAAGAAATGCCTGGCTTACTTCGCAAAGAATTTAAGAGCACACCAGTTAAACCATACATTTTAAATGGAGCAGGTATTTTAGTTTGTCTGTTACTATATTTCATGTTTTAATATTATTTTCTTTATAATATATTTATTTTGCATATGGTTTTATTACAGCCACTTGTTCACCTGTCAGGACCAGAAATTCTATTCATCGTTCTGTTGGTTCAGTAAAATCTATTGGCCAGAGAATAGAAAATCAAAGTATGTTTTATCAATTATTACATTTTGACAAATTATGCTATATTAGGAAAGATTAACATAATTGCTTATATTTAATTTAAGTCCTCATATGCCTTCTGACTGAGCAGCTACGAGGGATGTCCAGAAACTCAATTTAGAGAATATAGAGTATTCAATTTTTCTATTTTATAAAAAAACTTCTATTTAAAACAATATCAGATGTACATGCTACTTATTTTTCTACGTACATCATCTGCCCCTCTTCTATGCAGATTTCAAGCTGTGCCACAAACAATTTGATTTCTGCGTCATATAATTCTCCTGTCATCTCCTTCGCCCATTTCAAGACCTCTTGTTTCACCTCCTCATTGGTTGAAATTTTTTTCCTGCGCATATGAGTCTTGAGGAAGGTGAAAAGATGAAAAGATGAAAATCTGAAGGCTTCATGTCAGGGACCTATGCAGGGCGGTTCAAAATGTCAGAACTAAATGAGTTTATAAGCCACTTATGGGAGTTGGTTGTGTGTGGGCAGGTCTTGTCGTGCAAAAAACACACTACCTTTCAACATTATGCTCTGTTTGTTTTTAATTGTTCTCTTGAGATTTTATTTGGCCTCACAGTTATCCTATAATAATCGTATCTCCCTGTGACAACAATTTGATCAAAATGATCCCTTTTCAGTCCCTAAACATGGAAACCATGATTTTTGTCGGAAATTGAGGTTCTGACTTTTTTGGCAGATAGGGAACCAGTTTCTAGCTTCTTCAATGACTTTATTTTTGTCTTAACAGTGTAAGAAGCAAACCCATATTCGATTATCAGTCAGGATGAAATTCAGAAAATCAGTATAAACCTAACACTTGGTGGGATTTCTTATTGACATAGTTTAGAAATACAGACACTATGAGGTGAGTTTTGGTATTAGTGAATGCCATTGCTGCCTATTGTTTATAAGAGAATGCTTACTACAACTCAGTGTGGACAACTTTTGAAAAAAAAATTCTTACACTGCAAGAGCCAACATGTACTTTCTGAACATGCCTCATATAATTCATGGATCTACATCAATCTGTCACTCTCCTTGAATCTGAGGAAGTCCAACCATAGGATTCGTACCGACGATAGAATTTTGTGTTTTAGAAAAAAATAAATTAATGTTGAGCGACAAACTTTCTAAAGTTTCTTACTCATATTTAACTTAAGTTTAGATGGGTTTTAAAAAAATTATTTTCCAGTGAGATAGATAAGGCTTTTCTATCAAAATAAACATTATTAGATCAACTGTTTTGTACAGTCAACGACACAATTTAGTTTTTTATTGATTAAAAAGATTTAATAAATGATTTGATAAATGATTTTCTGTGAAGTATACCTAATTTTTATCAACTGTCCTGTTTTTAGGAACTGCCAAAAGTGAACGAAGACCATCCAGTAGAGGTTCAAAGACACAAAAGAATTTTTCTGTTAAAAATAATCTCTCTGTTAATATGGTAGTTATTTTTGTTTTTATGTTATTTTATGATAAAGAGTTTTATTAATAATTTGTGAGGATTGATCCAATGCAGTATATTTTTATTAATATACATACAGTTAGTTATATTTAGGCTCATTTTGTCAATATCAGAATATCTACTAGACCTGATATAGCTGGAAAAGTCTGGTAATTTTATGGAAAAAAAAAAAAAATCATAAGAATTTTACAAGCTAAGGGACAAGAGTTCAAATTTTCTGTTATGGTAAAAAGAATCATTATTGGTCACATAATATCACATGACTGTAATATATACATAAGTATACTAATGATACATTAAGAAACCATTTATGTGGCAAAATTTGTTTGTTACATTTTTATGCGTGTTAGTTAAGTAACTATAAAAGTCAGTATAAGAGATGATTTTTCTATTGTTTTTAATATCAAAGAGACTGCTTCAATATTTTTATTTGTATATCAAAGAGAAGTTGTTTAATTTTTGGTAGCGATCTTACAAACTTGTACATCATAAATATGTATATTTTTTTTATAGTACCTCCTTTCATTATTGTGGATCACAGTATTTAAAATGTTAAATATTGTACCCATCATGCAAAATGATTATCAATTATATCCTTTCACAAATATTTATATATATGCCCCGATGTTTTCCAGAAATGACCTGAAACAGTTTGGGAATTTCATTTGAAAGTTCCAGTAGATATTCTGTTATATTAATGTTTTAGAGTAACATTTAAAGTTTCATTTTAATTTTTTTTCATTTAAAGTTTGGTTCAATGTAATTTGTATTAATTTCCAGGTATCAGTTACTACACCAGTAAGGATTCACAAAACTTCTGTTAAGGGTAATTTTTATTTGTTTATTTTTATTGAAGTAGGTACATTCATATTGTTAAAAAATGAAAATTTATTAATCGAGGAGTAGGCATTATTATTTTTAATTTTTTTTTTCAGTTTAGTCATACATAAAGTTTATGAAATCAATTATCACATCAAATAAAAAATATATTTTGATTCTAGATTACTTTCGTTATGCATCCATGTTCAGCACCTTAACTGTCCATGGTTTTTGGTTTAAAAAGCAGATTTAATTTTATCATTGCTGCAAATCTTTTTTTTTTTTCTTGCCTTTTAAGCTGTTTAGGGTTTTCCCGGGCCAGGGTATTGGATTAATGCCAGAGTTAGAAGTCCTCCTGGGTATTAGGACACGAACTCCTATTTATTTTATTATAACTTCGGTTGTCAGGTTGGCAGGCAACTTGCAGTGCTATGCACACGTGTTAGCCCCCTTCCTCTCAACCTCATTGCTGCAAACTAAGAGACAACTTGTTTGTAGTGCATAGCCAAGAATATTTACTACAAGTTATCTCATAATTGAGCAGTTAATGTGTCAATAATAAACCCCTTAGCTAAAATAAAATTACTTAGGTTATTTCCGCCCTTACAACTTATATTTCTTGTTTTTACAAAATCTTTTTTCCCAATGAACTTTTAAATGTCAGCAGAAATGGATTGTTATATTTCTAAGGTTTAATTCTATTAATCTTACTTATTTTAAGTATAATAGTTTTTTAATTTTTAGGAGGAAGAATAGAAAAAAAAATAACACCTAGTAAATTACCAAATTTCAAAGCAATTCATTTGCGTGAATTTTCTAAAATGGAATCCATAGTAGAACACACTAAAAGGAAGGAAGAAAGGACAAAGGCTCTTTTAACCCCTGTAAAGTTGAACCCGATTGCTGGAAATGTGTCTAAAGGAACATCCTTAGTTACCAGTCGTATACCTGTTAAATTTGATATGCCAGCAACTGTTGAACCAAAAACAACATCATTTACCCCTAGCAAAGGAAAGCTAAGTGTGAATACCCACACCCAGAAAAATACAAATTTAAAGAAGAGTTGTGTGTCAAATGTTAAAGATAAATTGAAATTCATAGATTCACCTATGACAAAAGTAAAAAGAAGATCTGGATCTGGTGCAGTTAAGGATGTTACCAATAAAATTGCCTCTAATCCTAAAAAGAGAGTTGAAAATGTTAAGGAAATCGTAACCAGTAAAATGCATCCCTTCTCTGTGTAAGTAGTTATCAAATATTTAAATGTCCTATTAATGTTAAAGAGAAAAGTCTACAAGTCTAGGTAACTTAACGAACTCAAATAATTTAAGATTTGAAATCAATAATTGCATTAATTATATGAATTAATAATTGTGTAATAATATCGAAAATATATTGGTTTATTTTAAATAAGTCCCTAAATAGTACTGAACCCAAATCCCTTCATGGGTTGTAGTGGTACACGTATTTAAAGTAACAATTGTTGGTTACTTCTTTTAAAAAATCTGGTGCGGTGTGTGCATCAAACAACTTTCACTTACCATCCTCTTCTTAGCAGAAATAAGTATTTTCGGACAAAGGAGAAGTGAAAAGTAAAAATTATAGACGTTATATTTCATTGTGGGTATTTTTATTTGTATAAGTACCCTTATATATACAAATTTTAATATTTATATCGCTGTAATTTATACAATTAAATGTTAAATAATAACAAATATTTTATATTTAGTTATCTTTTATATCAAAGATCAATGTGAAATGGTCAATTGTTTCAAATAAAAAAAATTAAAGGTACTTTCGGGTAAAATTAGCTAATTACTGAAAATTGGCTATTTAAGCCCTGCTAGAAAAATCAATCATCATAAAACCTACATTTTGTTAAAAACTGCATAAGTTTATACTGCTGATATAATGAATTTAATCAAAATCGTTTTTGAGAAAATCGTAAAAATGTGTGTTTTAAGTCCACGATATTAAGTGCCGCTTCCGGTTTGCCAATTTTAACGAAATAGTTGCTGTAACATTCCAAGCATATAAAAACCTTAAATATGCAATTTTACTATTGTACAACTTTTTGTTTTTGAGCTAGACTGTTAACCACTAACTAGACTGCTATACAGACATTTTGCGGGACTTGGTTATTTAGACTCATGGGAGCTCAAAACGTGTATTTTCGTTGAAAACTGAGATTCAAAAATTTTCACGATCGCAATACTTTCCTTTACTATTTATTTAATATATAGGTAAGTGAAAGTATAATTTAAGTTGATTTTGAATAGAGTCAGCAGTCCAGAAGTAAATTTCCCACAGAAAGGAGTGTATATTTGTATGCATTTCTCAAGTCATTGGATTCTCAAACAGCTAATGTTTAATCATTCATGGGTTGTACCTACTAAGATGCCACAATTTTAAGTACTTTTATGAAATAGATGGCTCATTATGCTGTAACACAACATAAATATTACTTTGAATTTTTTATCTTAATTATTTCTTTTCCGCATTTTGTATCCTCAAGCCTCTTCATTATTACATATTTGTTGTTTTTTTCTTATACCAATATGTATTTTCTTATCCGTCAAAAAGATATTTTGACGGACACACTGAACAGAATTTATAGCTGCTATTATTAATAATAATAAGCCTTAAAATTCTGTCTGAACAAAAATAAATATATAATTGGTAATTGGTTGACTGTCGTGGATAATGAAGAGAAGAATAGTTGGGGTGCTCAGTCAAAAAGGAAGGCAAAAAAAAATTATATTTATTTTTTACTTTTTCTTACTTTTTTTTATTTTTTACTTTTTTTTTATATAAAAAAAATATTATAATTTATTTTTTGCCTTCCTTTTTGACTGAGCACCCCAACTATTCTTCTCTTCAAAAATAAATATATTTATTTAAATTATCTTTCTTTTTTTTAATATCTTTCATCATTGTAGGGAAAGAAATCGAGCTAAAGGAAGAGATTTCTTGCAGTCTGTCCGTATGAATAGAAGATTCCAACTTCAAATGGATGTTATGAGAAAAGCCAAAGTTTAAAAATACTTTATAGACTAGTATTGGTTTTTAATTAAGATTGACATTTTCATGATTTTTTATAAACTTAAGAAAAATTATAGATTCTATATATTTATCCTAATTGATTTTATGTTATAATCTATAATACATTATATTTCTAATGTTGCATAGTGATTTATAGATCTCTTTTAACCCTACTCTATGATTGATTACAAATTTTTATATGTTTTGTCTCTGTAAGTGTTAAAAAAAAGTGTTGAGTTTTAATAAACTTACTTAAATGGATAAAAACAAAACAAAAAATTTAATTTCTTTTATTACACAGAAAAAAAAAAGATGAATTTGAAAAAGAATTTTATATGATGATATTTGTTTTTACTTCAAGAAATTTCAAAATGTTAAATCACAATCATAGGGATTTTTCTCAACGATAAATATTATTTATCACTTTTTTGTAAATAGAGCATACCTACATTAAAATGCTTGAAAAGTACATATGGAATGTTGTATTTAAATGTTAATTTCTTCTTTTAAAAATATAATTTATACTTAATTTTTTAATCTCTCTGTCTGTACATAATATTTTAACATAATTTTTGAAATTATTTATGTCTATTGGGAGTATAAACCATAGACTTCTATTGGAGTTTCTATTAAAACATAATTATATATTTTATTTAGTTGTCTTATTTTTATCCTGTAATAGTACCTATGGCAATGGTTGTGACATTTTATTCTGAGAGGTCCTGTATCCTTACAATTTTCTTTCATTTTAATACAATTAAGAAGAGATAATAAAATTCTGTAGTTGAATTTTCTCAAAAAAACTCATGTTATAAAAAACTGTTTATTTATAATGATTACCCGTTAAAAGCTGTCAAGATTATTCCATGTGCAATATACACCATATCAAAAGAACTAATGAATGAAGTCACTTGACTTTGCATTTGTTACATTGTCTTATACGGTAAAGATTATGTTACTGTTCTTTAACAATTGTAAAGATGCTCAATCATTGAATGGAGAATTATCTATAACAATGATATTTATTAATAAAAAAAGTATTCACAAATATGCATGAAATTGAAAAATGGTTGTTTCTTGTATACTTTATAAGAATGACAATTAGATTTTTTTTCAATACATTTATGGTACTTTTTCACTAGTTCGCAATTAAAATCTAGTAGTGGGACAGATAAGTGATAAGACAATAGATGCCTGGATTTGAGCCTGGCTGAGGCAGATAATTATTCACTCTGTTATATCATCTACTGGCCCTGGCCTAGATCCCTAGAACCAGGATACTACTATCTTGGGGTTCACTCATCCCCTAGGTACCTTATTCTTGGGTTGGAGAGGAAGCCTGGTGATTTACTGTGACACTAGCCGGATTACCATGTATAACCTATATAGATAAGAAACAGTAACTTCTTTACTAAGTAAGGTTTCTTTTCAAATACTTTCTCCTCTCCCATCTAGTCTGCGAATCATTCAATGGGTACTTTTATGCCATGAAAAAAGTTCCCAGTTTAAAAATAATTGTAACAACTTTTCAAATTTGTTGAAAGAACATACATCAGATTGTTATTACTTCCTGTATAATTTGTGGCTATTATATGTAAAACTTATTCTCTATAATAAATACTTGTTAGACATGCAGGTTTTAATAAATAAATTTACTAAAAAGAGGAGTTAACATTAAATTTCCATTTCATTAATAAAATGTGATTTATTCAATTTATATCTTTATGATAACAATCTTTTTAATAAGAATGATAATAAAAAAAATAAAATATTTACATAGAATATAATTATTCATGTATTGCATTCTGAATACCTAAAATGATTCTAAAGCATGGATCTTATATAAATTTATTCTGTGTAATTTTTTTGTTTTTACAGAACATCAGTTCAATTCATTAATCATAGGTGGGTATCATTAAATGCTTATATCAAAGCTGAGTTCATTATACCTATATATTAATACATACACACAAATTATATCAGAGCAATTATTTAAACAGTTTGTTAGCAAACATAATCCAGCCAAGATTAATTAAGTGACAAAACTTAATTTAATTATATCCTAATAACTTTTTATGAAATTAAGACAAATCAAAAATTATTTGTAGATTATGGCACAAATAACAAAACATTATAACAGACTAAAATTGAATTGCTAAATAATAAAAAAAAAATTATCAAACATGATTAATTAATGATAACATTTTTAATAATCAATAAAAGCTTCCAAATTTTTCTTATTATCATTATTTCTATTTTTGTTTTGTTAATGTCCTTTATTTATTAAGTAAAGAGGAATATTGAGCATGGGCCTTTACATAATGTCATTAGTAAATACAATAATCATAATGTTTTTCAACAAAAATAAATTCTATAAATAATTTTGCCTCATACTTGATCAGAAATCGTAAAATAATAAGAAATAATGACAAAAAAAACATGATTCAATTACAAAGAAGGAAATACTAAGAACAGCATTTATTTAGTCCCTAAATCTCTAAATAGCAGTTTACTAGGCAGTCAATGTTTTGATTAAAGCATCATCTAGAATATAAACCACAAAATTACCTTAATACAGACATACTGAATAGAAATAGTGCAACAGTTGTAAGCAGTTCAGCATATATAAAATCATTAACTTATTTAGTAAGTTCAACTATTAATGAGAAAAATATCTCTATTTTATAAGCATAAAGGGTGTTTTTGTATCTTTTTTTTTTTTTTTTTTTTTTTTAAGATGCCTCAATTTTCCCTAATAAATATATTGCAAATTAAAAAAGTACTGAACTGAACTTTGTACCAAGGAGAAATTAGTTGTAAGGCTCCAAAAATTAAACAATATGATAAAGAATTAAAAACAATAGCTACCTAATGTACAGCTACCTACATGTTCCATTATTGTTTTATATTTTATTTTATTTAAATACTCTGCGATGTTACCTGACAACTATACTTGTTCCTAACAAGCAATGATAAGGTAAAAGAGATATTAAGAACAAGGTTACTTTCACAGTCGGTGCAAGTAAGATTATAAAAGCAGATAAAGAATTTATTATTTTCTTAGCAATTTAAAAAGTCACATTAACAATAATTTACTTTCATAATAAATTTTCATTAATGGATGAGCTGTAAATAAATGTTTTAATAAGCATAATATGATTTAAAAATTTAAGAAAATGTGTGTATGTATTTATAAATGCTTTCAAAATAAAAACAAAAACATAATAAACAATATATAAATGTAATTTATAAAATTAACACAAAACAGTCTAATCACAAGGTGAATTAATAAATAAATAATCCTAAAAACTAATACAGCCTATGACTCTGAAATAAAATAAATAATTACACTAGATAACATGGTCCTGTATTAACCATTTTCTTTAAAACTATACAGTCTGCTGTGTATATTTATTACCTAAAATAATTCATCTAACACTGACTATGCATATTTAAAAATTATAAATTCAAACTTTCAAGAATCTATACATACAGAAGAATATTTTAAGTAGTTCTGTTACATAATAAAATGATAATTTCTCAATTCTATATCACAAGTGGCTTACATAGAATGCACAAATGGTGTAAAAAGTAAAATAGGCAAATTTACCTATATCAGAACTTGATATAGAATAGGAATAAATTAATCAATGGCAATTTAATTCAAACCCATACACCATGGGGATTTTTACTCGTGGGAACTGCATTTTCAAGTTGTCTTGGAGATCCAATCATTCTTCTTACACTACCTGGTTTATGAGGACCTATAACACATATTTTCATGTAACTACCAATGTTATTTATATTTAACACAAAACCAATTTAGAAAATTTGAATTTGTTATTCATATAATCTATTTTGTCTAGTTTTACATAAAATAAATTAATGAAGCACGTCTGATTTAATTTAATTTAACATTAAGAGGTTCAAATTTATCAATCTACATTTCACTTCAAATAGTATCTACGGATCATGGCCAAATGAACTTGTCTAATCTCCTGTAACTACCAAAAATGTTATAATAGTTTATCAGTCAAATCATACTTATCCTGGAATGCAGTTTTTAGTAACTAAATAAATAGAAAAAAATTGTTTTTCTTCAATAGAATTTTGCTTTATTAACCTATTTATATTTTGTAAGATCTCAAAGAAAAATACACTTTATTCAAATCAAAGATATATTTATTATTTAACATTAATAGATACTTTTTATTATTTTCTAACAAAAGTATTGTTTTATTTTTTTATTAACTGCTAAGAATAAATACTTCAAAGTAAAGTCAATAAAATGATTTATGGGAGCAGAGATCTTGGAAGTATTGTTTCCCATAAAAAAGGCATATAAGTATTTATAAAGTTTCTTTAACAAAATTTAATAACACGGCCCTGTTAGCAGCAGAGATGGGCAAATTCTACTCTGAGTAACAAGTATTTTACTCAAATTGAATCACTATTATGAATTCAATCACTACTTCAGTTAATCATTTGACATCAACTGAAGTAGTAATTAAATTCATTGGTACTCAAAAAAGGTCAGTATTTGAGCACTACACCCAGTAATCAGTACTCAGAGCAGCATTTGTCCATCTACGGTTAGCAGCAAATGTTCAGAACTGATTAGGAATAACAGAGGAGCTAGCTGTTGGGTAGCATAGACATTTTCAGAGTTAAAAAACTTTGCAAGAATATTATAATGAAATAAAATGATTATTTATCCAAATTCAAAATCTAGATTTGTGAATTAATTGTTTGTTGTTGAGAAGAGATTATTTTATACAGAAGAAACTTTATAAGTGTTATGGAATTCATTCTACTTATCTCTGTCTAACAAAAACAAGAAATTACACAAAAAATACTAAGTGAATTTCAATTACTTAAAAGAAAATGTTAAAACAAAATTTTGTTTAAAAAAAAATTACTTGTTAATTGTGTAAATAGTACAATTTTAGTTGGTTACTTTTACTTATTAAATTATAGGTACTCTGGACAATTTAAAAAAGCTATCTATAATGATGGATGTACAATTTAATAATATATTAGACCATCATACAGTCAAAACATAAACCCTATTAAACATCAAGGAATGATTAGTCTAAAAGAATAAAAATACTAAAATTTACTGTAGTTTTGAAAATAAAGGGTTGTTCTGAAGGAATTATGTAAAAATGTGCTTCTGTAATTAGTTAAAAATCTTGTTAGATTAATTATACATTGTACAGAAATTATAATAAATGCATTAAATAAAAATATCTCTTTTTTTAAATTCAGACTTTTATACTAAGAAAATAATTTAATTTTTTTAAACATTTTTTTCTTTTTATACCTTGTTTTAATTATATCCCTAATTTAATCTGGAATTATACCATAACTCGATATTTGTATTTGTGAAGGAGGAGAAGCATGATTTTTTTCTTTTAAAACAGGTGAAAAGATATTACTAAAAACATATATATATATATATTACAATTATATCAATATTCAAGATAATAAAGGTATAAATAGATGGGATAAAGATAAATAGAGGAATAAATAAATTAGAAGTGTTAAAGGATAAGAATTTTAATAGAAGTAACAACGGATGATAATATGATAGCTTACCCAAACAAAATGTTGCTCCTTGTAGGATAGATAAATAAAAAAAAACAAACACAGACGTATGACATGACTACAACAATGCTGAATAAAAAAATATTTTAAACATAATAATATATACAGTAATTATTTTTGTAACAAACAAAATTTTATACCACTGAAGTTTTAAACATATACTCAACTCATTACTCGAAAACCATCTATATAGCATATTAAAACGGTGAAACAATACAAATTTCCTAGTTTTAAGCTGATCCAACTTATCATTAAGTATACATTATTTTAGCTACTTCATTTCTTAAATATATTTCAACTTTATCCAAGAAAAGTCAAGAAAGTATTAATGATTTGAAACAGAATATAAGATTTGAAAATCATTTGAAGTTTTAATATGAGTTTTAAGCCCTTTTAACACGGAACAATTTAGTCTGTCCCATATTTCACCATAAACTATTGTCAACTCAACATTTCCTTCTACATTGGATGATAAATTTATCCTCACTAAATGGCCACTTCAAAGCCTCCATTCGTTCCCAGTTTTAAAAAGTAAATTTAAAATAAAATTATCATCAGATCTGTAATATTAGGATAGCGAAACAAGAATAAGCAGAAAAGTGAAGATCCACATCTTCAAGTCTGTTCACTTACCAATACTCTAATATAGTGCTGAACATTAGGTAACTGTGGGCAGGCAGATCAATCAAGTCTTGATGTGGAAATTAAAATTTTACAAAGGATTGAGGGAAAAACAAGAACAGGATCTCAAGGTTACCTTGATGAAGGAATCCTTCAAGTCTGCCAATTAAAATTAAACTGTTTGGCCATGTAGACCAGAATGGAAGATGGCCACATTTAAAACGATGGAATTACATCCCTTATAGAAAAAAATCACGAGGACATCCAAGAATGTCATACTTGGAACATCTTAAAACCTGCACGAAATAAGGGCGGAAATATCCAAAAGACCAAAAACCTAGCCAAAACCAGAGAAAAGTTGCAGTCTTAGTTAAATGTTCCCTTATGCGGAGGGGCACTGAAAAGAATATAGAAAAGAAGAAGCAATGGGAAAAGTCATCAGATAGATATTTTTTACCTATAAATGTATAATAATGGGTGGTAATAAAATACCTGTGCTTGAGTATGCTGAAGATTTGGTACTTTTAGGTAAAGATGCGGAAACTATAAAATTGATGAGTGCCATAGGATTTGGTTTCGAAATAAATAAAATAAAATTAAATATATAGTTAATTAGTTGGTAATATAGATAAGAAAAAAATGCAAAAGTCATTAAATACCTCAGCTATAGTATGCAAACATATTCGTAATGTTTGGGGAAGACGCTGATATATATAAAATGATCATTGACAAAAGTACACAATATTTTACAGTCTTATATTTAATTGCACCCCGACAACAACCTAATATAAATTATATATATTAGAGATGAAGTACTTAGGTTTCCAAAGGGCAAACCACTATATTTTTTCCAAGAGTTTGCACATTTTTTGGATAGAACTAGGTAATTTTGAAAATTAGTAGGCTAGTGAGAATAATTACATCAGATTGAGGAAAATTCTTTGTTCCCAAATAATTTATAACTAGAATATGCCACTAGGACAATTTTGTGTGTAAATAAAAGGAGTAAAATGACTGTACTATAAATGAAATTATTTCATGAAGAATTTTTTTAAGTTTTCCATCCAATACAAAAGGGGAGAGAAACTTGCAGCTGAATTTTTTCCTTAAGTGTAACACAACAAACAAAACAAGTTCTTACCTTCTAAAAGAAGTTTGAGTTCTTCAGGTGGAGCAGCTGCCAAGGACTGAAGATTGGCTTCTTTCATTTCAGATACAAGACGCTCAACCTGTCGTTTTTTTTCAGATATAGCCGTTTCTATTGTCATTACCTAAAAAATAAAAAAAATATAATTTCAACAGTTCAAACCAAATTTTTCGATAAGCATTAATGTAATTTTGTGGCTCATAGCCCTAACGATGCCTGAATTGTTAAAAAGTTTAACAGCTCGTTATAAACTGTGATTATATAAATTAAGGATATTAATTTATAATTTAGCCTGACAAAGAATTTTAAATTTCTACCATCATTACACATAATGAGTCATTATCATATAATTTTAGGTGAAGCTGCCCTTACACTTTTGTTGAATTCACAATAATATGTATTAATAATGAAGATTGATTTCAAGTTTACCACTTAATAAATATTAAAATATTATTTTATAACCAATTATTGATTGCCCTAATTGATCATAATCAACTATTAGAGTAATTTTATATAAAACTGCAAGATACTAATAAAATCATAATAGTAGAGAGTCATGATTTCCAGACTAAACACAATGTTAAAAAGCAATATAGTGTAGAATTGGTTTTCTTTAATAACAAATATAGAAGAGTATCTCATGATTCATAATTAAGTTTTATTGCTGACTGATTCCGAACAAAACACAAAATCAGAGTATAATTATACAAAAATTATGAATAAATTTAAAAACAGCTACTTGCAGTGACACACTTGTATTGTTATAATATAATATATACTAACAAAAGTTATTAAATTTCAAATAGAAATCATTTTAGTCAAATCAAGAGAAATGTTTGGCTAGTCGCAAATTTTTATTGGTGAAATGTTTTTTGAATTATGTAGATAACATTTGAATTGAAGAAAAATCATAAAGAAAGAAATAATAAAACTTACTTGAGAGCGTAATGATTCAGAGGAATGGGAATTCATTTCAGTTCTAGCTTTTGCTTGCTCAATTTCCCGCTGTAACATTAAGAATCATTGTCACCCATTAGAAAATTAGAATGAGATATCAAAAAATGGATAAAAGTTGAAATGTGCTGTTTGAATAGCTTTCTCATCAAACTAACCTGAAGCCTATCAACTTCTGCAAGGAGTGCAACTTCGCCTCTAGCCTCTTCTTCAAGTTGTTCACTTAATTCTCTAAAATAATGACTTCAGAAGTAGTCCATAAGCCATAATAATCATTAAAATATTAAGAAAAAATAATTACCTAATTTTCTTTTTGCACTGCAGAAGTTCAGTTTCACAATTAGCTAGCTTTGATCTAATGAGTGTAATCTCAGATCTTAAAGTTCTTTCTTCTTGCTGAACTAATTCCCTTTCTTCTTCTAGGCATCCTAAAGCACGCAACTGAAAACAAGTTGTATTATGATAAAAAATATTTTGATTTTTTAATCAATAATATTTTGATAATTATTAAGGATTTAACTGTAGGGGCTAGCAGAAATGCACAGCTAATGGGGATTAACAATCCACTGGTTTCCTGACTTAAATACACTGCACATAAACCAGGGTAGGGCAAAATTCATCTTAAATAATAGATGAATGATTTATTCGTATTGTCGACCAACAAATAACGAATAATTCTTTTCATTGAATAATAAGTAGTATTACATTATCTATTATCATTTTTTTTTTTTTTTTTTTTTTTGGCTCAAAGATTTTAGAGAGTATCCCATTTTACCAGAAATTTATATTCTTTAAGTATTAATTATTCCATAACTATTTATGAAAAGTCCATTCCACAATTTAAAAATACTGCAAATTTAACATTACATCTTAAATAAGAAATAAAGTACATCTCATATAATTATTTGACGAAGGTGAGGATAAGATAAGAATGTAAGTAGAAATTTTATTCATTAAGTTGATTTTTGGGAATTTATAGATTGTTGTTGTATGTGCTGTTACATCTTTTTCATAGATATTTGTAATATTTTAATATTTGTAATATGTAATATTTTAGATGAAAAATTGGCCTGAAACGTTGTTGTAATAAATAAAATGAATTGAAGCATTGAGAGAAGGTGAAAGGGTTTAATGAGTTATTTCCTTGAAATTATTAATTTTATTAATTATAAGAATTTAAAATTTCTTTTCCTCTTTTTTTCTATCTCTCAAGAATGTGAAAATATTTTTAACAGTGAAAAGCCGAGCTCTTATTTAGGAGATAAATGAGGAAAAGTGAATTTCAAAATTAAAAAAAAATTTCAAACTCTCAAAGTGGCTCAGAGAGCCTTAGAACTTAGGTTTTAAGGAATGGTTCACTCGATCACCTAGGTTCAACAAAGGTCTTCGGGTAAAAGCAAGAAAGAATAAGGCATAAATTAAAATATTGCAACGCCACACAAGACAGTTGGCTCAAGTATATAGTGAGAGGAGAAGTGAATCCATAAGAAACAAAAAGATCAACAGTTTAAGGAAATGAAAATTTTGGGGATGAGGAGCAGGAAAAAATGTTACTACAGCATTATAGGATGCCATAGGATTGGGACAATAGTAAATATATCTACTGCACAAGAAGAGAGACTAAACAGAATGTGCTAACTATAGGGGAAATGTGTTGCTCTCGTGTGGCTATAAATTTTTGTCAAATGTCCTGTTTGAGAAACCAGTCCCACTCCCTGAGAGAGAACTTGGAAACTATCAATAAGGACTTAGAGAAAAGCCCACTCAACCACTGACTTGATATTTATCTTGCCGATGATTCTGGAAAATGTCATGGAACACAAGCTGACGATTCACTATCTCTTTGTCAACTTTAAGTCAGCATATGACAGTATTGGCAGAGAGGAACTATACAAAGCCCTGCAAGATCTCAAAGTCCAAGGAAAATTTATATAACTAGTAAATACCACGAGAAGTTAATAAAAACTTGTAGCCCGTTTAACCATTTTGAAGCATTCTGAAACTAGTAGTGCAGTAAGACAAGATGATACCTATTCAATATGGCCTATTGCTACTACATTTCTACTAAGTGTGCAGGTATCATGATAAGGTGATGACATTGACGTTTTGGTGAGGTATGAACAGGCAGTGAAAGGAGCATTCAATTTTTTTAAAGAACTGCCACAAAATTTTATCTCACAGTTAATGAATAAAAAACTAAGAATACACAAACTGATTTTGTACCTGGAATCCGAGGTGAACTCCTGAAACAATATAGCTCAGTATATTTGCAGGCAGATCAATGCTACCAATTATACAATAGATACTTTCATGGCCTGTGAAACATCAACCTCCATGAGACCTTAGAACGCTCAGTTATCACATACCGGTCAGAAGTATGGGCAACCAGCATCACAGTTGAAAACAGAATACAGCTACTCCAGAGACAAGTGTTAAGGAAATTTAAAGGAGCAGTAAGAGAAACAGAGGTCTGGAGGATGGGGAGATTGTGGAATTCTAGGATAAGATGGTTGGATTGATAGTGAGGATGTGGGTGGAAGAAACTTGCTGGATACCCAGAACTGAGAAGAATTATGCTCACTAGCAAGTTATGTTTCGGAAGTTTTGGGTGCATTTATGTTGATTTAAGTGAGTACTAAAGTAAAAATCATAGGCTAAAAATTTTTTTAATAATCTGAATGAATACTTGCATCCTAAATAAAGCTAGTTTAAATTACAGAATATATTGTAAAATTAAGAAATGCTTTAAAAAAAAAAAATCACCATTTGATCATTGGTGTTAGCAACAGCTTCAAATCGTGCTGCCTCTTGGGACATGTAATCTATCTGGCCTTGTTGTTCCCTTGTTTTAGTCTCCCAATAATTTATTTCTGCATCAAACTGTAAAATCATGTCACAACGTTAAATAAAAATAAAGCTTAATGATAAAATTAAACTAATGTACTTTATTCTAATAGCAGTAGCTAATTAATAAAATCCAAAGTAGGTTCAAATTCAGTATGGGTGAGTTGAAATTCACTTAATCCTTCTAACTTGCTAAACTAAAAAAAGAAAATTAGTGGACCTTATTTTCTAATCAATTGAGATATAGTTATTTTCATTGCATGTATCTATATAAATATACAATATTTCAATATTAGCAAAAAATAAGTTTAGGTGACATTGGAGCTTTTTGAAAAAATGTTGCGCAACTGGAATGCAGAGCTTAGAAGGCATTAAAAAAGAAAATAAGCAATTTTTAATGACCTTAATTTTTTATTTTGTAGTTTAAGGTCAGAATAAATGCTCAGACTGAATATTTTGACATATATTAGGTTCTTTTATAACAGATAAGTTATATCACAAAAATAAAAGGGGAATAAATCAGTTTCATAATAGCTATACATTTAAATAATACATTAAGTAAGGTAGCATATTTAAATTTGATTGACATAATTTTTTTAGGTTATTAATAATATTTAGGAATACTAAGAAAATTAAATTACATTTTCCACTGAGTCAATTGTTCTTTTAATTTGATATAAATTGACCCAAAGTAATAAATTTTCAAAGCTTTTATGCTTTTAATTAAAAGCATCTTCCTTTCTCAAATAAAAGATAATTGGCATTAGCATCATTAAATGTGTAGTAACAAATAACAAAACAATATAATCAATTAGTGAGACACTATAGAGCTAAAAGTAGGACATAACAATGATTTAAGGAAATGAAACTTTGAGATGAGAAAATGTCATTATTTATACCAGCCAAGATTAGAATGTAATATTGACCAGTTGAAAAAATTATAAAATATATTTTAACTGAATAATAGAATAAATAAATTGATGGCCTTGCTGAGGAAGAGTGGAAGGAAAAAGGCAGAGAAGGGGAAACAGTCTTTAATTTATGGCCACAGCATAGTTAATTAAATCTTTACATTGATTGATGATGTCAATTGCAGTTATTATTTGTCAATACTAAATAGAAATTGTATACATATTTGATCAATATCAAAATAACAGCAATGATAATTATAACAAATGCAAACATATATTACTTGAAAATATCTTTTAAGAAAAAATAACATTACTTTTGTAATTTCGGCTTGTTGTGCAGAAAGCTTCTCTCGTTGGAAGTTAACCAGCCTTACTAAGTCACGATATTGTGCATTGTAAACAACAGTTTCATCCTTATTTCCATTAAAACTCTAAAAATGAATATTAAGCTAACAAACACATTAAACATGTATAGATAAAATGTATATATAACTTTGAAATACCCTAATAGAAGAGTTGTTTTTGATATCAAGAGACATTTTTGAATTTGTTGAATCAACTGGACTTGAATCTCTCCTATCTTTCTTCATTATCTGAAAAGATTTTTAGAAAATATATAAGTACAAAACTAATATGTTTTTAAACATAAAAAATGTAAAATACTAATCGGGGAAAAAATGAATTTAATAATAACTTAAATTAAAACCTTTTGGGAATATTAAGTTGAACTTGGATATAACAAAAAACAAAAATATAAATTTAATGAATTAATTTCATAAAGATTACAGCGCAATACCACTGAAACTATATCTAGTGAAAAAATTAAAAAAATTATGGAAAATATGATCATTCATATTGCTGCCATAAAAAAGAAGAGTGCAATGATAAAAGTGTTATCATGTCTTCGTTCATTGTATTATAGTCATTATTATGACTAACATTGTGGATCCAGACATGGATGAGAAAATAAAGTAAAGATTTCATTCAAGCTGGCCTATTTCTAATAAATAAACCCTCAATTAAAAACATCCATCAAATCTATGCAAATATTAAACGTCAAATTTGAAATTTTTATCCAGGGGTGACCAGACATTAGGAACAAATTTCTACAGATATTCTTATAAATGTTTTACTCTTTTTTATTATTATAATGAGGATACGATAATGAAATACAAGAAAACAAATCACCTGCTGACTAGATTGATTTTGTTGGTGTTTCACCTGAAGTCTTTTAGCTGGACTCACTGATTTCTGTTGGGCAGGTGAAGGGCTTTCTGGTGGTGAAGTTCCCCAGCCTCCAGACCTCTGCAGTATAAGCTGAACTTCACTACTGTATTCTCCCCACTTTGATACAACCTTAAAAAAAAAAACCAGTTAGTTATTCAAAAGTATTGATTAGCTTGAATGGATGAGAACATCATTTATCAGGCCATAGTTTCTTAAATGGTGGTCAGACGACTCCTAAGGATTAATTCATTTTATATCCCCTCAATAATACATTTTATTCAAATGACTCATTTAAAAATAATCCTACATTGGCAAGACTTTTTTAACTTATCCTTTATCAATTTAATACCAATTAATATAACAAGATTGTGATGGGATCTGCAAAAACAAATGTTGCTCTAAAGAGAGACTTTATATTACATAAGTTTAGAAACCTCTTCCCAGGGGTGCCCAGAAGGGGCTTATTGCGTCATCAAAATATTTGAGAGGGGCATATTTTGACGAGTTTTTTGAATTTTTAAAGGGGGTAAATTTCGACAGGGTGATGAATTTGAAATTCATGCCACTTTTACAGCTGGCATAGTTCTAATATCAGATTCCTTTCCTCAGTTATACATTATTGATGAATAAAATGACTAACCTTCAACTGGTGTAACTTGGGCCGAAAAACAAAACAAGGTTTTATGTGCTAGATCTAGACAAAGAAAAGTGGTTATTGCTTATATTGGTACCTATTGGCCATTGTAATAAATAAGTGAAAACCACTCTCTTTGCTTAGATAGAGCAAAATCGATTTTTTTTTTTTGTGTCAAAGATACCCCAGTTGATATTTGTTAAAAAGAAGAGGACTCATCAAGGTCGTCTTCTAGACATGAACAAAATTGTGTAGAGAAATGAAATTATGTTTTATAAACTTGCAATTGTCAGGGCGTAACAATAATGAGTATATCATAGAGCACAGGGTTCCATGATTTAGTTTTACAGAATGTTAGGCTTTAAGATCAAAATTTGCTCTTCAAGTTCATTTTTCGTCTTATGCTGCAATATAATAATAAGTAGTAACAGAAATAAGGTTACTGAGGTGACTAATTGGAAGGGCTAGATAGCATTGCAGCCAAACAAAATGGCTACCTGAAATATGATCGAAATAGAAAAAAAAGAGGAAATAATGTGCTCTAATTTACTATTGTGTAAAATGAAACATGAAAATTAATAAAGCTTGAAATTTTTAAGTTTGGAAAATTTTCCAAACTTTGAAAAGCTGTATCAGGAATTCTATTAGGTTTACCAAGTCTATTCTTCTTTCTAATTCTACTAAAGTTAATTTAGTTTAAAAATGTATGGAATGTTTTTTTGGCCGAAAACATGTTCCATCATGATGAAAATGAAAAACCATTTTTTACAAAAATTTTTTTTGGAATATTCAAAAGTAATTTGGGGGCCAAGGAGGTTGAAAATTTGGATTTTTCATCTCAGCCACATTCCATGCAAGAGAAAACCAAAATGCAAGAGTCTTCTTGAATCTTAGCAAACACCAAAAATAACTCAGGAGTAGAAAATGACAAATTGATTTGGGAGTCATCGGCAAAAAGGTGATGGGAACAGTGAATAATCGATTTATGAAGATCATTAATGTAGGAGCTAAGCAGAAGAGAGGAAGATAAAAGATTATAAGCTATGGATACTGCTTGTGTTCATTGAGAGAAGAAGGATTGAAACCAAAAGATGGAACTGTTGGAGAAAGATAATGATTTTAATATAGAAAAGAGGATCTAATGATTAATAAAATTGAAAACTTTGGAGATATCAAGGAGTATAAGGGCAATTAATTTTTTATTCTCTATAGCAACTTGAACATCGCTAGTAATTATAATTAGTGCAGATTGCGTGGAGTAACCAGGACTAAACCAGATCAGAGAGGATCTATTTGATTGGACTCTTCAAGGAAATCGGAAACTTAGGATTGCAATAGTCTTTCTACGAGTTTCGGTAGGTTGGCAAGGATTGAGGTTGGGCACAAAGCTTAAGAAGAAGAAGAAGGATTAAAGTTTTTATTTAAAGAATGGACTATAGCCTTTTTCCAAGATTAAGGAAAAACGGAATTCTGGAGGGAGAAATCATAGATAAGAGAAGGCAGATATAAAATATGAATTTAAATTGTCAGGTGGAACTAGAAAAACTAATGAGGGAAGGTTCACAGAGGTTTGGGAAGGATTAACTATGCCCCGGAACTTCAGACCCAAATCTTCTCCTATACTAATCACTAGAGCAGTGGGAGTCTTGCCTTCTCAGACTGGAATGCCTCGAATTTCAAATGACCTGCATAAAAGGCTCTGTTCTGCTTAGTTCAGATGAACTTCTAACTCGCCCGCTCTAGATTTGAGGCCTGAATGAAGAGATAATGTGTCTTATAATGTTTTGTGTGACTGGAAAGAGGTGAATTTAAATTCAAGGAAATCTGATAAATTCAAGGAATAACTGATAGAAGAGAATTATAGATATTTTAATTAACTTAAGAGATTGAAGATTAGTTGTTGAGCCAATAAACAGAATTTGAAATGAACAAAACTTAATAAACACTTCTTACCACTCATAAGAAGACTTACTTTTAATGGGTGTTCCTGTGGAGCCAATAGCCTTTCATTATTTCTCCATCTTTCAATTAAAGTAAATCTTCCAGTTTTTCCCGTTGCATGGGCCAAAGCATAAACAACATCCTAATTATAGAAATTAATTAACAGATATAAATTCACACTGAATTATCTCAGAAAATTATTTGTTTTAAAGATTTACATAACATAACTAACAAATTGTAAAATAATTTAACTGCTAGGCTAAAATTTAAATATCCTAAACTAAATCATAAACAAAAAAAAACAATTGTTTAACAACCAGTAAAAAAATCTGGTGCTTGCAACACACAAATTTCACATACCGCTCTACTTTGAATAGAAATTATTTTCTAGTAATGTAGGGCTATTATAAAATTTTTGAAATGCATTTAAACAGAGCTAAAGCTTAAAGCTTACGGATAACAAATAATTAATACCATTTAAATTATAAATATTCTATTTAATATATCGACGGCAGGCAATAAAAATCTAGTTACTCCATTTGCTTTTATAAAGCACACAACTTCAGTCTCCGAGCCTTTCAGTTGACAGAATGACTAACTCCAATGTCAACATTTTTGAGTAATGTCATTTTAGTGATATTTCTAATTGGAAAAGAGAAGACCCTAACTCACTGAGAGGATTGATGGCACACTAATGATGATAATTGCAAATCAATACAAACAGTCATACAATTTCTTCACTATACATCCAGTGGTGAAGTATAGATTAAATTAGATGGAACTGGAACTCGTGGGGAGAACTAATCTGGCAAGTCTGCCACATGGTCCTTTTTGCCAAACCTTGAAGGCTACCTTGAGGTTGACACCGCCTACTTACTGAGGAAAATGTCAAGATTTATTTCCCAGAGCTGCCTAGGAATGAAAATTAACAGACCCAGATGGGAATCGAACCCACTATGTCCAGAAAAGAGCACTCTGGGGAATTAGGCCTCAATGCTCAACCATCCTAACCTCTATATCAGATCATAAAATAATTACCAGCACTTCACATACACAATTATTTATATGTTTTTATAATTACAGAACGTTTATTAACCCATTAGAGACAGCAAGCCGGAGAAGCAGCTGGGCCTTGTGGAATAAAATGTTCTTGTGTGAAAAAATAATTCCCACAGTATAGGACATTTAAAAAGAATTTTCATACATTCAATCCGTTTTTTGTTGTTTTCTTTGTTAATTATAAAAGAATAATTTGGACATTTTCCTTATTGATTCACTATTCAGTTTTATTTTCTAGTAAAAAGTGATATATTTTCTGATGGAGGTTCTAGCTTGCATGTTTTAGAGCTCGTTGCTAGGATTTTTAACAGGTGGCTGTACAATTTATGGCAGATCTCTCTAGTAGCTTTATTGTTCTTCAGCGTTGCCAACCCTTCCCAAATTTACAAATATTTGAAATTTTTTTGATATTCATTGTATTAAAAGTGACAAACAATATTTATTTTTGTACTTCTAAATATTTATTAGCCAATTTTCAATATTTGTTTAGTTACCAGGAATGGGACATAGAAAAACAAGAATGTGGGAAGCATAAAATGCTATTATGGGAGAAAAGGAAGTTACAAAAAGTAAAATTGTGAATTAAGATGGCACTGAAACTAATCTTATATTTTAAAACAAATACAATATCCATGTAACCACAACTGTAATTATGAGTTTGAATTGCAGTACTGGGAAGGATTTTAGCTCTGGCAATAACCCCCTATCCTCTATACTAGCCAGGAAAAAACGCCTTATAACTGTACCTTTTATTAAAGTTTATGTTCCACCCCCACCCATATTCACAAATAGTACTCTATATAATATCAACAGTATCTACCATTCTCATTCCACCACACCCACAACATCCAATAAAAAAATAAACAACGTAAACTCTTTATTAGCTTTAAACCCAAACTAATCCATTTCAATCTCAAGACACACATAACAAACACACAAAACCTAAAAAATAATCAGACAAATCACAACCCCCATCCGCTATATACGGAACACCTCAGCATACCATTAATCCTTTACACAAAAACTAACCCTTTATCTTATACAACTACCCCACCACTCAATCAAATCAAACTCTAATAACTCCAACATTCCACCTCAAAAATATCAAATTTTATTCCCTCACAAAAACACCAAAACCAATCAAAAACATCCACAACCAACAAACAAAACACCAACACCAAACAACCAACAACCATCTCAACCACTTCACATCAACAAATAACATCTAACACAACAACACAAACAAACAATAACCACCCACCCACTAAAATATACCTCAGTAAACACCTAAATACTACCCTATCCAAATGCAAAACAATCAAAAACAAAACATACTACTCAAAATCCCCTAATTCCAAACCCAAAACACATCAATTCATTAAACCTTACAAATATACAACCAATAACCACCCTAAACAAAAACACATATTACCAAATCCCTTAACTATCCTCCTCCACTTATATTCTACATCCCATCTACCCTAATAAAAAATCCATATCTCCCCCCTTTCCCTCCAACTCCCAACCACTCAAACCCACTCACATTCACCACAAAAAATTCTCCACTCTAACTACCATTCCATTCATCACACACAACGTCCCCCCTCAACACTCATTTACATCCACTACACATACACCACATCACATCCCCTACTCCTTTTCCTACCTCCCCTATTTCTTCCCTAACATCTAATTACTTCCCCAAATTATCTCTCACACTTTCACCTTCATACATTACTCTCCTATTCCTAGACACTCCTACCCACTTTCTCCTATTTCATTTATCACCACACCCCATCATAAGGGGAGGCCTATGTAAGTATGGAAGAAAGAAAAACAAAAAATAAAATAAAAATAATCCATTTATTAATTTCTTTTCATACTTAAAGAATATACTTATTTAAATGTAATATGTATTAATTTTTGCATAAATAAGAGCTATATCATTTCATTTCACCATCTTCGTAACCAATAACAATATATAAACCAAACAATACTCACCTGACAAGTTGTATTCTCCGTTACGCCACACACTATACGTTGTATACCTTCAACCCAAACCTTTAACTCCATTTCTCAACTTAGGCCCAGCAGTTTACAATGCCTTTTTTCAAAGGTCATTGCCGAACTTTTTTGGTATTAATAAATAATATTGATGACTGTTCCATCTACAAGACAATTTAAGTTACAAATTTAATGTAGTTCTAAAAATATTATAATTAAACATTAAAATATTTATAATTTAAGCTTAAAAATGTGTTTAGTAATTACAAAAACCATTCTAAGGCAAATAGAGTCTAATATCAAAGTTATAGGAGGGTATACTAACAATAGGTGATCACTAATCAAAAATGTAGGTTATCTCAATATACAAAAAAAAAAGTTTTAGAAAAAGGAATAAAGAATAACATACCATCTCACTAACATTACCGAGCAACAAAAAAATTATGGATCCCTATAAGTGGTCTATTTGTTTTGAAGAACCATTACGTTACTATGATAACAGCTGACATTCACTACAATTAAACTTCTCAATACTGTTAACCTTTACTTCTTTGTAACATTCACTTAGAAAAAGAGTTGAGTCCATTGCCAAAGAGTTAAATATCAAGTTATTGACTCAAATGAATTGGTTCCAACAAATTTAAAGGGAGGAATTAACAAATTAACAAAACATGTACCGAAATGTTTTGTCAACTGACAGAGTCGATATGATTCTTAAATCTTCTAAATGATTCTTAGAAAATGATTTGTAATCAGAATGTTTGCAAAATTTATGTTTGAGTTTTACATTTTTGACGTCAAGCAACAAATTTGGTTCCATGTGTGTCTCTAGTCAAATCGCCTACTTCTGTTAATCTGACCTTCATACTTATTAAAATAATATCGCTAAAGCCCTAGAGAAGTACCCAACCAAATAATACCCAAGTTGACACCACTCCATCCTGTTCATTCCAATGAGCATAATTATCGCTAAGAAAATTAGAGACTGCTTTTACCTTTCTTAGGAGAAAGAACAGTAAAGGGCTTATTGTATTAACAGTTTGCTTTAGGAGTAATTTTCAATATTGGAGGGGACATGCGACGAAAATAGTTCTGAAGCAGTTAGAAAAACTTTGACAGACCTTTAGCCCCTACTTTGTTAGTTAGATGGGTCAGATTAACACTAAAAAACTAGAATGATTTGGTTTAGAAGAAGGCATCGTATAATAATCACAGCAAGAATCATAACCCAAAAAGGGAGCTTCATTTCTCTATTGCTTTGGTTTGGTATTGCTTTGGTAATGAACAAGAAGATTGGAGGATGCTATTGCTATAACAATTTCTGCGAGTCTCGCATTAGCTGTTGTAATGATATTACCTCGCCGTACGTGTGCCGATCTTAAGGATTATCCCCACCCGCTGCAGCCCAACCTCATTATTATTGGTGTGCCAGCCGTCTATGAGGTAAGACGTTATCTATCTTGAGTCTCAAGGGACACTAGTGCGATCTGAGACTTCCTAGGCAAGAACAGAAGTAGTGAATAGTTGATTAATAGTAATAATCTGATTAAAAGGAATTATTATTATATCATAAGTTAGTTCGTAAATTTATAATTTATTTGTAAATCACTTTCCTAAATTCGAGTGGTTAATATGGACCTAGAGGACAATATAGAAGATGCCGGGTCGTCAGATACACCTGAGGCTCAAGGTTCACCGGAAGATCCCTGTACAACGGAAACATTACAAAGACCACAAATGAAGAGGCCTCGTGAAGAAACTCCCGATCTTGAGGATGAAGAAACACAAGAAAACCTTGCCCAAGAGGCTAAGAAAATTGAGGCTTCTCTAAAAGAATATCTTGCTGCAAAGAAAATAAACAGAGTTCAGCAGAAAGCAATATTGGGAAAAATTGATAATATTGTAGACATCCTGTGTTATAAAGCTAAAGAGTATAGGTTCAGAATGCAGGGAATTCCACAGATAGTAAGACACAAAGTAAAGGAGACCCTGGCATCAACGGAAATATATGAAACTATAATCAGAAAAGTCATAGAGGTTGCCTTACCAAACATCAATGAAGGCCAGAGCGATGATAATAAGAAAACAAAACAACTTCCCCTTCTAAGAGCGGGACCGTCTGGAGTTAGACAAGAAGTGAGAAGTGAGATGAAGTCTCAGCTATTCAGGAAGTTGTTAGTAAGAAAAAAAAATAGAAACTCAAGGAACATCACATACTGAAACTGACCATACTCAATCAGATGACATTGTGAAGTCCCTTCCCTAAAAGTATTCTGAAGATGCTCATAAACACAAATTAATAACCATAGGTGGGGAAGGGAAGAGTGCTTTGGAAGTTGTAAAGAACCTACCCCCTCCGGAGGAGCTAGGCGTAGATGCTAAGGTTGTGAGGGGCACCAAGGCTGAAGGCGTATTCATCAAAGTTGAAAATGATACCCAGGCCTGATTCAATAGACAGGTCTCAACGATAAGGGTATCGAATCCAGAATGGCCTTGAAAAGAAGTCCCAGACTAGAAGCGAAAGGAGTTCCCCGTTCATACACAGGTGCTGACCTTGAAAGGTATATCTTAGGAATGACAGCTGAGAAGTCGGCACCCCAATTGAACATCAAGAGGAAAAGCTAATGGATGAAGAGTGGGATCCCGCGGATGTTGGCAATACAGATAACCTTGATTAATAAGTATCCAGTATTATCGAAGTCGTTAGGGGTCCAGCGAAAGCGAGAGAACGACCTGTCCCATGGTGGTCGCCGACCTTAACCATCCTGAAGAGAGAGCTCTACAAGGCCCGGCGGTCATATCTGAGGTGTAGTTACGAAGAGAGGACCTAGAACAGATACCGGCGATGTCTTCTATTCAAAGAATCTGCCCCTAATTTTCAATGTCCGGTCCTGGAGGTAGCTTCTCACTAGGTCATACAGGTTACTGGGAGTTTCATACTCCTGGAGTTGGAGGAGAACATTCGGCCACCACACGCTGTCAAGTGCGGAGGATATGTCAAACAGGAAAAGCATAACATACCTTTTCGCTCTTTCTTCTACGTCATGACGCACTCTCAATATGGCATCTGCGGTTCCATGCCTTAAGTGGATCAATATTGCCGTGGATGGCTCGATCTTGATAAGACTGGCTGAAGGCTCAAGACCACCAGATTTTCCAATACCTTGCTTATTACAGGGAGGAGACAAATAGGCCTTTGTGATTTGACAAGTTGCTTGTCCTTGCCTCTTCCTTTGTAGAAGAGTATGGCATCAGCAATTTTCCAGCTTGAAAAGTAACCCCTATCAAGGCAGTCGCTGAGAATCGCAAGCAGCCTATTATCTAAATAGGGTATACTATTATTGAGCATTGCCACATCAATCGCATCTAATCCTGAGGCCCGGTCAGTCTTTTGCCTTTCCACGGCACTACCGAGGTCCCAAATGTCCCATTATGGGCACAGGTCCGTCCCAGGCGGGTATACCGTGGCTCTTCTCACAAATGCATGGTCATTATCATCCTGCGATGGATCATACGTGAGACATGTCTCTGCTGTTTCCTCCAGAGTGTCTGCCTGAATGCTCCGTTGCTTCAGGGCTGCGATGACTTGCTGTTCCCAAGGTCAGTTTTCCAAGGGCCACCCTGTATAGGATACTCCAGGGATTCTTTACTGACTCTTCCTGGATGAATTCATCTGATGATCATCGTTTCTGTGAGCACACCTCATTCCGGTATACCCTCGCTTTAGACCTGTAGTCCCGCCTTGTAGAAGTTTGTCTTTGACGAGTTGCTGGAGAAGCTCGAAGAGGAGCAATTCCCTGCCTATGTTGACGATCAAACAGCATAGCCGGTCTGAAAGCAGAAGCTGAAAGATTCGCTAGTTTGGTAGGAACATGGTGCGAGAGGAAGAAGTTGAAGATGGCTGCAACAAAGACCCAGGCAATTCTCTTGAGGGGCACGACTGACAGAGCTCATCATATGTTGAGTATAGAAGAAGAAAGGGTGTGTCCAAGTGAGGTTATCCCTTAACTTGGCATAAAAATTGGTCGAAAGTTCAACGTGACTTCTCACTTGGACTATATAAGAACTTGAGTCACAGTAGCCCTAAATGGACTCAGTCGTGTCGGAGGCGCCTTCTGGGGTCTCAGATGCCCAGCTAAAATGACTATATATAAAACAGTAGTTTTGGATATTCTGAGATATGCGTCCCCAGCCTGGAACCTAAACCTCTCGCACCGACAGAAGAGTAGGCTATCATCGATTCAGAGATTGGCTTTACTTCAGGTTGCTAGAGCCTATAAAACGGTATTTCATGAGGCAGTGCACCTCTCGATCTCCTCCTGCAAGAAGACTATTACCTCTTTAAAATGAAAAGAGAAGATCCGGCGGATCTACCAGAACATCTAAAGATGAGAATTGATGAAGACCCAAGAAGATGGAAAAGAATTATCGGGGAGGACACAGTTGGTCAATGGAACTGGCGATGGATGGCAACTCCGAAGGGACTTCCCTAAGAAAGTACTTACCAACGGCAAAGTCACGATTAGATGCAAGATGGGTCCTCCCTGATTACTGGGTGTCTCAACTTCTCAAGGGACATGGGGACTTTCGAGCGAAGCTCGTTAAACACGCGAAGAATATTGATCCACTATAGCTCAACTGTAACGTTCCGGAAACCGCCGAATGCACTGCCAATGAGGCACTTACAGCTAAGCTCCTGAGAGAGACGGGGATATATACGCTAACTGATAACATGTTCCCACAGCTAATGAGCAGAGATAACTACCCACATTATAGGGAATTCGTATACGGAAACAATATATCAAAGGGGTACCTCACAACGGTTAATTATATTAATTATATTAGTTTAGATCTTGCTTTCATTAAAGAAGGAGAAAATCTTTCTTTTTTGTGATAATGAATATCGATGAATTTCCTATTACTTTAATTGCTGAACATGTGTTCTTTGTAATGTTTATTTTGTTTCTAGAAATTAAGACGTTTCTTGTTTCAAATTGGTTCTGTTCTTGTTTCCTCATTATTTAATACCTAAAGAAAAGTTTAGTAATAAAAAAATGTTAGTAAATTTTGTATAAAAAGTAAACTTTGAACCAAAAAGTAACTTTGAAACAGTAAAAGTAATGTCATTTGTATTACAGAAAATTAAGGGGAGTTCTTCCTTTCCTGCTCAAAAACGTATTTCTCACCTACCCAAACATATTGTCATTAAATCGAGGATTTCTTCCCCCTCCCAAAAAAAATTATCCCTTCACTACTCAAACATCTTGCCAAGAGGGACGCCGGAAATTTGTTATCGCTCAAAGCTTCTGAAAACCCATTTATGCGGTTTAATATTGCTCAATGTAGCCCTAGCACGCGCAATTATATTAACACTGTTTCAATAATATTGAACGAGCTTCAAAAAAAAAAAAAAAATCTGTGCCATGCAACGCCTGAGGCTTAATATGGCAAAAAAATAAGATTGGTATGATGTAAAACTTTTTGTGTGTAAATAAATTACCTTAATTTCACTATCCAGTGTTTATCTTAACTTCAAAAATATGCATCTACTTAAAAATGTGTGGGATAGAAGTTAGTGAAGGTAACACTGATTAACACCTTGCTTTACGAAAGTGGACACGTTGGTTTACAGTCAGGTTATGTAGTTGTGTTTACGTTTGTTTGATAAGACTTTCATAAAATATGGTTTCGTTAATTAGTACGATAGATACTGGACACGAAGATATTATTCATGATGCAGAAATTGATTATTATGGATTGCAGCTTGCGACTTGTTCATCTGACAATTCTGTCAAAATATTTAGTGTTAAAAATGGTACACAGGCTTTAGTAGCTGAACTTAAAGGCCACTATGGACCTGTGTGGCAAGTCTCCTGGGCTCATCCGAAATTTGGCAACATTTTAGCCTCTTGTTCCTATGACAGAAAAGTCATAGTTTGGAAAGAAGGAGGTAAAGAGTGGTCAAAAGTACATGAATACAACAATCATGATGCATCTGTGAACTCTGTTAGATTTGGTCCCCATGAATATGGACTTGTTTTTGCTTGTGGAAGTTCTGATGGTGCAATTTCTATTGTCACATTGAATCCAAGTACTGGTCTTTGGGATCATCAAAAAATTCCGAATGCTCATGCTATTGGTTGTAATACTGTTAGTTGGGCACCTGCAGGGTCCCTCCAATCACAAGGGAAATGGGGACAAAAGAAGCAAATTGTCTCTGGGGGCTGTGATACATTGATTAAAATATGGCAAGAAGAGGGAAATCATTGGGTAGAACAAATTAAATTAGATCTACATTCAGACTGGGTAAGGGATGTTGCTTGGGCACCATCTATATGCCTACCCCGCAGTACAATCGCAAGTTGCTCTCAGGATCGCAAAGTTATTATTTGGACCAGTACAAACAATACTCAGTGGGTTCCGAAAATAATAAACACCTTCAATGATGTGATTTGGAATGTCAGTTGGTCTTTGACAGGTAACATTTTAGCTGTATCTGGAGGTGACAACAAAGTTAGTTTGTGGAAAGAAAATACTGAAGGCAATTGGATTTGTATCAGTGATGTAAATAAAATGCCAAACCAGTCAAGTAATGAACAAAGAGCTTTATAATTTATTTGATGTTAAATAAGAATGGGATGATTTGTTTTTAGCATATTCTGTTTGCTGCTATCACTTTATGAATTAATTTTATTATATATGTTTAATCTTTATTTATATGTTATATATTTCTATTGTTCAACATCAAATACATAACAATAATATACTCTTAAATAAAAAAAACAATTATTTTATTTACCTTACCTATGTTGCGTTTGCATTAGAGGTATGTATCTCAGGCACACTGTGTTTTGTGGTACTGCTTAGCTACTGTAACTTTAATGTGATGGATAAGTACATGGAATGATCACACAAAAATACCAAAACTTGACGCACTGTTTACGCTGCTTTGAAACAAATACTATTTATATTTAATATTAAAAATTAAATAAAACAAGCATACTTTGTTATTTTGATGGTTCTTAATTGAGATTCGTTAATCGAGGGCTTCATAATTTTTACCACTTAGGTTATCCATTTGTTTTGATCTGCCCCTGCTGGTAACAGTGTATTATTTGTTGGTAAATGGAAACAAATTGATTGATAATAACTTGACCATTAGAGGTATCATAGTTAATGGTATAATATCATGTATGATATTACATGATGCATGTAAATATCATGTTTAGAGATATAATGGTAAGGCCTGCTTCATTATGTTCTACTGTGGGATTTTGGTTTTTACCTTACACATGCCTTTTAGTCATGGTTACTTCCTCTTTGTCTATGATGACAAAATTTCAGAAGTATAAATAAGGTATTGACTTCAGTAGTCCATTATTACAATTCAATATTAATACAAGCTCAACTTTGGTCGATTCAGACATCGGTGTAATTAGTATTTTTTAAGGGTTTACATTTTGTACTTATTTACTGCACACATATTCAAGTTGGGGAAGAACAGCACCTTCTATTATATCTTATTCTTCTTGGTCTCTATATTTTCTCCTTGGATATAGCTTTGATAAGGGAGAGGAAATTATGGCAGGTCTTATTTACATGCCAGTCCTCACATTATAACTATGGCCTAACTATCTTACCACATTAGATACCAATTTTTATACATACAAAGTATAAATCTTCCATAATGATGTAGAGATGGCTGACCGTTGATATAATATGAGAAGGAGTTAGTCGAGGGTGTGGTCAAATAAATAAAAAAATTAAAATATATAAATTATTTTAATTTTTGCCGACGTTTCGACCCACTTTGCAGGTCGTCTTCAGGGCGTAGGATGTGGCACTGCGGGAGGCAGTTGAAACACTGGACAGTGTTTCAGTGTTCTACGCCCTGAAGACGACCTGCAAAGTGGGTCGAAACGTCGGCAAAAATTAAAATAATTTATATATTTTAATTTTTTTATTTATTTGACCGCACCCTCGACTAACTCCTTATATAAATCTTCCAAATTTTCTCAATTCATTATCCCATCTACATTTAACTTTTTTAAGAATATTTTTTTGAAAAACTTATTTAGATTATAATTTGTAGGTGCTATTCTGCAGAACATTAAATATAGTTTCATGCCACCCTGGATAAGGAATTCTTAGCGAAAAAAAAAACTTTTAATGCAGTCTTTTAAAGTTGTATAGAATTTTTACTGTTTAGGTTTGATAACCATGTCTATTTTCTGATCAGTTATCTTATTTAAATAAAATTATGCACTTTTATTAAAGAAAACGTCCCAGAGTTATGATTTTTTTTTTATTAACTTATGATTTACTCTATTTGATGTCACATATGTATCAAAAGAATTGTTTTATTATTGATCATGTATACATAATCTGTGAATTTAAATATTACTTGCTAAATAGAATTTTAGTCATTAAACATAAATGTAGGCTTTTAATCAAAATCAGAATTGTTTATCCTTTTTACTTGATTTAAGTCTACAAAATTCAAATGTTAAAGAACATAAAGAAAAATAATAATATTCATTAAAATTTATGTATTTATGGTAACATCTAACATCATGAATATTACTGATTTTTTACAGTAAGTTTCTGTTGTTATTAATCATAAAAAAAAGAATATCGGTACATACTAACTTTTTCTTCCAATAAATTTTAAAGACTCGACCTTAGAAACCATTATCACTCGTTCACTTTAAAATTTATAAATATAAGTTTCAATTTACTATTTCAGCACAAACAAAAAGAGAAAGTTAAAAAAAGTTAGAGTAAAAATTAAATAATAATAACAGAAGGTATAAAAGTAAAAGTTAACCTAATTGTTGAGGTATATGTAAGCAGAGAGGTAATATATGCAAGTTATCAGAAAGTGTGTGTTCAATATTGAGGGGTAAGATGACTGAATGGGAGAAGGAAGGTGATTAGATGGATGGCCTCAAGTGACAGGTGTATCAGCACCCAATCACTCTGGACCTGTGGGTGGATGAAATACTGATGAAAAGGGATCAATCGCCAGACTCAGTATATAGGACTGCAAGCAGAGGAATCAGAGTCCAACTTACATGGTGCAAGAGAAGAGGATAAAGGTAAAAGGTTGATGTTAAATAAGAAAAGCAGACTGATGTAAACCAACAGCGTATAACATACATATACTGACCAACTGCATATAGGTCTCTACACCCTGAAGGGGTGGAACTTCATAGAACTGACAACTTGAGGTTTGACTGGGGTATTCATTCCGCCAAGACCAAACCCGCTACCAAGAGCCGTTACTATAACAGTTATTTTGAGCTTTGGTAGTATATGTTATCGCCATTAAACTTTATTAATAAAAAGTATTTACAATGCATATGCATATTTCAATTTGCAATTTAATTATTTTATAATACAACAATAAGAAACAAAAACTACAATTTTAGTATGTTGCACGGGCGAGGTTGTAGAGCGCTGCCTGGTAATAGGAAGGCGAACTTGATGTTCCATGTGACAAGAGCGGAAATCTGTTTCCACTACATAATAATGGTAGAAGATAGTTTTGATTTTATTAGTGAATTATTAGCCAAAATTTGATGTGTAATGTAATGGACATGATACTAAACTAAGAGATAGAAAGAACTAAAAAATATATATTAAAACTGATAAGAAAAGATTATTTTATAACAATCTTATCCCATACCAAGAATTAAAGAAGTACAATTCAAAATTGTCAAACTTCTTTTAGTTGTCAGTTGACATCTCCGTAAGCAACTCTCAAAAGCTATTGAAACAAGTAGAAACTTGTTATAAAACATGAAAAACTTAACGAGCTTTTATTTTGTCTCTAGTGTGCAAACAATTAGTTAGAACTAAAAGCTTTTGAGCTGTGCACCTTTTATTATGGATGTGGCATGTAGTTTTAATGAACTAAAATAGATATAATCATTTTCAGCAATACACACATCAGGGCCAAATCATAATAAATTCACATAAAAAAACTCAAATTTTTTTTTTTCAGTTTTAATCTTAAATGAAGTAATAAAGTACATGTAAAAATAAAGAAAAAGTTTGTAATGAATAAAAACCTCATGAGTAACTAAACGACTATATTTAAATAAATAAAAAACAATATCATATGATGTCTACCAAAATCACTAATTAAAATTATTGTCTTTGAAAAAAAATTGCCAACTACCAACATTTTTACAAAAAATCAATAATAAACTAAATCACAAAATATAATGTTTATCACAGAAACAATTTCAAACAGTAGTCAGAGAAAATTTAAGGGTGGATATTTTTTATTTGAATTTTGATTTTTATGTATCTTGACTCAAATTTTTCAGTCAAGCGAGGAGCGAAGTATATATTTTTTTTCTCGGTGGATTACAGAAGTTCATTATTGATGATGATAAACAAAAAATAATGCAATAGTAATAAAATTGAATATTTAATAGTTGACCGTTGCATTATAAAGGAAGGAGATGGTCCGGGGTTGCGGTCATAAATATGCTAAATAGTGGTAAAACTATTTAGCCTATTTATGACCGCAACCCGGACCATCTCCTTTCTTTTTAATAGTAATAAAAGTTATAATAAATCAAATCTTTAAGGAAAAAAAATTGCTAGTCAGGATTAACCCCTTAGTGACGATAAGTGGAGAATCCTTCAGGATGGATTACTTTTTATCACCTCTGCTGACAACTTACAGTTTTTATTTCAGGCATCATTCAAAAATGCTCACAATTTTCAGTCATGCTCTCGACTCATATATGAGTCCACCGCCATAAAAGGACCAAGATAATCCCCAACATACTTTCACTAAAAAACTAAACTCTTTTTCATTCTTTTAAATGCCAAAAAAAACTAAACCATAATTGTAAAACTAAAGGACTATATAAAATTAAAAAATGTTTTACAGAATTTATTTTCGAATATATCAAACCTTGTGCTATTGTTTTTTTAAAGCAACCTATTTCACAAACAAATCCGAGTATTTCATCTGACTAGATCTTTCTGCAAAAAAATTAGTGTTACTATACAAAAAAGTTTGTATTCATAATAATTTTTAATCTAAAATTAGGCAATAGGTTGTACAATAGAAATACATTAAAAAAACATAAAATCATGTACAACAATTTCTGCACTTCTTTTAAAATCAATTAAGTTTTTTACTTTAATACAGTGAATCAAAATATATATTTTTTTAAATTACATAACTTCAATAGTTTCTATTTTAGAAGAACACGTGTATCCACAGATAAATAAACATATGAGAGAGTAGATTCTAAGGATCTTTATTTTTATTTTGATTTGTCTCATTAAAAACTTAGAGTAAACTATTAAGACTGATGTATCCGGTTCAATGTCAGTAACTAGAATAGATAGGACAATTTTTCATTCAAAATTTGAGTTCTTATCCAGCTCTAAAATTGATTTTTAGCTCACCACTGTGCACGCAACTCTGATTTCTAATTATGACGGCAACCATTTTCACAATTGAAAAATTATCTTACAGAGCAGAGAACATAATTTTTACATTATTCACCCTATTACATTAAATTTCAAAGAATATACAGATCTCGTACTTCTTACATTTGTAAAATTTGGTTATAAGTGATGTATACAATAAATGCACATTTGTACAACAAACTAAAATGAAGAATCTATTAGCTGCTATTTTTTTCCCGTTGTTTTTACAACAATCGGGTAAGTTTTTACTTCAATACTTTTGAAATGATATGTGCGTTGGAAAATCTTACTTAAAAAAATTGTCAAGATTCTTAAATAGTAATATTTAATGACTATGGAAATTGTAATACCAATACAAAAATTATAACTAATGTTTCCTGGACTCATTCTTTCATAATTAAAGAAAAAATTGTTCAAGAAAATAACAAATGCTAAAACTAAAAAATCTCATTAATGCAATTAATTAAAGACTTGGTTGCTAAAAAAAATATTCTAAACACCAAGCTAACCATTGAATACAAATTTTCAATACATAAAAAAATTAAGTAGTAAACATCAGTAAAGAAGACAACGTATTAATACTACCACTCCCTATTCCAAATGAAAACCTTATAAAACGTTAAGATAACTGCAAATATCATGTTTTCCTTGTAAGTTTAGCTAGTTCATTTGTAACTTACCATTTATTCATTTGACACAAGCAGAAGAGCATTTTATAATTTATTTTTAATACTTATAAATAAATGCTCTCATAAAACATCAACTTGGAACACTTGTCATTACTGAGTCATAGTAATTTTATTTTTTTTTTTTATAGTAACATCGTAACTAATTTGAAGAACACATAAGTGTTACTAAAAAAAATATAAAAAATAAATCCAATAAAAATAAAAACACTTATTAATTATTTTCATTTTCTATCACACATTCTTCCTCTCCAGTACTTGAATTATCTTCTCGTAAAATGAAAAGATCATTTAACTTTCTTAATGTAATATTTTCTTTAGCCCATTCTTCTTGACCGCCAGTTTCTAATGAACTTAACATCCTTTCTTCAATGGTATTGTGGACAACAAATCGATGTACAAATGTTGGCCTAGAAAAGAAAATACAAACCAATCATGATAAAACTGGAATTAGATTGAGCTAATGGCTTTAAATATTCTTCTTTTGAATGGTTAAGGATTTAATTTTGTTGAGCCAAATATTTTCTATTTCTATTCTATTCACCAAATATCAGTGCTGTGGTGCGAAAGAAGTATGTATGTATATATAAATATATTATTGAATATTCAATAGTTGACTGTTGTATAATTAAGGAAGGAAATGATCCGGGGTGGCGGTCATAAATAGACTAAATAGTGGCAAAACTATCTTATTAAAAGCCAACGTTTTGACCCGACTTTGCAGGTCTTCTTCAGGGCTATAACGGACAAGATACAAAAAGATAAAGAGAATTGTGTAAAGTTACATAATATCTAGACAAAAAATTAGAAAACAATGTGAATAAACTTTTTAAAATTATAAATAGCAAGTACATTAAAATATAAACAGAGTAAGCTAAGTAACAAGATCCTAAACTGACGTAAATAGATGGTAACAATTGTTGTAGTGTATTATATAATAAATGCAAATGTGAATATACTTCTACAGATCTACAGAAGAGATTGCAAGAAAAGCAAAAAGGATATAATATGAAATAACAGACATAAAGGAATGTGGATAAAGAAAATAAAATAGAAAACCAAATTTACTTATTTATTTAATTTTTTGGTTTTCTATTTTCTTTTCTTCATCCACATCCCTTTAAACCTGTTATTTCATATCATATCCTTTTTGCTTTTCTTTCAATCTCTCCTGTAGATCTGTAGAAGTATATTCACATTTGCATTTATTATATAATACACTACAACAATTGTTACCATCTATTTACGTCAGTTTAGGATCTTGTTACTTAGCTTACTCTGTTTATATTTTAATGTACTTACTGCTTATAATTTTAATAAGCTTATTCACATTGTTTATAATTTTTTGCCTAAATATTATGGAACTTCCACAATTCTCTATCTTTTTGCATCTGATCCGTTCTAGCCCTAAAGAAGACCTGCTAAGTCGGGTTGAAACGTTGGCTTTTAATAAAATAGTTTTACCACTATTTAACCTATTTATGATCTCCACCCCGGACCATCTTTTATAATGCAACGGTCAACTATTAAATATTCAATAAGTTAAAATAGTTTGGGGTGAATTAAATATTATGCCAACTATAGTATGGAGAACTCTCATTGCAGATGGACTTCACCCATATCATTATCAACGGGTAGAAACTTTATTACAAGATTTTCGGCAAAGAAGAAATTTTTCAAATTGGTACTTAAATCTAGTTGAGCATAATCCACAATTTTTGGAAAAATTCTCTGGACAGATAAGACTACCTTTACAAGAAGAGGTATCTTCAATCAGAAAAATAATCATCCCTGGTTGCACGAAAATCCCCATGCAATTCGCGAACATTATTTTCAGTACCAGTTTCAGTACAATGTGTGGTTGGGGACAACAGATAATATTTTAATAGATCCGCCGCATTTCTTGCTGCCTCGACTTAATGCGGGCACATATCTGTAACTTCTTAATAATGACTACTATGATTTAGTTGAACATATTCCACTACAACTGAGAAGGGACACATGGCTTCAATTAGATGGTTGTCCTGCACATTACGGAAGAGGTCCACAACAATGGCTAATGTCAATTATCTCAATGATTGGCTGTGCAGGAGCAGTGGCTTGGCCTGCACGCTCTCCAGACCTGACAACACTGAATTTTTTTGTTTGGGGTGACATTTAACAAAAAGTCTATCCAAGTCCAGTCAATGATTTTAATTCCTTACAAAGAAGGATATTTGAATATTGTGAAACAATAACACGTTCTGTCACTGCTGCTGCTAAAGATGCTGAGTCTGTCTTAATGCTCAAGGAAATCACTTTGAGCAACATTTAATAAGAAATTAATGTTTACGTTTAATTAATAAAGTAGTTGGAACAAATAAATAAGTTTTATTTGCTGAATTTAACGTAAATAATTCATAACAATGAAAATCTTTAGGTATGAATATCTCCTAAAAAAAGCATTCGCTGACATACCTTCATAGGAATTTTTTATCTTGTTTTGAGTTCCTTAATTAGTATTTTAGTTTGGCCACTTAACCCTGAAACACCCTGTATACATTACTTACTTAGTTTGCCCAATTCTATGTATTCTTCCAACAGCTTGTAGTTCCTCGGCAGGATTCAGTACAGGTTCAACAAAAAAAAGATGGGTAGCTTCTGTCAAATTCAAACCTTTGGACCCAAGTTTTAATGGTAAAAGAAGAACAGTTATTGAACCTGCCTGAAACATCAATAATTATTTTTTTATTACATTTCAAGAAAAAAAAATCTACATTTTGATACCTTCTAGTTTAGAAATGGTTTCTTCACACGGAGCTCTAACAAATTTGATTAAAAAAAAATGAGAATGTTGATAATCATTAAAAAAAAACAAATACAGAAACAATCACAGAACATTTCCTTAGGATGGATCAGTTTGTTTTTGTAGTCAGTTTTTTAAAATTAAAATTTTGAAGTTTTTGACAATTTAGTTTTAAAATTTCATTATTCATTAGCTTAGTCTATCTTGAATTTCAGTGACTTATAAATACTCCTATCCTACAAAATACACCTACTATTTTGAAAATATTTTATCAAAGTCAATAAAACAATATTTCTTTCTTATTTTCAGTTACAAGATCAAATGGATATAATATTTAAAAAACAATTTCCAACCCAGAAAGAATTGGAAATTGTATCATCCACTCGAATGCGGAAGCGACAAGATCTTGCAGTTAAAGAAGGCCGTATATGTCAGCGTTATTAGACAAGTGGTGACATATGGAAGTGAGACATGGATCCTCACCAGGAAGTCAAAGCAAGTACTGAACATGTGGGAGAGGAAAGTCCAATAAAAGTGGTCACGATAATAATTTTTTTTTTAATATCATTAGAAAATTCTTCATTGAAGATGAAATCTCTCTATATTTCTCTTTTTTTTAAATAGTTGATTTTTGAAACTTCTTTGGAGGTTTTAGGGTGGGGTGTCCCCTGGCAGAATTCGCTAGTGCTGGTCACAACAATAATTTTTTTTATATTACATTAGAAAATTTGTCTATAAGGACGGATTTTCCTTATATTTCTCTTATCATTTTTTGGAAACCTTTCTTTCTCCACCATCTAAGGGAGAGAGGGGTGCGCTACTCCTCTGGATACACTAGTTCAGGACACGATCATTTTTTTTAAGTCACATTAGGAAATTTGTCTTAGAGGATGAATTTTTCATACATTTCTTTTTTCTTTAAATAGCTGTTTTTTTAAACTTTTTATGGAATTTTTTTTTCCACCCAGTCTGGATCTGCTGGTGCCCAGATATACATATTACAAACAGTAAATAGTATTGTTTTTTTTGTTTTTTTTTAAATCACTGTTTTAAGTCCATTTTACTTCAATTTTATTCATTATCCTTGTTTGATTTCAATATAACGACCAGTGCCGTTATTGACAGTCAAAGGTTGATGAATATAGCGACCGTGGTCATTTATAGCGACGAGGTTTACCTTTTCAAAGTAGTTATAAACAATTTTTCCCTGACTTCTCTCTGTTTTGAAAATTCCCTGACATTTCCCATTTTTCCAGGTCTGTCGCCACCCTGTACAAGTACTTATTTTAAAGGTGGTTGGAACCAGAGAGCATTTATCCAAAAAAAATATTCACATTGGCCACTTTCTGAGGAATCATTTTCAATAGGTAGAGTTGTCAAACATGCAATTCACACCCACAGAGAGTAAATTAAGAAACAAAAACGTTTTAGAATCTTTTAACCATTTCATTTAAAACTAATGTCTTAAAATTAAAACTTAAAATGCTTAGGAGTACAAAATAACAACTGTATAAAACAAGGAGTATAAAAATAAATACCTTAAACTGGGCTAGAGAGTTTTGAAATTTTTCTCCTGTACCAAGGCGTCGAAAAGATATGTCATTTTGTATCAATGCATCTCGGATAACGTCTAACACTTTTTCCCACTACAATAAATGCATAATTTATCAATCTAATTTAAATTTCGATAAATAAAATAAAAATAATAATTAAACAAATATCAATGCTAAATTAATGTATGGAAAATTTGACAGATTAACATTTTATGTAACACTCTAAAGGGTTCAGGTAATAAAAGCATCATATAATGAATTGTAAAGGTGCTAGAAATGCTAGAAGAAAGTAGAACAAACTATACAACTTTCAGATTCAACTCACTGATGCAATTCACAGTCTAGGCATTTTATAATCTTAGGCATTTTGCAGATAGTGTAGTATGAAAGATCCCTGGGATCCACTGCTTACCAATAATAGTAAGAAGTAGAGTGATTCAGTGGTAATTTTAATTGGAATGCCAAGGTGCAAGGTTTGCAGCTATAATTTCCAATGAATAATTTTAGGTTAGGCGATTTGTTTCTACTATCATGTAAAGCTCTTGAATAAAACTTTGGAAAATTTTAAATGTGGAAAATGTTGAAAAAGAACCTTATTTTGCTTCAAACTGAACTGAACTATTATCATTATCTCAAACCTTCAATCATAGATTCTGAAATAAAGTAATATTTTCTAGAATCACATTAAACAATTTTCTAATGAAATTAAGTTTTGATTTTTAATGGGCTTATAATTAAAAATTTTCATTACAAAGTGGCCTATTTTCATTTATCATCATAAGATTTAATGAAGCTCTTCCAGGCATGAAAACACTCAGTATCACAGTATCACGTGCCAACTTATAGAACAAACTCTTTTTTATTTCATCACAATCCATGGCTCTTGGGACATAGTGGAGGTCTCGATGTGACCCATGAGCCAAAAAGTTTAGAGACCACTGATATAGCGCATAAACTTATATTAGTAATACAGATAAAAGTTTCAATAAATATAGTGGAAGTTGAATCTTGCAGTGAATGAAATTTTTGCGATAAAACAATTTATAACTTATCTACATAAAAATAACATTTAAAAAAAGGCCAAGAATAATATAAATCTATTTTGAAAACCTATTTTCATTTATAAAAATTAATCACACATTTAATTTAAATAAAATTTTTAACTTACAGTGGAAAAAATTAAAACTTTCACTGCGCTGTCTTGCTTTATAAGTGATAACAGCTCAGATACAACAGCAGTAACTTTTGATGAATGTGAACCTTTCACTTCTACAGGTGATTCATCATTGTTTACTGGTCTAGCCACAACATAAGAAACATTCTCCTTAGGTGTTTTAATACGACATAAAGGACAATCAATTTCGTTTCCTCCCATTTTTAGTAAAGTTGGAATGCATTCAAAGCAGTAGCAGTGACCACAGTTCAAAACAGACCACTATTGAAAAAAAAAAAGGTAAGATTTACTGTAGATAGTAGCTATAATTAGACATGAAATGAAATGAAAATAATTTTATTATTCTGGAACTAGCGTCCCTTTAGAACAAATTATAAATAAAACATGTCAGTGTATCCATAACTTCAGTTAAATACTTACAAAATAATTGGTAAGATAAAGTAAAAATATAGGTAATAGAAAGACAGAAAAAAAACCATACATAAATACAAAATAAACAGAGAAAGATAAAATAAAATAAATAAACAAAATACGAGGGTGGTCTGAAAAGTTTCTGACCGCAACATGAAGATGGCAGCACTTGTAAATAAAAGCAAGTGAATTTTGTGGTTCATCTGTTGACAGTTACCAACCAAAGTTTCAGCCATTTTGGAGCGCAGTTTTTATGTAACAGTCGTTTGAGTGAGTTGACGTGAGTGCTTTTGTAAAAATGGACAAAATCGAGTATTGAGCTGTCATTAAACATTTGTTTTTGAAAAAATTTGAGAAAAAATGCCTAGTATACTTTTTAGACCACGGAAACTTTTTAGACCACCCTCACAATATCTGGTAGAGTTCTTAGAGAGTTCTCTAATGTCCATTCCATGATCAATCGGATTGGAAATGGAGTAGGTGCATAAAGAGGAGAGATTTTAAAGAGGAAACTGACTTTCGTGTCAAATATTGGGAGAGATAGATTTCCAGACGGCTTGAGTTACAAAGGGTTTGACAAACGTAGCTGTTCGGTGAGGAGGAGGATAGAGGTCTGACATATGGGATCTGTAAAATACAAGAGGGTCGCTGAGTTTTAATAGCCTAGTATAGGAAGGCAACATTCGAGTACTGACGGTGGTAGCATGAGCCACCAATATTGGGCCAAGAATGAAAACTCACTCTACTTTAGTTATTCGGAACTAAATATCTTATTACAGTTTTATTAAATAATACTTGAAAGTTACCTTCTCTTTCAGAGATTCTTTACAAACTGGACATGGATCCAATTCTGTTCCACCTGATTTCTGTAAATTCTGTAGGTAAAATAAAGTACCACTAGTGCGTTTCAAAGCAGCTTCAGCTTCACTGCCCTCTTGTTGCAATCTTATAAGCATCATGGGAACCTGTAATTTACAGAAAATCAAAATATTATAAACATATATTTTTACAGTGATAGCAATTATTTTGAACATAACATAAATAGCAATGAAATTATTTTAAACTATTTTTTTATGAAGATAAAAATATTCTGCTATAGGAGAACAAAATGTTTTCCTGTATGACAATATGTATTCTGACAGAAAGAAAACAACTGAATTCTTCTGAACTACGTTTTGTGACATCAAACAGTGATTTCAGAATAAATTATTGTATGTCATATTATTACTTCAAAGTCAAACCAAAGATTAGTTGAACCCAAAAATGAAATATGGAATAAACATAAATTTTAGTGAAATTGTATTTTATAAGTTACTAGGGGAAATACTACCTGTTCTCCTAACACCGGACCAACCCCCATTTTATAATTTACACAACTGTTTATCTAATTTTACTACTCATTGCTCAACTTGTATAACTGTAATTTACATGTATTTTGTAGTTCAAATTGTACTATTTTGTATTAACATAAAATAAACTGAATGAAACCACAGTTCGGATAAATTTTTAAGTTCTTTAAAGATCTGTATTATACATTCTTATTGCCAATTTATATTATTATGTAATTATAATTATTCTTATTGCCAATTTGTAACCAGAAGAGAGAAATAATTCTGGAAATAAAATGTGTGGTGTCTTTGTTACAGTCCATCCCGCTTTGTATATGTAAAATAAAATATGACACAGTCACCAAAAATTTTTTTTTATATAATAGAGAGGTCTGGAAGATTTTTTCAAGAATTTTTATTCCCTAAAAACTACAAGGCTCTATTAATAATACATATTGATGAAGAGGTATACTGCGCTTAAGGTTTTTGATGTGAAATGAAAATTCTTAACAAATTATCAATACAGTTTTTAAAACAATATTCCTCAAAAATATCAGTTGCATATTTGGGTTCAATTAATTTTTGGTAAATTGTTTTAAGCAGAACTGAGTATAAATAAAGAAACTATTATAGTTATTAAAAGCCTAAAAAATTATTTGTCTGAATTATAGTAGTAGATAAGGCAGATTCATAGGTTTAAGACAGAATTACGAGGGTGAAACAAATACTAATTATATGATGTATGATGATGCACCTTTGACAATCCTTCCCTTCATGTCAAAATTGATTTATAGGTCTCATTGATCACTGGCCAGACCTGTATATGATGGGGTAACAACCTCGAAACCCAACGAGCACCAACTTTTTTGAACCCAAGATAATTACTGTTAATGGATTGAGTAATCCCATAGCAAATTGCCATTTCTGTTGAGATTTCTTCAACATTGACCCTAAATGCTCAATTATCTCTTAGAAGGTGTGAATGCTGTGATCTGTAAGACTTGGGCATCAAACACGACTTTCAATTTCAACTTTTTCCCATCTGTCCTATCTGGCCCACAAATATAATCTATTCTGAGATAGTGAAGATAGTGTGTAGTGTCAAACTATCCCTTCAAATGAGTAAACACTAAATTGTTGTTTATATTTGATTCACACTCGTCTTACCATTTGGAGAGAAGAGGTCTAAACAGATGAATGGACAAAGGGATTCTTAATTCTAAAAATAGGGAACCTCTCAGAAGTTGGTAGTTGGATGAATTTAACCATGCTCTTTATTATTAATAAGATTTTACCCAACTTAACTGTCAACGGATTTCTCCTGAAACTAACAAGGACTAAATCTCATTAATGTAGAAAGATCCAAGTAGCAGCCAGCTCCATTTATTTGTTGAAATGTTTGTGGCCTCAATGATACTGTCAATGGTTGGGGAAACCAATCCAGCACGTGCACCAATTGTGTAACTTTAATGTTTGCAAGACCATATACCTTTGACAGTATAGATGGTTAAATATTTAAATCATAAGAAATTAAATAATTATATATTTCTAATTATATTTCAAATAAAATGGACTGTTAAAAATCGTACTTAAATATTTTGCAACCGCTCCATGACATCATCAACCTACTCATTTACTACAAAGAGTGCTTAAAGAAGCTTCACTTCAAATGAACGGTGGACTTATACTTGAAACTATTTTTGTGATGAGATAGAAAAAAAAAATTTAAAGGTTTAACGAACCAGAAGCTTTAAAATTTTTATCGGCGAGATTGTACATCCAGAAGCTTTTGAAATTTCACAAGAATCAATAATAATGATTTTAAAAAACAATAAAATTAAATTTAAAATATACTGAATAAGTAAAGATAGTATCACAGAACTAATTTTATATAATAAATCTATAATAAACATTTTAATTAAATAACATGATATACCTCATGTGCATCTATGATGAAAATATCAGTTTTCTTATTTTGTCTATTATTTAATTCATCTTCATAAAGTGGCAATCGTAATCTTAATTTGGCCATTGCCAATTCATCAGTACCATAGATCTGTAATGAAACAAAACAAATGAACTAAGAAGATAAGAAACGAGGTGATTAGTTTTGAAACTAGCTCAATCAATTTTTTCGTAAAATGTTTTTACTTTATTTTTTCAATGCACTATTATATCACATATCAAAATTATATTGACAAAAAATGTCTTAATGTGATATAAAAATGAGTTCAAAATCATGAGGTTACCACTCATCTAAAATTTTAGAAAACAGATCGAACCAGTTTTGAAACTAACTACCAATATATATGCTATTAAAATTATAATTTTTTAAAACAAATTAATTCTACTTCTGCTATGAATATTTATTATTATTTTATTTGCTGCCCTGATACAAGTGGTTATAGTATTAATACAGAGGTGGGAATAGGTCACACCTAGGATCTTCCTCCAAACAATATTCTAAGCTGCATTTCTGTAAATTAGTGCTAGTACTATTTATGTATTACAATAAATAGATTTTTTTAATTTCCCTTTACTTTTTGACTTACTTTCGTAATTTATTGAAAATAAATTTAGAGATGATTCTGATTTAATGGGAATGTTACTAAATGCATTTTTGAAATATTCTCTAGAGCATCATTTCTCAACTGGTGGTCCACAACCCTTAGAGTACTGTTGACCACCTGTTGTGAAATGTTGATCCAGAGAATATGTCAAAAATGTGTTTAGTAACATATCTATTAAAACATAATCATCTGTAAATTTATGTTAAATAAATTACTAGGGTAAGTCAAAAAGTAAAGGGAAATTGAAAAAAATCTATGTATTTATTGTACATACATAAATGATGCTAGCATTACTTTTCAACATAATCTCCTCCAACTTCTATTTAGTTAGTTCATATTCTAACAAGCATTTGAATTCCATCCTGGAAAAAGTTTTCGGCTTGGTGTTTAGAATTTCGCAACGCTTCAGTGGCCTCTTCATCAGATCAATAATGATTCCCTCACAACTCCTCTTTTAATGGGCCAAAAAGATAAAATTCGCTTGAAGCAAAGATTGGACTATATGGAGGGTAGTTCAGCAGCTGAAAACAGAGATTCTGAAGGCACAGAACTGTGTTTTTGGCCACACGAGGAGCATTATCCTGGGGCAAAATCATGTCTTTAAAAGTTTACCACTTCTTTTGGATTTGATCTTTGATTTAAATAGATGCAGTATCTTTCACTATTTATTGTTTAATCTTTAGGTTTAAAATCACCCAAAATTCAACTTTTCATATCCCTTGAAATACAAATTCTACCAAGCTATTGTTCATCACACAGAGAAATCCTACCGCTTTTAAAGCAATCAAGCCATTCATAGATCTTGCTTACACTCCCACCTTCTCCATATTGATGCTGCATTTGATGCATAATTTCTGCTGTTTTCACACTTTCTGAATTGAGTAAAAGTACCACTGCTTGCATTTCTTCCAGAGGGCAATCAGACAAAAAACTCATTTTGAACAGATTTTTAAACACAATTAAAAGTAACTAACAATGACACAATACTTTCAATGAACAGCTGATAAGTTATGAGTTATAACAGAACAATTAGTGCTGCCGTACACTTGATTTGGAGGAATCCAAATTTCCTTTTACTTTTAGATCTGCCCTCATATTAAACAAATTTTCTTAAAAACTGAGCATACAAATAATTTTTTGCCTACAATCCTGACATCAAAGAACCCACCATTTTATTTAAGATGCTAAAGGTTCATACTTTATGATTATAAAAAATAATAATAATATGTAGGTTTCTTTAAGCCTTCGATGATAAATCTCAATACAATTCTTATTTTTTATAAAATTTATCTAAAGAACTAAAACCATCAGACATTCCTTTCTTGCCAACTTCATTGTTTTCTGAAATTCCAAATCATCAAATATACTACATGCTCCTTCCCTTTTTTCATTGAAACCCATACATCCACATTCCAATGTCATGAAATTTTAGTTTAAGGATAAATTGTTAACTTGAAGTGAACGGTAGTTTTAATATTCAAGTTTTGAGTCAAGAATCAAGTCACAGTTTTAATTTTTACTTTCACTTACCTATATATGAAGTATATAGTAAGGGAAAGGATTGCGATAATGAAAATTTTTGAAACCAATTTTCAACAGAAATACTTGCTTTGAGATCCTCTGAGTCCAACAAAATGATCTGTGTGTGTATGTTAACAGTAAAAAAATAAATTCAATACATTAGACAGGTATGAAAAACATATAGTAATTAATTGTTTTAAATATTTCATACCGTCTATAATTTTTTCTTTCCCTTCCCTTTGTCTGAAAATACTTATTAATGCTTAAAAAAGGGTGGTAAGAGAAAGTTGTGTGATGCACGCACCATACAAGATTTTTTTTTCTTTTTTTTTTAAATTTTATTTTTTTCTACACAATCATTTGTATTCTTGAGATGATTTTGTTACCGTGTATTTAATTTATACTGTTAAAAATGTACGTACTATATTTGTTATATTTATTATTCTTAAGGAACCTAATTCCAGAATTTCATGTTTGAACAGAAAATAAATGCTAAATCTAAAGCAAGCACCTAAATGCATTTTTAACTTATTCTGTAGGTTTTTCAAATTTTTTAACATCAAAAAAAAATTCCGTAAGATGAAAATTGCCAAAATTATGAAATTTTTACTTGATCAATGTCACTAATGCTGTGTTAAAATTATTTTATAACATCATTGTTCATACAATTTTGAAAATTAGTATCTATTATATTATATAAAAAAAACAAAAAAAAACTCAAAAGTATCTAAGATATAAATAAAATTCTACATCATTAATAACGACAAAAGAGGAGTAGAGTAGTTCAGTGGGAAACTCACCTTGGGCACATACCCAGCTTCTATAAAGTCATATTTAAATTAAAATTATAATTCTTGTAATTAAAAAACCTGGTGGTTGAGCGTAATCTTGATCAAATCACATTCATACACAACCATTGACCTACAAATAGTACTTACTAACAAAGTACTGTATTCAATACTCCTATGGATTGTAGTGGTACATGTTAATAAGGTTAAAAAATGGAAGAAACAAAATTAAAAAAAAAAAATATCATTATAATCAAATATGGTTTCATGGACCTGGATGATGGGATAAGAACTGACCCAGTCTAAAAGAATGCACAGATTTTAAACTAAATAGAACTAAATTTATAATCATAGACCTATATATACCTGATCTGACATATTTCGCCACAGTGCCCTCATCCACTTAAACTCTTTCCTCACTGTTTCAAGTAATAGTATATGTCTACTACCATCTTCAGCTAATTCAGAAGAGATTCGCTTGGCATGATTAGCAATCACTGGAAAAATAATTTCAAAAAGTTTAGAAAGCTTTATTAAAATTTCAAATTATTTGGGTGCATGATTTCAAATAACACATCCTTTGAATGTTAATAATCTAGGAACATTGAATAGGTTTAACATAAGAATATAACTCATGAGTTTTAACACTAAGAAAATAACAAAACAAAATAAGAAAAAAAATTAAATTAGCAACATTAATATATTTGTCAATGTATGCAATGTTTAAGCAAGTTCTAAGTAATTCTTAAGGTTGTTTTGGATTATTTCTTTTTTTTTTTAAATTTAATTGTACTTCACATAGATGAGGCTTATGAATTAGCTCAGATAATTTATTTGTAGATTATAACATAGTTTTGGAGGTCTTGACTTTATTTTTTTACCTAATTTGGAGACAAATTTAAAACCTTTTTTTTCTATTGATGTCCTCGATAACAAGCTAATTATTATCTCTTTTGAAAAAAAAATTAAATAACTTACCATGAAGCATTCTTTCGTGTGAAGTAGGTTTCCAGCTACCCTCTTTGGATGATTTAAATAATTTTGTTTCTTTTAGCTTCTTTCCTTCACCTTCATCTTCATTTGCTGACTCTTCGCTGTCTTCTTCTAAATTTATATTGTTCTTATTTACAGAGAATATGTGGGCTTCGTACTTTTTCAATAATAGTTCAGTTTGGCAAATAGGACAACGCTGCCTATTATTAAAACACAATAAAAATTAAAATACCATATGAAGAAAAGACATGAAATAACTTTATTTCTCACTTCAAAAAGGCATATATACATGATCTATCAGTTGTATCTGATAGATCTGAGTGTATCTGGTTCACTCAATATAAAAGAAAATTAATTTTTATGGAAGTCCATATAATTACTTTATTAAATATCACTATAACATTTAGAATGATGATTGCTAAGCCTATTAATATGATAATGAGGAAATTTTGAAATAGCAATCAATAAGCAATGTATTTCATAGTTGATTATGTTCACCGCTTCATTAAAGATCATTGATAATTCGCCAGATTCATTACTTATTTCTCCTTCATTGATAAAACAAACAAATAAAGAGCTCTCTACAAAAAGGCATTATTTAAAATATCCTTTCTTTTGATAACTCTTTCGTCAAAATCCATCAATTTGAGAGTTAGAAAAGAGATTTATACAAATATGTATTATATATATATATATATATATATATATATATATATATATATATATATATATATATATATGTGTGTGTTTTTCTACATTATTATAGAAAAGGAGCAGTTTGAAAACCCACCTAAAGAATACAGCACTAGTCTAATTAAGTCAGAAAGTGCCACTTTAAACTAAAAAATCAATTTGTTAATTTCCATTATTTAGAACCTCTTAAGGGAGCTCTTCAAATAATAAAAATAAATTATTAGGAAAACTTACATTCCTTTCTTTCTTCTTTTCTGATTCAAATGACAAATAGTAGCCTGATCAAATAATAGTGATTTTGGAAGTATTTGAAGATGGCGAAGTGAATCTAACGTTTCAATCCTCAATTCATCTGCTGTGGCTATCCATACTGCAAATTCTCTGTGCACTGTGTGTAAACCTGTCAACCTATTATACAACTTAATGGTTCATAATAATACAGTTATAATATTAAAAAATAAATAAATTAATACAATATGAAGTACTTTTTTTTCAATTTATACTTTAGTCACATAGTTCCAAAAATACATTTTTTTTTTTTAACTTGCAGCATAAATTCTAAATGCAAATTTAAAGTTACAGATGAGTATTTTTATGATAGCCTCTTAATGGGATTATATCAAATGAAGATATATTTATGAAATAAAAATCAGATTCTGATTTTTATACCTTGTGCTCTGGGTATCTTAAATCTCCCACAAACATAAAAATGTATACTTAATTATTATTTGTAAACCCATAAATACAACTAAGTATAGTGGATCTAAGATGAGTTAGCGTGTAGAAGAAGGGAGCTCGAGCTGCCTTCCTCCATTCAAGTTCCATTCTTCAAAACCCTATCATAAATTTATATACATTAATAATTATTTTGAAGGTTAAGGCAATTAAATTTTCCTATCTTCAGAAATTCCTTTATATTTACTTGACTTTGTAATGTGGAACCAATTATCAAAAATTACAATACTGTCATATCTATATTTAAATATAATACTTTTCTTGGTGTTTACACATTCATTTTTCATCTATCAAAAATTCATAGATTTTTTCATAGATAATTTTTCATCTATCTCTGAAGATGGAAAAATTATCCTGAAACGTCAGATGTGATTAAAAAAGATTAAAGATAAAAATGGAAGTTTAATTGCCTTAACCTTAAAAATATAAACCGAAGCTTCCTAGAGAAATAAAAACAAGAAGATAATTATGTTTTTGGTCTGAGGATTGATAGTTTTCCCTCTACCGAGTTTATTTGAGATAGTAAACAAAAAATAGTAAAAGAAATGATAAGAAAATTGATAAAAGAAATTACTAATTGTAAGAAAAATTGTAGAAGTACGTATGAATGAGTAGAGAAGACTGGGGATTTTGAAGAGTGGGGAGATCGGTGGGAAAATGTTTTGTTACAGCGCATCTCTCTCTCTCCCACTACTCACCCACAAAATCATCTTAGATCTGCTATACGTCCATTAAGAAATCCACCATCACACTTTTAATGACAGTCTGAAGGATTTGTCGTAGTTTATACATAAAACTATACTACGATTGATTGTATATATAAATATAGGGGACGGACTGTCACCTATTCTCTTCAACGTTGTTCTCGACAAAGTTATGAGGACCTTATGGGAAAAAGAAACATCAGGAGCTAAAGTAGGAAATCGAAAGAGCAATATCCTGGTAAAATGTCTAGCTTTTGCGGATGACTTGGCCTTATTGGCAGAATCGGAGGAAGAAGCGATTAGACAGATAAATTCTCTGAAAAAAATAGCCGAGAAAACTGGACTTAAAATCTCCTTCCAGAAGACTAAATTTATGACCACAAATCCCAACTTTAGGAAAACAGAAATAAAAACAGAATTCGGTAAAATCAAGATGGTTAAAAGCTTTAAATACCTGGGCGAAATAATCTACAGAAATTTATCGGAGAAAAAAAGCATGGAATATAGGATTAAAAATTTGGAGAAATTATGCTACTTAACAAGTAGCATTTATAATAAAAAATGCCTCTCCAAAAATTCCAAAATCAGGCATTACAATACAGTGGTAAAGCCAGTGATAATGTACGGAACGGAGACAATGTTCTTTCCCAGTTTGGAGAAGCTGCTGAAAATAGAAAGGATTCTTAGAAGAATCCATGGGCCCAAAATAATACCAGAAGGATATAGACTAAAATCCAATAAGGAGATTTACAGTGAAACCTCTGATTTAGAAACGGAAATGAAGGTAAGAAGACTTAGGTTTTATGGACACATGCAAAGGATGACCGAGGAGAGATTAAACAAGAAGATTTTCAGTAGGGTTATGGGATACAAGTTTAACCATGGCTATACGGTACAAATAAAACAGGAAATTCAGAGGCTTGGGATAACACAGGAATTATGTGAGGATAGGACAGAATACAAGAAATTCCTGAAAAGTGCGGTGCATGTGGTGGACAGTAAGGAACTTCTGTCCAGGAGGAAGTGGACGGAGGAGAGGAAGAAGAAATTTAGCGATATCCTCAAGTAGAGACGGGCAGAAAAGAGAAAATTGAAAAAGAAACCAGTTTCATAGTCGCGTAGTCCTTCAGGGCTGTTTCGCGTCAAATAATAAATAATTTATATATATATTTCAAATGTATATTTATTATATAAACATAATTATATAATCTTCCGCCTCTTTGAGAGACTGAGACTGAGTTCTTAAATTCTTTTGCTGTCTTTTTTTTAATTTGAAGGACTCCTTATCTTGGATTGATTTCTTAACTGACTGTTATAGACGATATTAGAGAGAGGTTGTTGGGTGCTCCGGTCCCCAGTGGTGGACAGGAGCACCCAATAGCCTCTCTCTATTACAGTCCATTAAGAAATAAATAATAAAAGGAGTCCTTGTCATTCAAATTAAAGAAAATACAGAAAAAGTAGATATATATATATATATATATATATATATATATATACATGAAGGGGGACCCAAAAAAAAACTGGTAATTTCGTATAATTTCTTGATATTTTTACACCAAATTTTGATTATCTTTAAAGTATTCTCTCTTGACCACAACACACCTCTCCAAACGATTCTTCTAGTGTTCAAAACATTTTTTAAATTCACTTATCGAGATGTTCTTTAGGCCTTCTAGTGATTTTTGTTTTATCTCATCCACAGTGGAAAAACGCTTTCCTCTCGTGCCCCTTTTGAGTCAGGGAAACAAAAATAAATCACAGGGGACTAGATCCAGTGAGTAGGGGTGGTGGACAATCAGTGTCATGCCATTTTTGGTCAAAAACTACTTAACAGACAAGGCAGCGTGGGGCGGCGCGTTTTCATGATAGAAGAACTAGTTGCCTATGCTACAAAGATCTGCCCTTTTCTTCCAGATTCTCTCCCTCAATCTTTTTAAAACCTCCAAGTAGAACTTCAGGTTGACTGTTATGAAAATCACTTGTAGATTCTGGTTTTACTTAGGGCAACATCCCCATAAGCCTACTCCTTCAACAGGAAACAAAATTTCACAGCCGTGTGCTGCTCTTGACAATTGGTCATCCTGTTTTAGGCAAAATGGAAAAAGTTGTTACACTAAAAAAATTCTCACTGGCGAACCGATACACTCACAGCGACACAACTTCACACATTAACTCAGGAGACATTTTTTTCATCTTGTTCTTCCCTACCTCGCCTTTTAGGCTTTACGGGATTATTCCGGGCCGGAGGGTGAGGGCGAGGAATTTAATATCTCCTCCAGATCCGGGAGGCGAACTCATACTTTTCTTTTCAATCTCATAACTTCGGTTATCTGGTTGCCTGGCAACTCGCGATACTGTGCACACGCATTAGCCTAGATGGCCAGCCTGCCCAAAAGAATAGATGGAACCAGTATTGAACTGCGTAAATTCACCATATCAGATTGGTACGCTAGCCACTATACTATGAGAGTGCTTTAACTGAGGAAACATATCCCTACTGGACACCGGGTAGAACAATGGGTTACCCCACTCTATCTTCCCAACTCAGCCCAATTCCCGCTACTTTTGGATCCCCCTCATACGAGAGTATATATATATATATATATATATATATATATATATGGATTAGATAATAATATTACAAACATATTAGATTAGATATACTTTACTTTGAAGTAATTGATTGCTGTCCAGGGACATCGTTATCGTCTAAATATGTTTTGATTTTATTAAGGAGGTCTTCATCATTTGATTCATTATTTATAACTTCTTCCCACCAAGATGTAAGACTAAGCGTTTGCCCACGACATAAATGAGCAATAGTTGCACTCAATTTATTGAGAGATTCTAATGTTGCTGTAAACTAAATAATGGTGAACATAACATATATTTCGAAACAAATTAATCTATTAAGTAAATTGTTAAGTTTATTATTGATCAATGAGGTTTTTCATTCATATAAGAAAATAATTCTAAAGTAACAGAACAACTTGAATACCTTTTTCTCATAATTTTCAAGATAATTCTTTTCGAGCTCCTCAGCTTCTTCTCTAAGTTTACTGTCACGAAGTGTTGGTGGAATACCTATCCCATGATTCTCTAATACTTCAGTCAAATTACATAAACAATGAATCATCTATTCAACAGAAAAAAATCAAAGAATAATAAGTAAAAAAAAAATCAAAGACAAAACAAATACATAATTAACAAAAAAGATGAAAGATAAGGAAAGAAAGATAAGAGAAAACTCTTATTTTAACGTTTCATGGATTTTTAGTTGATATACAGGGTGTTTCACGGTTAAGTGGCCAACCTGCTAAAATGAACTATGGACCTCAAAAACAAGAAAGAAAAAACCTCTGAAGGTATGTCCGCAAACGCTTTGTTTAGGAGATATTCACACCAAAAGATTTTTGTTGTTACGATTTATTTACATTATATAAAATAAATAAAACCTATTTATTTGCTCTAACTACTTTATTAATTAAATGTTAACATTAACATTCCTATTAAATGCTGTTCAAAGTGATTTCCTTGAGCATTAAGACAGTCTAGGCATCTTTCTTCAACAGTAGCAGTGGGAGAACAGCACTGGATATGTTTTATTGTTTCCAGAGATTCAATTATCCTTCTTCGTAAGGAATTAAGGTCATTCTCTAATAAAGAAAATCTTTAGGTGTGAATATCTCCTAAACAAAGCGTTTGGGAACATACCTTCAGAGGAATTTTTTTTCTTGCTTTGAGGTCCTTAGTTCATTTTTGCAGTTTGGCCTCTTAAACCTGAAACACCCTGTATAATGAAATTTAAGTCCTTTCAATAAATAATGCGGTCTTATTAACTGCATTAAACGTGGTTATACATGACTGCTCCAGTTGGATGTCATCTATTAGATTGAATGAAATCCAAAAGTATAGAAACTATGTCATCACTCTAGGGAAGTAAATACATAAAAAAAATCTTAAAATAATAATTTTATACTCGAGATACATTGATATTTTTCATCATTGAAAGGGGTAGGGATGTAGATCTTTAACATTATGTTGGTACATAATAGTTATATATATTAGTTGGTATATTGATAATTATATAATATATTGAAATATATAAAAAAAATATTTGTTTTTAATCTTTGGAATAAGGTGATCAAGATAAACATTGACCTGAATAATTTGCTGTCGTTTATAGCATCAAATATATATATATATATATATATATATATATATATATATATATATATATATATATATACATATATATAATATTAGGAACTATAAAAATAAAGTCAGTCAAATTGAATGGAAGACAATAAATATTGAATGAATTACTAAAAGCCTATAAAATTATAATAAAAAAGAAAATTAAATTAATAATGATTTAAGCCTATAAAAGAAATTAACATTTTCATTTGAACAACAAAAGAAGACAAAAGTTTATTACCCAGATATATACATTTAGTTCAAAACAATATTTCTCAGGTGCTCAGGTATTTTGTTTAAAACAATCTCATTTATATGTCCTCACCAGTAAGGCAACTTTAAATACAATTTTTAATTGCATTTTTTGTTTATATTTTAAATTTTATGTTGGAAAAATATTGACTTGTATTTAATCTATATCTACATAAAAAATAATGATATTTCAATATTTTCCAAAATCCTAGTTTCCATTTTTCATAAATTTGGAACAAACAGAATTGCTCTTCACTGCTGCTATTTGTTGTTTAAACAAAATTCATTAAAAAGGGAACCACTATCATTTGAATTTCATGTGAGATGGATAAGAATTAGTAAATAACACTTCTCTAGTCTAAGCTCTGCATCACTTAAAAACATATACTAATAAATAAATAAAAGTTGGAGAAGTTACCTGTAATGAATCTACTTTTATAATGTGTTTGTATTCAGAACTCAACTGCAAAACACGGCGATAATTCTCTACTGCTCCTGACCAATCGCATTCAATGATATTAATAGCAGCGATACCATGTAATGCAGAAACAAATTGACGAAGTGCAACATCAGCATCGAGACGAGCTTTAGAAACCATATGTACCATCAATTCTTCCATTGTCATTGTATGTTTAAATCTTACAAATTTGCCACGAACGACCTGCAAACAAATTATTTTTAATATTAATATAAATACACCCCAGGATAAAATTAATGCATCACTTTATTTAAGTCACAATTAGCCAATATCTACAGTTTTTAAGCTCATTATTGGCAGGTTATTACAATCAAAGTTTAAGTATAGTTCAATCATAACATGAACTGTATTCACTTAAAAAACTAAATCATTGGTAAAGTCGATTAAAACATAAATAGACACAACAAAAATAAAAAAAATTCTAAAACTAAGTAAGTAACTTAAGCTTTCGGGCTGAAGCCACATTCTCCCCAAAAAAATTAAATCCTGGATCCGCTAGTGATTGATAGAAGAAGAGCTAAGTAACATATAATTGAAAAGAATAACCCTCAGCCAGCATTAAAATCCCTGTAGGAAATTGTCAATCGTTTAATTCTTCTTTAATTGTATTAATATTGGACATAGGTAATGTGTTAAGATTTCATTTATTATTTTTCTAGTATCAAACGGTTTTATAAATAGCTTTAAATGTTTGCATCATAGTCTTGTTGAATACAGTTTTTACTTTCTATTTGAATATCCAAATGGATTTTAATGATGTAGAGATGGTTGACCGTTGATATAATATGAGAAGGAGTTAATCGGGGGAGGGGGGGAGGAGAAAGGGGGGGGGTGCGGTCAAATAAATACTAAATTGAAATATAGTAATTATTTAATTTTTGCCGACGTTTCGACCCGCTTTGCAGGTCGTCTACAGAGCATAAGATATAGCACTGCGGGAGACAGTTGAAACACTGGACACAACTTCAACAGGCAGTTGAAACACAAAGAGCAGTGTGTGTTTCAACTGCCTCCCGCAGTGCTACATCATACGCCCTGAAGACGACCTGCAAAGTGGGTCGAAACATCGGCAAACATTAAATAATTACTATATTTCAATTTAGTATTTATTTGACCGCACCCTCCCTCCCTCCCCGATTAACTCCTTCTCAAATGGATTTCAATGGAATTCTTAGCTTTCTAAGTATTGTTATTCCTAGTTATTGTGGATACTAATCCGTAAAAATACAGGAATTTGTGATTACCATTGGTGGGAAACAAAAATTGAAATTGTTTTAACTTTCTTCTTAGAAATAATACAATTACAGATAAAATGTCACAATTAAAACAAAACTTAAGTTAATCAACTAATTTAATTTAGGATAACCAAACCGAAAAGGATTAATAATTATAAATCTCGAAGTTAAAAAAACAAAAACAGGCAATATATAAACACAATAATCATAAATAATATTAGAAATATATAATGGAAAATTAAATTGATTGAGGTTATATGCGTCTATAAGTAACATCGAAAATAGAAAGTTTGCTTAATCGATATACTGAAGGGAGAAAAAAGTTGACAACTTACAAAAAAAGGTACGTAATATATATTCTAAAGGTTGTATTTGGTAATAAATTGTAATGAATGTAAGGTGAAGTCAAAGGCTGACAAGACTACCCCTCCGCAATAGTGGCACTTCCTGGTGCTATCTGTTGTAAGCCTTATCTGAAACATTGTGGATAACCTGGCATCAACCAAGATGGTGAAAGAGTAGCACTTCCGAAGTAGTATCCAAACCTCAACCATTTCAGAAAAATAATTACCGATCTTAACTTCATTGAATGTTTCAGTCATGCACATCCTTACTAGATTTAATAATGTCTGCTTGTAATCCCTCCATTACTATTTCATCCTCCCACAAAGTCTGGAGATTGATCTCTCCGTTTGTGGTTACCGTCTCTGCGAAATGTTAAAGTTGATCCCATACACCACAGACCAAGAGTGATTTGGTGCTGATCCGCCTGACACTTTAGGTCATCCTTCTACTCATCTTCCTTCATCCACTAAGTCATCTTACCCCTAACTGGAACAACGCTCTGTCGTGGCCTTCTGGTAACTATCTACTCAGTACAACACCCTCCACAAACTCTACAGATATAGAAATACTGAATCTGTTGAGTACTATGGGAGGCAAAACAATTTTTGTCACAACATCAAGCAACAAGGATCTAGACATAACACTTGCTTTAAACCCTCTTAAGAGCCTTATTGAGAAGACTGGAAGATCACCTCAGATATTCTGTTTGAAGACAAGATGATCTCATTCAAATTGCATTCTGTACAGCCGTTATAATCCATGAAAAAAATATAAGGAACAATGACTGAAATCTTTTTTACCAGAATTCAAAAAGATGTAAGCTAAAAGGTTATTTTTCGAAGTCAAAACCTAGTATAAAATTCAGATGTGGTTCATAAAACAGACTAAGTTACAAAAAGACATGAGAAATTTTCATAAAGCTTACAAAACAAAGCAACAGGCAGACTGGAATTCACATCACACTACATCTAACATCTGCAAAAGAAAAATAAGACAGCACAATTGGGATGGTTGGCACAAATTCTGTAGTAATATTGAAAACATGCCTGAAGCCTCATGGCGAATAGTGGATATCAACCTTACAGAAATCCTACTATAAGTGAACTTCTCTAATTTTAAGGACACTTTGACCGAATTAGTGGAGACTTACATTCCAAGTTGGAAGATTATTAATTAAAAAAATTCTACAAGTATGAACTCTTGCAGAAAGGCTTCTATAAATAAGGAAGATAGGACATTAGTGGAATCTATCATCCCTGACAGGACTGGTCCATTGTGTTAGTCAGATTGGCCAGATTTATACAAACAATTCAAATTTGCACAACAAAACTTTGATTAATGGCCACTTATTTATCAATCAGTTCCAGTTAATTGTCACAGCAGTAGAATGAAAAGAAGTGGAATTTTTAAGGCATGATGATGATGTGAGTATTTCAATAGAAAATATTCACAGTAAACCACAGGGGGGCCCAGAAGGGGGTTTCATGGCACAAGTAGCACCATCAAAATTTTTGAGGGGGCATATTGTGACTGTTTTTTGAATTTTTGAGGGGGACAAATTTCGATGAAGTTATGAATTTTCAGAGTAAGGGACTAGGGGAAAAACACGGAACATACCGAAGCAAGTGGAATTGTATATGATCTACAATTTTTCTGATTCTACCTTGACTTGATATTTTTTTAGGAAAAGAGAGCGAGAAAATATCTTGGTAAGAGGGGGATTGTAGGTTCTTGTGCCGTTGACCTTGGGGAGAACGGGTACTTCTGGTAAAGTAGAAGAATTATTATATTATGAATAAAATCAATCAAGGCACCAACTTCAAAGTTTCTAACAATAAGGAAAGAACATAAATAAATGTTCATCCAGGTATAAATACATCACAAAATAACATAAATAAGAATACAAGTTAAAAAAACAAAACAAATTACATTGAATTTTTCTGTAGAAATTGAACCTAACAAAGAAACATTAATAGCACCAGTTTTCTGCCAATGAAAGCGGTCAGTTGGTGACCATATTCTCATACCCATTATTACAAGAAAAAATGTATTTCTATTATTTTATCTAATTAAAAAATATAATTGGTGTGAAGCGCACATCACTTAACTTTCACATACCACACTTCTTTTAGCAGAAATAGCTGTTTTTTAGACAGAGGGAAGTGAAAGTAAATATTATAGACAGTATAATATATTATTTAAAACAATTAAATACCATATGTTTTTCACTGCTGTCTAATGTATTATATTTATTCTTTTTTGTCACTAACCATTTATTTTTATAACTGTATATTTTAATTATAATAAATAATAAATAATTAAGTTCAGTGCCACTGATAAAGAAGGCCTCTTCTATAAATCTTTGAAAAATCATTATTTTAATTGTAATTTTGTTTATAAATAAAAAAAGCATATATGCAATTATTTTTATTTAAATACATATCAGGCTATGGAAAACAAAAAATATTAAGCTTTTCAATAGTTTATAATAGTCATTTTCGCTGAAAACATGGGCAAACTTTGTGCTGATAGAGTATCAAAACATATTTTTTTTACACAACTTGAGGCGAATCTCTATTTATTTCCTAATAAATCCTGTGTTAAATCAATATGGGCTTAGATTTTATTAAACAAGGAAGTTTTTCTAAAATTGGGGTAACTATAGTATAGTGAGAGAGGTAAAAAAAAACAGTGATGAATAATTTATGATGTTTTTAAAAATAGAAATTAGCTCCATTTAGCCACTTAAAAGTCCTTTTTACATGGTTTTAGCAATAAGAAACTTTACTTTAGTTTAAACTAAATTTTGTCTAGTTTACTGTGAAGTAACTTAAATTATGTATTTTTTTAGTAATCACATTCTATTCCAATTTATTTTTATGGCACTAAAAACAAAAAACTTGAATTTCCTATTCTTCTGGCGAAAATCGGTCCATAGTTAATATAAACTTTTTTGTACCTCTTGAGATCTACTATCACCTCTTTAAATATTTCCCTCTATTTACTGGACACCTTTTATAGAGATAATTTTGGTCTGTTGATTGACAAAACTGTGACTGTAACATCCCAGCCATAAGCAAACCATAAATATGCAATTTTAATTAAATTGCAAAATATGCAATTTGAAGAGATGCATTAATTTTGTCCACTAGTATAATAATAAAGTCTTTGTTTTTTTTTTTAATATCTCTTAATAAATTTGGAAAACTGAAGAAAAAAAACCTGTGGATGAGTGCAGGCTTGACGAACACCCAGCAATGGAAGCAGTAAAGTTTGAAGTTGTGTTCTATCAATTGAATTCAATTTAACATTTAAATCCTCAAACCTGCAAGTCCAAAAAAATTATATAAAAACATGAAATGCAAAAAAACAATTAATTTACACAAATATTAAATAAGACAACATGAAGATTTTATTTGTGATATACATTCTTTCCATTTATCACCATAATTATCTATTCCTATATCTATACCTCTCGATAAAACAAAAGAACGTCTGCCGAGAAAGTCAGTATAGCTTCCTCACTGTTTTCATTGGCTCAATATTTCAAGGTCGACAATTTTTTGTACACAAATCATATCTCGGGGAGAAGCCGTTTTCGGAAAAATAGTAATCCCTCAAGCCACAAATTTTGTTCATGAGCGAATATTAAAATACTGAAGAATTCCACAATTGCTGATTGTGTATTTGATGATTCGTGATTAAAACAAAAATCCCAATACATACTGAACATGCATATCGCTATAGTTAATGCAAAAGGTCGTATTTAAAATTAAGTGTTTTACAGGAGAGCATAAAATCTAATTATTTCTTTATGATTTATTAGTATATTTTCATACTTTATTGCCCTCTGCTATTTTCCATAGTAGCAGGATACCTATATCAGTTGCAGACTACAAAATGTCACCTTTAGAACAAATAGAATAAAAAGCGAAAAATGATATATATGACTTTTTGTAATGCCATTAGCGATATATACTTAATAGGTATATTTTAACTAGTAAAATGGGTGGAACAAAAACCCATTAGAAAAATTCAACTTTTTGTTTGTTCAAAGTAAACGAGACCAATATTTTTCTTCAGTCAGAACAAAACTAATTTAAGTTGGAATATAAAAATATTAGTGAAGTTCTCACAACTTTGATGTCTAAATAGGAAATTAAGACTACGATGAGTTGGTTGAAGAAATAAAAAGAATCACAAATAACACTTTTTTTTTTCCAAACTCACGAGTAAAAATTAATTTAAATTTACACAAAATCTAAATAACGGCAGTAAGTGTCATGCCAGTAACGTTTGGAATTGAACAAATTATTAAGTGTAATTTAAGTTTTTGAATAAAACCTAAAATTTTATAACCTCATGAAAATATTGTATTGACCTCATCCACATTACATATATGACCAATGCCTTCCACATTTCACAGCCATTATATTGTTAACAGTTATTTATATTAATTTTAATTATTAAATGGAATTAAATAAAATTGATACTAGGCAATAGAACAAGCAGCTTTCATACTATAGGCAGGTCAAATAATAGATTTCCTGATCTGAAAGCGGAAGTATTTTTTTGAAAGTAGTGGATTGAATTTAATGAAATTGATATGTATTTGATTATCTGTTCACCAATACCTAACTTCCCTCCAAATTTGAGCCAAATCGAACATGCGATTTTAGATACATAGATGTACCAAGGAAAACATGTTTGGGCATATATGAGAGAAAGTAGTGGGCGAAATCCCTTAAAATTGATACTACATTATTTTTTTACCAAAGCTTATGTTTTGTCCAACTTTGGACCAAATCAAATCAGCAGTTTCTGAAATATTGGCATATCTAAAAAAATACATTAGTGAGTGCGTAAGCGGAAGTGCTGGATGGAATTTGATAAAATTAATAAGGGACAATACAGGCACTAACCCGCACAATCTCTGAAAATTTCATAAAAATCGTATAAACGATAGTAGCTGATATACCTGTTACATCGATTTGACTAGAGACAGACACAGAACCTAATTTGATCCTTAATGTCTGAAACATAAAACACGAGTGGAAATTTTTGATTCTGAACACAAATTTTTTTTTAACTTTTTGCACGATTACAAAGCTTTCCTACCTTTGGTAGTGAGGAAGCAATAGTTAAACATAAATGTGTATTGATGCTAAATTTGTAAAAAATGAACATCATTCTATTATTCTATATACTTCAGAGAAAACAACTATAATGAATATTTACTCACTTGCATAGTTTATTTCTGAAAGAAGTTGCACATTCTGTATGTATTGTGCGATAAAAATAACCTTCAACTGGTGAAAAGTGCAGCCAATGAGTAATTACAGTTTGTGGAGGAACACCAAGGTCTGCTAGTACATCATTTTTTGAACTTCTCCACATAATTTGTGAGAGAAATTGAAAAAGTTCATCATCAGAATTGTTCAAGTCTTGCCATGGGGATAGATTTTCAAATGGGCTCACTCGAAGAAAATGAACCAGACCGTATAAATCTAGAAGAAAAAAAAGATGTTATGAAAATATTTCAAAATTATATATTTCAAATCATAATCATTCTCTCATTACAGTTATATTCTCATTTTAAATTATAAATCATTGCTATTTCATAAGCACTTTAACATAGTGCAAATAATCATATAACATAGAAACTGGTTTCCATTGGATATGGGTTCCATATCTGGTATGTAGATCATATTAATACCACTTTTACAAAATTAAATATCATCTTACAACACTTTGAAATAACTGTTCACTCACAAGAAATATCTTATATAATATATTTATTAAATGAATTTGTTTGTATGTTTTGTGCAAGAGTTGTAGTATGGAACTAAGATATTGTGTTTTATAGACACAATAAAGCTGCTAAATTATTCTGATACTTAAGAAGCATAAATATTAAATGAATAGTTTGGCTGAATAATGGTCTATTTATATTTTTTGTAAAATCAGTTTTTTTCTTTAACTACAATTTGTGTAGCTCCCATTAAATGCCATGTCATAAGAGATAAGAGAATAATGTTCAATGTAATTTTAAAGTAAAAAAGGTGGTAGACAAAAATGTTTATAGATTTTCTGTAAAATAAAATAACAAAAACTAAACAAACCAATATTTGGCTGAAATAAAAAAGTAAGGGACAAGATTTTATGTTCTGTAATAATAAAATTCCTAATCAAAACAAAATCTGGCTTTACCATGAATGGATTTCTGGATGGGTGTTCCAGTTACGGCCCAGCGATGTATGGCATTTAGTTGTGAAGCCATGAGGGCTGTTTTTGAGGTATAACCCTCCACCATTTGTGCTTCATCAAGACAAATACGCCAAAATTTAATACAAGTTAAAGGTGATGAAGGTGCAAAATATCTTTTAGCATGCCTTAATTTTCGTTCACTTTCATTTGGTAGAAAATTTAAATCTGAGCAAAGAACATTGTAGGTGGTCAATATTACATCATATTCAGATAATATAGTAGGTTGAACATAGTTATGATTTTTAACTCCATTGTAAACCCATAACTTAAAACTTGGATCATCAACATGTTTCTCTATCTGAAAGTAAAAATAGGTAAATGAAAGAATTTTTAAACAATAAAATTCAATAGGGGTAATTCTAAGATAAAAGTCATTATTAAATACACAGAGAATATGACACTTCCTAAAGGCTTTATTTAGTAGTTTTGGCCATAATTGTGTGCAAAAGACCTTACTGGTTTTTGTATTGGAAAAGAATTCTGTCGGTATTAGTTATTATATAAATTATTTAAAAGTTTGAACTAGGAAAATATTACCATGACTGTCCCAAACATTATATACTTAATATTATGGTCATTTTCAAATCATTGGAGTCAACTTTTGAATTTCCTTGACAAATATTGAACCTCATACCACCCTCAACCTCACTTCATACCTTGAGCTTTGTTGCAGATCCCAATACTTCATTTTCCAAGGTAAATTCTTTAATCAGATTTCCGGTCCAGCCATGGGAAACTCTTTGGCACCTGATATTTTCAACAATGTTCTTAATGACCTCCTAGATTCGATTTTGTTATCTCTTCTTCCTATCAAGATATCATTTTCATTAAAAAATATGTTGATGACCTCCTCCATGTTCTTAATCCTGACAGTATCCCTCAAATCCTCTCCTCATTTAACTCTTACCACCCTCGTCTTCATTTCACTATTGAGAAAGAAGTTCACGATTCACTTCTCTTTTTAGACCTCCTAATAATCAGAATCATTGGCAGCTCTATTTTTACCGACTGGTATACTAATCCCACATACTCAGGCAGACTACTTAACTTTTACTCCCAACATCCATACCATCAAAGAACCAATACAATTAACTATCATTTTGACCATTGAGAGGCTTGATGTAAGAACCAGTTAGTCCAAATTTACTAAATTTGGGACAATGCAGGAAAGACTATAGAAAAGCTGTTATGCATGAAGTAAAATCAGTTAAGCCTGGTTTTACGTTGTTATTGACACCTAAATATAAATTAATGAGAGGATAATACTTATGAAGGAAAAAAAAGATTAACTGTGTACTGGATGAATTATCTAAAGCCTAATGGTGGTATCTTATTTAATTTCAGATTATTCTAACCAAAAATTTGTGAATCTGGGTTTACCTGGTTCTTGCACTAAGCCTCTCAATTTTTATGGTATACTTCATAGTCTCTGGTTAATTTCAACCGACCACTGAGTAAAAAAGACATGACCTTGGTTTGTAGAATCCAAATGCATGAATATAAAACAGACACTGGAGAATAACTTAAAAAAAAAAAATAAATAAAGAAAACAAGTATTGATTTTCATGAATAATAAATTTAAAAAAATATTATCACTTAAACCTTGTTATTTAAAATTTATTATCACTCAAGTTCTTCATATTTCAATTTTATTGTGTACACTTGAAGTCAGTGAACTTTTAATAGTTACACAATCAGGGATACCTCACCTCATGGTGAGTCTATAAAATATAATAACTTTTTTAATTTCCTTTTAGAAAAAATATGTATATAACATTTAAAAAAAGAAGGACAAATTTGCACATTTTGCAAAAATTGTATTTCTTGATCTAATGTTGAATGCCGAATTTCATGCTTTAAATTCATCATTAAATATATTTTCCTTTTTTAAACGATTCATGACTATGTGTGATACTTGGTGAACTAAAGATATTTGAGTACAGTGTTCAATCCCACATAACACCTTCCAGCAATTCTTGGAGCTGCTTTCATTGTGTGTCACTGGATCAGTCGCACTTAGCCGGGAGGAACTTCTAAGGAATTTACACCACCCATCTTCACATCCGCAGCACTTGGGACACACCCCTATATGGTAATCAGATCAACATGAGAAAAAATGGGCGGTAAAATTGTTGGGCTTAGTAGCCAAACAATCTCTAAAAGATTAATATGCAATAGTAAACGCTCAAGAGACAAACTGAAGAAAAGTTGTGAAGATTGCATTAATGCTGATTTAGTGGGGTTGGGTATAGAGAGGGGCCGGTGGAAGGAAATCCAGTGATCGATGAAATCAACATCAAACCTCCGGATTCGCAACTCCTTTCATTATTATTATATATTAACACACTATAGGGACAAAAAAAGATTGTTAATGGCCATAACAATCGAACAATACATGTGTTTAAATTCAGAAATAACTACTTATGTAGTGTTAGCAAATTTTATAAAGGATTTATTATGCATAAGAATTTTAAAAAATAAATAAGATTACTGTTAGAGAATTTTGCATTTTAGCCCCCATGTGCACCAATCTAGAACACTTTTTCTACCCTGACTAGGATCTAGATTTATGGTCGGACAACAAAATAAAAAATGATCATACACCAGAATGTTCGAAGATCAATATTTCAATCCAATTTGATTTTGAGTATGTCATCTATTTTTTAATCATTACTACTCATTGTGTGTAAGTCGACAGTTAGTAAACTGTTTTCTTTCAAAATAAAAATATATAAGTACGAGAAAGTAATAAACAAAATTAATAAAAAATGAAAAGTGCATATATGTATTCTAATGAATATATATTCTAATTAATAGGGCATTAAACATTATGGCCCTGATGAATCTTCCTGTATTTCGAAGTGCCTACCACTAAGCAAAAAAATTTCCATCCAAAAAAAATAATTAAAAATTAATTTTGTAGTTTTATTTATCATTTTTAATTTTTTTAGGAAAAGGTCAATGTTCGTGAATAAAGAAATTCTTGATCAAATAAATATACACACAGACAAAAGGCTTGAGATAAATAAATAAAACTTAACAGCGAAATAAAATGAAAAGGGATATTTAATGTACAGGGAAATCAAGGTTTGGCTGGTCACAAGTGTAGCATACATTTCTATTGTTTAATTTTGTATCAGCAACAATAGAATATCAGTATCACTGATATACTGATGATACAGTATATTTAATTATTTATCCAATCCTAATTTGTTTATATACTTAGTTCCAATAATTATAATAAAATCAAAAGTAAAATTTACCGGCAACAAAAATGTACAATGACATTTTTTTTTTAAATTTACACATTTTTAATCAATATTTTCAAAATAATAACTGAGTCATTATGTTACATAAATTGAAAATAAAAATAAAACCACCATACGTAGTAGAGATACTTTCTATCCATTATGATCAGTAATATAAAATCTTTTTATTTGTTCTTCACATCTGTGTATCATTAAAAATTGGATCCTCTAAAAACCTTTCCAAGTTTAGATACAGTTTTAAAATGAAAAAATCAAATAAATACTTTAAAAAAATATTATATGTACTATTATTAACTAGAATTCACTTTGATTGTTTTGTTTTATTTTAACATATTTAAAAAAAATGCAATATAAAGTTTTATATATTGTTTTTCATTACAATTATAATGAAACTATGTACAATTTTCAACAGTTGTGAATCTCATGAAGTGGGCCATAATAATGCAACAGTAAGCATTGATTGACGAATTGAACTAGAATTGACGAACCTACATAAAACATATATTTTTATGCTGTCATAATGATCAATGGATTCCAAATACATATTGAAAACTTGAGGATGATAAAATGTAACATCTAACAGTAAATAATTACTGTATAATATTGTAATATGAACAGATTTGTTAAATTAACAATTAGAAAATGTGGTAGAAATTGATTTTTAGATAAAATAACTCAAGGAATATTCCAGAACATTACTGTTTAAGAGAAATCCATTGTAAGTGAAACATAATCAATGATGTATTTAATTGAGAGTTATAAAACACAATGAGATATACAAAAACAGGTTTTTTTGATTTTGGAGTGTAAATGTAATCTTGAATGGAGCGATTTTTTTTTTTTTTTTATTCAAAAATGATTGAATTATGTTTTACACCAATTAGTACTGAAAAAAAATTTCATGACTTCATCAATACCGTAAATTAATGCAACATACCCAAATTTATAATGGAAGAGATAAGGCTGACCATAGATTTTATTAAGGGGTACAGTCAAGAGATCTAACATAAAGCAAGTGAAATGCTTATTTTAATGTTGTGAACCATCATTTAGATGAGCCTGGAAGAGAGAGATTAGCATGTCTCAACATAAATTAAATTGATTGACATAAAGTTCAATCCTACCCAAATGAGTCTATCATCACCAAAATGTTTAACTTGTGAAGATTAAAATTACTAGCTAATTCAAATTATGATAAAATCTTTAATATTCGGAAATGAAGCATTTTGGTAAAAATTCATGTAGAATTTAAAAAAAAATTTAATCTTGAAATAAAAAGTTGTTTGTCGTGGAACAGTGTTAATATACGAGTCATTGTTTCTCAAGTATAGAGGATATAGTGGGTCCTGAGAACTCCATTAGTCTCCTGGGAATCAGGTATAAGTTCAAATATAGTCTCTTAGTGATTCAGATAAGCTTCTTTTGAGAAGCTGTTTTTTTTTTTGTTTTAATAGAAAATAACAATCTGTTGTTAACCTTATTGTACATTGTGGGAATAGTATCATTAAAATACCAAGTTATTTAATAATATATTAACCTATCCCTCTTCCTAATGCAATAGACAGAACCATTTACAAAATCTTAAATATCTTTTATAAAATCATTAATTAGGATGTTTTATATACCAATTTGTTCTATTTATGGAACTTCATATTGATAAATTAAATTTATGTTTTGAACAAGTCCTTATTCTCTTTCTTTTGCATGTGTACTCTGATGAAGAGCTACAACTTGCTGAAACATCAGCACATATTACAAAACATTCTATAGCAACATTTTGGAAACAAATAGTTGTTACACTGTTACATTAGATTTAAAACAGTATTGTGACACGTAGCCTGAGTGCCCACAGCAATTCATGAGGAAGATTATTAATAAACACAAACTGATGTAATCAAAAATATATATATTGTTTAAAAGGCTCCAGCAGTTTAGTTATTCAAATTGAATTAACTTAATATCACAGAATGTATTAGTTCATTTAAATGTCTCTATTAAATTTGATTATTTAATCCACATACAAATAAAACATTAAAATAATGTAAAATAGTACCTATCTTAAACAATTACCTCATTTATCCATTGGTCTAAAATTGATGAAGGGGTAATAATTAATGTTGTTTTGGAAGGAACTAATGGAGCCTTGGTCCAACATTGGGGACACTTAACGTTTCCATAAATCACTTTGCTTACAATACCAACACATTCTGCATGTTGCCATTTATTACAATCCTCACATTGAACAAGGTTTAATTCATCAGAATCATTATTATCACAGAAACACTTGACTAAACTGGTAGCCGCTGATTGTTGTTTATTGCTAGTAAAACTCATTTGCGAAAGAACAGTTTCGTAGTATGTTCTTAAAGCATTGTATTTACTACTAAACAATCCAGATTTCTCTTTCACTGAAGCCTTTTCTTTTGAGCGACCTCTTATCTTTTTTTTGGAATTCCGGGTATTATTACTTTCAACTTCATCATCTGTAATGTTATCTTCTATCAACTCATGCTTCCTTTTACAGACAATCTTTTTCTTAGTAATACCAGGATCTTCCATTTCTACTGTTGAGTAGGGATTACTAAGAATACAAGCCAGTACTTCTACAGTTTTACCAAGTCCCATCTCATCAGCAAGAATACCCCCACTGGGTAAATGAACATCATATTCTAAAACAATAAAATGAACAAAATAGATAACAAACAGCAGAGCTAAGATAAATATAGCCAAATAAAGCCACCCACCATTACATTTGATTCCATCAATTTTACATTTTTCTCTTTTCAGCATCCATTTAACTGCAAGTTTTTGGTACTTCCTAAGAATGGGACGTAATTTTCCATTACAATCAATGATGCAATCATCAAAGTTGTCAGATAAGTGAATGGTTTTTATATATTCAAATAGATTCTTAATTCTATAAGTCTCCATAACATAGCTTAAACCAAACACATTAACACTAAAGATTTAATAAACATTAAAGAGCACAATTACATACATAAACAACAAAACAACGATTTAGACACCGAGTCAACTTAAAATTTTGTAAACAAACATTTTGCGTCAAATCTACTACTGGTTATCCGAAGCGGCACCAATGCTTCACAAATTTAGATGCATATCCTAGGATTTAAAAAGTAATTTAGTACTAAATAACTGTTGATAACATATGCCTGTAAAATATGTTATCTTCGAAAATAAGGTTAATAAAAGGATCTGCTAGTTTCAGAGTTATTTTGATCATAAACTTGTACAATAAACAAATATTTATTGTTGCATATTATGATCAAGTTTGCGGCACTGGGACAAATATTAAAACTAATTTATTGAACGGAAAAATTATAACAGTTAAGTTTATCTGCTAGAGATTATTTGAATAATTTTGAACTTTTAAAGACCTTTTGAATGAGATTTTCTCAAATGTATAAATAAGAGTTAAAGCTATTCCTAAACCATCTTTTAAAGTATTGAGAAAACCTTTTTGATTTTGTACTTTTTGTATTGAAAACGTATTTTGTTTTGTTAGTTATTATATGAAATCAAGTTTATCAATCCAAAATAAACTGAAATATTAAATATAACTTCTTCGACAACCCAGTATAGTTAATACATGATGGTTGTAATTGTAGTTGTATCCTATACTTTGTGTTGTAATGTGAACACATGCACTGTAAACGAAAGTAATTTGGATACTAGGTCCGAAGAGTTATATCAGCAACGCTTAGTACAGTACTTTTTTTTTTTCAAATAGAGAAGTTGCCAACCCCTCGTTTCCTGTTGAGTCATGGCTAGTATCTAAGATCCTATATGTCTATTATTCTTTATTTAAGTAGAAGTTATTCAGGAGGTGAGGTCAAATGTCACAAACATATGTGGGTATTATATTTATTGGCTTATTTTGATTTGACATTTTGATTTCATCAGGGCTGTGCAGTAATGTAGGAGGAAGATAGAAACTTGACCGCGGTCCCTTCCATCAATATTGGATAATTCCTCCCAGAATTCTTCAATAAATTTCACCGAAATTCGACCGTATCCCTCGACAAACTTCTTATGTTGAGGTGCCTTCAGACATTTCACTAATTATGCGACAAACAAATATCTAATTGGTTATTTTACTGTGCTACTACTTTTGTTTTTTGATATTTTCCATCTGCTGTCGGCATCAATAGTAATAAATATTTTAGTTCAATAGTAATGTCGCTGTTAGTTAAATTAGTCATTGTGTTACCCACAGTTTGGGAAAGGTCAAAACATCCCTTTAGTCTCAATTTCCACCACTAGCGTATCCAGGATTTGATTTGGGGGGGGGGCTTCAGCCCGAAAGTTTTTTTTGTCATAAACATTAAGATAATTACTTTGGAAAAAAAGAAAGAAACTAACTACCTGTATGAAATGCTGTTTAAGTGATTCCTAAAGCCCTTTTAAATGTAATTACACGAACAATAATACTTTAAGAGATACTTTTTAAATATTTTTTTCGATAAAACATGGTTATATTTTACCATTTTGGGGGGGAGGGGCTTCAGCCCGAAAGCCCCTTCCCCGTAGATCCGCCCGTGATTTCCACACACAGTAAATATGATGGTTAATCCTTTGTATATATTAAGAAAATAAACATGGTGTATGAAACCAATATTAATAAAAAGAGTGTGCAATGTCATGAATACCAAAACGTGTTTAATCTTATGAACTCCTTGAATTAAGCACTTACATCTTTGTGGCTCGTAGTTATTTTTATGATGAATTTTTCATATAGCTCAAACATTATAATTGTTAGCTTTTAGATTAGTATTGCTCAAATGCCGGCTAGTGCGGGAAACAACGTTTTAAATAGATTCCGCTAGAGGGTAGGGCAAGCGGCCTCCAGGAACATCTGCTTCATTCAGCATAAATGTCTCAGTCGGCTCGTCTACGCGCTCCGAGATGGTTGATCTCGAGTACCCACCTCCTGACGGCGGCTCCCGGGCCTGGTTTGTAATGCTAGGTTCATTCTTTGTCAACGGTCTCATATTTGGTCTTATGAATTGCTACAGTGTAATATATGAACGTCTACAGGAGGAGCTGATGATCGATAACGTTCCTGGTGCTTCTTCTAAAGCAGGTTAGGATCCATTTCAGCCATTTGTACATCCCATTATAGTACCATTGACACTATATCCAATTTAGATGAACTTCCTGTTCAATAAGAGATAAGCCATATCAAATTTTTATTTATTACCTTTAATTGTATAGTTAAACAATTTCTCAGATTACAATCGATTAGTTTCAATTAGTGATTAATTAAAGAAACTAATTTCAATCCATCAAAAGCAATTGTGATCTATTTAAGGATTAAGAATCTTTTACTTTAAATGGTTGAACTTTTACAAACTTGTAGTTGAAAAGAGCGGCGAAATTGCATCATATGTTTGCTACCTTCCCCTACGTGTGGCACATGCTTTTCTCTCACCGAACGTCAAGGTGTTAGGAGAAATAATTATTTCTCTGTTCACCTTAATTAATGACGTTTAAATCTTCTTAAAACTTATTTTATGTTATGTTTTTTATCCATTAGTTTCATAATTCCATAGTATTTTTACAATTGGGATGAATTGGTATTTAGATATTTTACTTCATTGCCGAGATACTCTATTTTCCTTCAATATTTTTCTTATAGTTAAATTTAGTGTCATATATTCTAATTTATTAGTCTAATCTCTAATTTTTTTTGTTCTAAGATTAGGATGATTATAAGGAACCCATCACTATCTTTAATAGATTTGTGGGTATTTATCTTTCAACAAAGAAATTAGCTTTTATATGTATTATGATTACTACCGATAATGTACACATTCATAAACAGAATTATATAATTTTTTTTTTGAAACATTGAATTATAGATTGCTAAGTCTCTGTAAACCAAAATTTAAATATCGTTCTAATTAGCGAGGTGTGAATTTTATTTGTGTTCAAAATGTACAGTGTTATAGTTTCGATGTGTTGAACATTTTTATATCAATTAATCACTTTACAAACTTTTGTTTTGTCTCGAGGTCCTGTCAAAATCATACCTTTCTCGTGTAATCTAATCAAATAAAAAAATGGATTTGATAAAATTGTATATTCCTTAGTTCTCAATAAATTACGAATTATCCTCGAAAAGACCCGAGAGCTTGTGTGATTTGTGATCGATTTTATGGTCGTTCTCAAACACATATTTAATTTTTTATTTAATGAAGTGTTAAGTAGGTGATTTACCCATTGGTGGACTGAGTACTTCTTGCCTAGGGCGGCTATTTTGGTTGAACGGCAAATCTTGAATGAAACTGTATTTTTATAATATAAAAACAAATCATCTAAGCAGCTATAAATATATGAAATTTATCCACTTGGGTTTTAGATTAAAAGCAATGATTGAAGCGATTAAAAGCTATCTGTCGTGCCTCTGGCAGCTGCAAAAAATGTTAAAACTAACCCACTTCTGGTTGTATGAATTATTTTCATTTATAAAGTTCAGTATTATTTAACGTAATGTAAAAGATCGTAAAGAAATATGTCACAATATATTCAGTGGACACGTAGTAAATTTAAACCGCGATTCTAATTAATGCAAAATGATTTTTTTTTCTTTTATTTTACTATTAACGTAGCTTATGTGAACGATTTATTGTCTATAATATTCTGTTTCAAATGTGTAACGCTGGATTCGAAGGTCTGTGACCTTCTGAAGGCCCGTCTGAATCCTGGGTCATGGTTCATGTTTAAGGAAACGATCGCCCTGGGAAGTATTACGTAACATTTTGATCATATTTCATGTAGCTAATATTACCTATTGAACGAGCTGGTATTGTTTAGCCGGAAAGCGGTTATCCATGAAAAGGAAATTATTTCTTCATTGTTGGTTTCCATTATCCCATGGTTGTCTGCGTGTAGCAGTGTGTTCCTAATCGCTTGTGACCTGGCGAACTACTTTAGGAACCACCAGTCTTGACCTTATCTTCCTCCAGCCAATTAAAATAATAAAATACTTGCAACAAGTCTGTCGCTATTAATTATTTTAATTATGTCATTTAATGAGTGATTCTATTGTGTATTATGTTCTCTTTACTTTTTTATTTTCCAAGTTGATGGGAGGGATGGCAGTAATTTTATCCTTGCCCATCGCCAGAAATCTACCTCGCAAGATTTTTCGAACCCTCATAAATATAATGGACATAACAAAATAATGATAATAATTGGCGTTATTTATGCCGCTGACTATTTAATGATACTCGTCTAACCAGGATGGCGACCGACCTGAAAAATGGGGAGATGTAGGGAATTTTCAAAACACGGAAAAGTCAGGGAAAAATTGTCAAAGCCATGGAATATTTTTAGTACGTAAATATTTTTTCAAATAGGAAATATAATGGTTATCGTTTATAATGACCTTGAAGGAATAAAATTCGTCGTTATAAACTACTATGGTCGCTATATTCCTTTGACTATCAATAACGGCATTGGTCGTTATAATCAAATCAAACATGACTAATGAGTACAATTTAAGCAAAATGGACTTTTTTGAAAAGAAAAACATACCAATGTTATTTACAGTTTGTAATATATACATTTATAGACATATTTATTTATTTTTTTAAATAAAGTAATGAACTTCTTAACGGCAATATTGTCTACAGATAAATGTTCGTTACAACATTTTTCAGTTTTAAACTGTTGAGTCCAATTGTGCATTAACTTTTTAAAAAATTGCGTTTCAGCGTTATATATCAGCGTCATGAAAATTCTCATGAATTGTCGGCTAAACCTTTGAATTCCATTTGTTATTTAACTAAAAGAGAACGCTGGCAGTTTCACAGCTATTTTTTTTAACAGCCTGAACAGAATCTTTCTATCCGTCCTCACAAAATATTAGTTTGAGGCTCATCAAATGGATTGCGAATTGATTATAAATATTTGTTGGTCATTTCGAGTAAAATCTGCCTTAACCCTGATAGCGGAATATTCAGAACAGTCGCTTTCATCGTTATATATTATAAATGGCTTTCATGTATAATAAATAAAACCCTGCTAACGGTCATACTATTTGTACTGATACATGCCGTGGTTATTATGACTATTTTGACAAGTTGGCCTATGTAATATTTCTCATTTTCTATTGAAACTCTGTAGTGCAGAAGCTGAATGTATTTTAGTAGGAAAAATATGAGATCTGTCAAGTATTTCGGATTCTTGCACAGCCGGATCTATGGGGGAGGGGAGGGAGAGAGGAGGGTTTCGGGCTGAATCCTCTCTCTCCCCCCAACAGTAAAATATAACCATGTTTTATAGAAAAAAAATATTAATAACTATCTCTTAAAGTATTATTGTTCTTGTAATTACATTTAATAGAAATTCGAGATCCGCTAGTGGATTCTTGTGACTCCAAGGGATCCAAAACATCATGTTCTCTTCCCCTTTTCTTCTGGCCCGATGACATTTTCCCTAGACATTTTCTCGCATCCTACACATTTTCCACATCTCTATAAATCGTTTTGTCCCTTGCAACTATTAATTAAAAGATAAAACAACGTTCAAAAAAGAAAAAGTGGCTACACTGTCACATAATGGCGTGCAAATATGAAATTCGAACCAGAGTGCCCTATTCCCGGTAAATTCTGTAAATTTGGTGTATGTAGTTGTGTACATGTAGGTTATTGTTTTGAAGATTAATTAGTATTTTGGAGGTTTAATATTTTAAAAAATACGGCTATTGCCTGCTATGTAGTCAGTGAATTTAATTATATTCGTAAAACTATTTTGTTTGTTGCTATCTGTATCCTAAGTTTGCTAAAGAAATGAAGGGGAAGTATAAATAAATATTATGTTTTTTATTTTTTTAACAGTGATTGAAACCGTACTCGGAATTCTCTCACCTGTGATGTAGAAGGAATCATTTCTGAAACAAGTTGGAAGCGAATAAGTAGAAAATCTAGAATTTTTGTTGGTACCTCACTCCATAATTTAGTATGACCGTCATTATTGATTGCAATCAGACGAATATATTCATCGGAGCATTCATCTTATTATAAATGGAATCTAAAATTGGGAGGAATGTACAATTGGAGCAACTCGAGTTGTGTCTGTGATCATTTAGATATGATGATAATTACAGTTGCTGCAATGACAACTGCCAACGGGCACTCCGCTGAATTTTAGCTTCCATTTCTAATAGGCCGATGCATCAGGCTCCGAGGATTGCATCGTCCATTATTGTAATCCTTAATGATCGCCACCCCTTAGCTGAACATTTCCCATTCTAAATCAATGATATTGAGAAAATACTTTAAACCGAAGCGCGGAAAGTCGAGAAACCCTTTCCTAGTAGGGTAGCCTTTTTGATATTACTTCTTTTTACGTTTTTTTTCTATTTATAAAACTTGGTGGTAATAGAATAAAAATCTAAATTGGTAGATAAAAACAAAACTGACAATTTTTTCAACAACCGAAAAACAAAACATCGAAAACTATGTGTGTCTTGAAAATTGATTTATTCATACGCTATACTCATGTATTCTTTATTGTAATACGATTCATCGTCCATCCTACGCATTCAATCTCCTTCAATTCAAGTCATCTATCCACTCCCTCTCCACAAGATCTCGTCCTTCTGACCTTTATACCCAATCGGCCTCATTTCAACACTCCTTTATTGTCCGCTCCACCACCTTTTGGAATTCCATCCCACTTAAAATCCGCCATGCACTATCCTTATCCATATTTAAAACCCTCTTATTCCAACTCCTTAAAATTCAATCAGACACTGGGTAGCCATTTATCATGTATATTATATATGTATATAATCTCCTCTATATGTATATTATCTTTTATTTTCTCCGATCAATCTACATCTGAGGATTTAGATTATATAGGACTTGTATAATGTTTACAATACTATTATTGCATTCTTTGAACATATTAAGGTACATTTGTAAATCATTTAAAGTAAATATTTATCCACTCTTTTATTATTATTTTTTTCATTAATATAATGGTATGACAACAAAAGTAATTTGTCGTTTTTCAAATTTCATTTAGAATTCCATAGTTTATTGTTTTTAGCAAATATTTTGCAGTATTAGGATT